CTTTCGAGAAATTTCATCAAAAAATTGTACTGAAAATAATTTAATTTTCGAAAAGAATATTATTATTTATGAAAAGAATTCAATTCTTCCAAAGAATATTATTAAAATTATACTAAAAATAATTTAATGCTTTTGAAGAATTTAGAATTTATGAGAATAATTGAATTGTTTTGAAGAAATTTATTCCAATTTTTTTTTTTTTTTTATGAAAGAATTATATTAACAAATTTTGAAAATAATTGGATTCAATCAAAAACTTTTATTAAAAGGTCTAAAAATAATTAATTTTTCTCAAAAACTTTATCAAAACTGTTGAATATAATTGACTTTTATTTAATATTTAAAAAAAATAATTGTCTTCTTACGAGAAATTTTATTAAAATTAAATTATAAAATAATTTAATTTCTTTGAAGAGTTTTATTATTTATAAAAATGATTGAATTTTTTCGAAGAATTTTATCAGAATTTTTGAAAATAATTAAATTTTGAAAAATGTTTTTAAAAATTTGTTAAGAATAATTGAATTCTTCCGAAGAATTTTATTATTTATGAAAAGAATTGAATTATTTCAAAGAATTTTATTATTTAAGAAAATAATTTAATTTCTCTCAAGACTTTTATCGAAATTGTTGAAAAATATTGAATTTAATTAATGTTTAAAAAAATAATTGTATTCTTTCAAGAAATTTTACTAAAATTATAATGAAAATAATTGAATTCCTCCGAGAAATTTTAATATTTATAAAAATAATTGAATTCTTTAAAAGAATATTTTAAGTTATGAGAATAATTGAATTGTTTTGTAGAATTTTATTAGAATTTTTAAAAATAATTGAATTTAATCAATGTTTTTAAAAATAATTGTATTCTTTAGAGAAATTTTCATAAAATTGACTTAAAAATAATTGAATTCTTCAAAAGAATATTTTAAGTTATGAGAATAATTGAATTGTTTCGTAGAATTTTATTACAATTTTTGAAAATAATTGAATTTAATCAATGTTTTTTCTAAAAATAATTGTATTCTTTAGAGAAATTTTAATAAAATTGACTTAAAAATAATTTAATTCTGCCTAAGCACATTTTTATTTATGAAAATAATTGAATTGCTCCAAAGAATTTTATTATTTCAGAAAATAATTAAATTTCGCCAAAGACTTTTATCAAAATTGTTGAAAATAATCGAATTTAATTAATATTTTAAAAAATAATTTTAATTTTCTGAAGAATTTTATTTTTAATTAAAATAATTGAATTCCTTTGAAGAATTTTATTATTTATAAAAATAATTGAATTACTCCGAAAAATTTTATTATTTAAGAAAATAAAATTGATTTTCTTCAAAGACTTTTATCAAAATTGTTGAAAATAATCGAATTCAATTAATATTTTGAAAAATAATTCTATTCTTTCGTGAAATTTTGTTAAAAAATTATATTGAAAATAATTGATTTCTTTCGAAGAATTTTTATTACCTATTTGTAAAAATAATTGAATTGTTTTGAAAAATTCTTGAAAATAATTGATTTTAATTATGCTTTTTATAAATAATTGTTATTTGTTGAGAATTTTATTATTTAAGAAAATAATTTAATTTCGTCAAAGACTTTTATTAAAATCTTGAATCTAAAATATTATTCAAAAATTGATGTTCGTATTTTGAAAATATAAAATTTTTAAATTTACAAAATAGAAATAAATGGATTATTGTATTATTTACAAGTAAATAAAATAATACTCAAATCGATCAAAAATGGTATTTAAGTCAAAAATGTTGGACGAAAAATTTTTGAAAAAAGGACGAATAAAGACAGAAATTCGATAAAGGAAGCAAATGCGAAAAAAATTAATTCAGTTTCACTGAAAAAAATCCTAAATAGAAATAAATAGAATTTAAATTACTTCCAACCATTATCAATATTCAGAATTGGATAAAATTAATTTCGATCACAAACTGAGATAATAAAAGAAGCAAAATACAATTTGCTTAGAGTTATTAAAACTTCAAACAGAATAAATGAAAAGCAAGTGGGAGTGAGTGGCAATAAACAGCTCCTGTGTGTACATACATACAAATATATATACAAAAAGAGTGTTTAAAAAGTTTTCCAAAAGGGTCTCTCTCTCTCTCTCTCTCTCTTTCGAAGCTCCCTTTAATCAAGATTAGTGAGTCACAAACTCTTTTTTTTTTGCAGGGCATTTTGTGTCGTGAAAAATCCCCTTCGCGCTTCTCTCGCACTTCATTCTCTCCTCCAAGGGGGTTGTGTAATATAAGTGTTCGCATCAGTTGAGAACACATGTGCTCGCAAGGGAATTTCGATACTATTACTGCTTTCTATTTTTTTTTTTCGTTGCCAAAGGGGAATCAGCAAAGACTTTTCAAATACCCATGAGAACTTGACCAAGTGTCAATGGGGGAGTTTAAGCAAAGAGTCCCAACGAGGATTAAGGGCATCGATTCGCGCCTTTATCGCCTTTGCCCCTCAACTTTTCACTACCCCCTGCAAATTCAACTCCCAATCGTTTATACTCAACAACTGTTACTTCTGAAAAAAAGAAAGATTTTTATAACTCCCTTCGGAATTGTTTCAGATACATGTGTTATTTACTTTTGTGTTTAAAAAAAAACAAAAAAAGTACCTAGGTTTTTTTGTTATTTTTAAATATGGAAAAATTCATAATAAAGTTAATAAAATTAATCAATTAATACAATTAATAAAATTAATAAAATTAATAAAATTAGATAAAAAATTAATAAGAAATAATTACCACAGATTTGTATTTGTGGAATTGTTCAGAAGAAAATAATTAAAAAACGAATTTGTAAAAATAAATAAAATTCATTGAAATATAAAATTTGACAAAATTTCCTATTTTTCAATTTTTTAAAATTATTTTCGGGAATTTAACTGTTTTTTAAAGAATTTTAATTACGTTTTTTTAAAAAATTTAATTTTTCAGAATTTCTAAATGAAATTTTTCAAATTTCGTTAATTTTTCTTTATTAAATATTTGAATAGGTACTACTTATTGTTATTTATTTTTCCATTAGAAATTAAAAGTTCAAAATAATTTCAATTCAATACCATTTGTTTAATTATTTCTCAAAATTCCAGCAATAACGCTTCTAATATTCAATTATTTTCAAAATTTTAATTTAGAAATTCTTTTTTAAATCAATTTTTATTAGAATTCATTGATACTTGAATTATTTAAATACAACAATTTTTGTATAACTTAATTTTTTTCCTTTAGAAGAATTGCAGTTCTAATTTTTAAAAATAATTAAATTTCAAAATATTTTTCATTGAGAGTATTTTGAAATTTTAATTTTTTGTGAGCAAATAAAATAACGATAAGTATTCAAATATTTTTTAAACAAAAATTATTTAAATGTGAAAAATTTTATTTAGAAATTCTAAAGAAATGAGGTTTTTAAAAAATCTCAATTCAAACTTTTTTGAAAATATTTGAATTCCAGAAATAATTTGAAAAAAATTGTAAAATTGTTGAATTGTTGTTGTTTGAATTGTTACTAAAAATTTAGAAAATAATTAAATTTTATAAAAAAATTTGTATTTAAATAATTTAATTATCGTTGAAACTTCTAAAAAGAATTGATTTAAAAAAAAAATAAAATTTTGAAAAATAATTAAATGTTAAACGCGTTATAATATCAGGAATTTTAAGAAATAATTTAATTTCAAAAGGTTTTTGAATTAAAATCTTTTTAACATTTTATCGCCGTTAAAGTATAATAATATTTTAATGTTTATTTAAAAAAAATTCTTAATAAATCTTATTTTCCTTTCAAAATTATTAAACTTTGGGATAGTTTAAAAATTTTTTTAAATAATTTTAATCAAAAATTCTAAAAAATAATTGACTTTTGAAAAAATTTCAACTGTAATTTTTAGAAATAATTAAATTTCAAAAGGTTTTACATTGAAATTATTTCAATTAAAATAAATAACAATAAGTTTTTAAATATTTATTTATAAAAAATTATTGATTTTTTAAAGAATTTAATGTAGAAATTCTAAATATAAAAGTTAGGTTTTTAAAAAATTGTAATTAAAATTTTTTTGTAGATTAATTCAATTTCCGAAAATAATTTAAAAAATTAAAACAATTAAAAGTTTTATCAAATTTCATAGAAATAAATTTTATATTTGAAAGACTTTAATTTTATTACTTTTTAAAATTGTTTTCAAATATAATCGGATTTTTGAAGAATTATATTTCAAAAAATTATATTTTTTAAAAAATAATAAATTTTCATTTAATTTCAAAAAAAACTTTTTTAACTAACAATGGACGCCAAAATATCACGCACTTGTGTTAATAATAAAGAATAAATAATCACAAATTTATATTTGGTGAATTGTTGAAAAAAAAATTATTAAAAAACGAATTTGTTAATATAAATAAAATAAATACAATAAAGAAATTAAATAAAATAAACGAAATTAATGAAGTAAAAGAAACAAAATAAACGAAATAAATAAAATAAATGAAATAAAAGAAATTAAATAAAGGAAGTAAATAAAATAAAATAAATGAGTAAAATAAATAAAATAAACAAAGTAAACAAAATAAAAAATATGCCGTATAAAGTGTAAATTATTAAAAAATAAATAAAAAAAAAATTTTCAAAAATAAAATTTATTATTATTATTATAATTTATAAATAAAAAGAAAAATATAGGCCACGATTATAAAAATTATGATTAATTTTTAGACCGAAATATGAGAAATCAGGAACAAGTGGGTACCCTCACACTGTAAATTAAAAGATGAAAATGAAAAAAAAATAAAATAAAAGTACGAGTCAATAAATATTTTTTCGAAAAAAAAACACTAAAGATAAAATCTTGTTTGGATTGCGGAGAAACGCAGGCGTTAAATGGCCGGCTTTCATTTCTATCTCCTTCTTCTTCTCATTTTTTTTCCTGATGCTTATATAGAGAAGAAAAACAACAGATGGATATATACTCACCATACTGCGGGTTCAAGTCGTTGGAGATTGTGGTAGAGTGCGAGGGAGAGGATGAAGGCGACAGGTGACCAGTAGAAGTGGAATTCTTAATAGATGGTGGATGGAGCAACAGCATCCCTCTGCCTTTGCCACCTATGGGGCCACCTCTACGGGATCCTCGTGGTCTACCTCGTTTACTTGTACCGCGAACATTTGGCCGCATCCTTATTCCCGAGCCCGAGCTAAAGGTGAAATGATGACCCAGTCGAGCGACTTTTGGTACATCTCCAAATTGCGAAGAAGGTAAATGAGAATTTCTAAAGTCGGTCGCCGACACTGGACCATCCACATCGACCACCAGGCCTTCATTACTCGTTTCATCCTGTAAAAAATAACAAAAATCAATAATTTATTTCTTTCAATTCTTTTTATTTTTTATTACTTAACTTTAAAAATAGAAATGAAGCGAAAATTAAAAATGAATTCTTAATGAATGAGGGTAATTGTGAATGTCGCTTCTTTTTGAAATGAAGATAACCAAAAATGCTAATTAACTAAATGAAGATGTAAGAGAGAAAAAAGAAAGAACCTCTGATTTTTCGGGACTCCCAATATTTCCAATGTCATTCGTAAAGTCTGGTGTTTGAAGATTTTGATGATTATTCTGCGATGGACAACGTTGCGTTTTATTGGCAATTAATCCCAATTTTTGTGTTGGTTGCGTTAATTCAGTTGTGTTGAAGAGATCATTTTCCTCTAAACATGGCTTTTTTGCTTCATTCTGGAAAGAAAAGATGAAATTTTAATTAGAAGATATATTTCAAAAAGAAAACTGAAAGAGAAATTAATTTCTTAATTGCGACATAACTAATTAAATTATAAAATCTGAAACAATCAGAATTCGATAAATCTCTTTCAAATTTTAATTCTAGACCAATTAATTAGCTTTTTATTTAGTTAGTCAAAATTTATCATAATTATTCATTATTTTCCAAACTAAGAAAAATTCCTACTTTTTTGTCGAATTTAATAAAAAAAAAAAAAATAAAAAATTTTAAGAAAGAAAGGAAAATTAACAAAAGAAGCGGAAATTTAATTTCGAAACTTATACGAATTCTAGAATTTTTGACGAAATAATGGGATTAAATTGAAATTTATAGAATAAGAATTGACTCGAAGGAGCGAATCGAATTTTCAAATGTCGAAATTGAAAGAAAATTTTGTTATAATTTTTTGATTTTTACAATTAACAATAAACAAACAAAATCAGTCATTTCAATTTTTAGTCTCAGATTCAGTATTAATGAGAATTAAACTTTTTTTTGTTGAAAAATAATGCGGCAAAAATTCAAAAAAGGGAAAATTTACAAAAGAACGAAATTCGGTGACAACTTATAGAAAAATTTGGAGAAAAAATAATTTCCGAAATTCAATAACTTTCCACGAAAATAAGGAAAACTGTGGAAATTTTCCTGATTCAATTTCGAATCAAATTTCTACTTTTTTTATTTTGTTAAACAAATTATAAGTTAAAATTTCGAAAAGCGAAAAATGATGAGGAAAGAATAAAGAATTTTTATTTTCTAATGACTTTTCTATTGAAAAATATGTCGAAAATGTAGAAAAAGGGGGGAAATTTACAAAAGAAAAATCGATGGCAATGAAGAAAAATTTTTAAATGAAAAAACAATTTTCAAAATTCGATAATAACTTTCTAACAATATACAGAACGTACTAAAATTTTGTAGATTCAAATCCAAATTAATTCGTGCGAGTCAAATTTCGAAAAAATCTCTTATTTTTAAATTGTTATTTTACGCCAATTAATTAGCGATTTATTTAATTAGTCAAGATTTTTAATCTTCAATAAGTAGTGAAAAACCAAGATTTTAATTTTTTAGCGGATTTAAAATTGCGAATGCAGAGAAAAATTATCTTTTCGAAATTTTGAACGAAATTCATTTTAATTATTAATCTCAAATTTAGAAAATTCGATAATGAATTTCCTGCAAATAATCGAATTCATTTTCAATTTCAATTTTAATTTTAAATTAAATTCAGAGATCGGAATAGAAATTTTGTTCTCAAATTCAGTTAAAAATTAAGAATTTTAAAAACTATTGTCAAAAATTTTTAATAAAGAGGAAAATTTACTTATTATTTTTTTTAATAGAAATCAAGATATTCAAAAATTTTGAAATTCAATAAAATATAAGAATATTATAATAAAACATGAAGATATCGATCACTCCGAGTCTTCGACTCAGACTGATCGATTTCTTCATGTTTTATAATAATTACGATTCTTCATTTCAAGAATTTTCAACTAAAATTCTTCTTTAAATTAATTTTTTTTAATAACATTTGAAAAATTTCTTTGTGAATTTTCAAATTCATTTGTTTATAATTTAATTTTACGAAATTTCGATTATTCTGACATTCTTCAATTAAATATATTAGAAATTAAAAACTTTCAATAATTAAGCAAAAAGCCCATTAAACTTTTTGAGAAAAATTAATTCTACAGAATTCTTAATTAAAAATATAAAAAGTTCAAATTTTCAAAGATTTTAATTTGAAATTCATTTTTAAATCAATATTTTTTGGAAAATTCTTCGAGAATTCAATTATTTAACTATATAAATAAATATTTTATTAAACAATTGAATGTTTCTTAAAATTGAATTTTTATAAAGAATTTTATCAACAATTTTTTAAAGAACCGAATTCTCTTGACAATTTTTAATAAAATTTTTAAGAATAATTGCATTTTTTGAGAAATTTGACGAAAATTTATTGTATTAAAAATAATTGAAATTCCGCCAAGAATTTTATTAAAAGTTTTGAAAATAATTGAATTTTTGAGAAAAATTTTATAATTCATAAAGATAATTGAAATTTTGACGAGAATTTTTGTTAATTTTTAAACATAATTGAATTTCTGCGAAGAATTTTATTAAAAATATTTTTTAAAAAATTTCAATTATTATGCAAAGAATTTCATCAAAATTTTTGAAAATAATTTTATTCTTTAAAGAAATTTATTTAAAAATGTATTGAAAATAATACTTAAATTTTAATAAATAAATTGTAGCAAAAGTTATTAAAATAATTAAATTTCTTTTGAACAATAATACAAAAAATCAGAATTGAAAATAAATAATTCCGACCAAATAAATCCAAATCACCGACAAAAATCAAATGAAAAAAATAAATCAATGCAAAATATCGAACAGCACAAGAATAAATTTGAATGCAAAAGAATTATTAATTGAAATGATGAAGAAAAGAAACAGTGAAAGAAGAATGAAATGTCGAATTGTATTATAGTAAGTAAGGGCGCGGGTTTTACCTTGACCGGAAGCGCGGTTTGCTTCCTCTTCCGGTCCCTCTCCTTATGGTGTAGACTTAACTCAAGGCGAGTCTCCTCCGCGTTCTGCTTTCTCTCCTCGCTCCGTTGACTGTCTGCAATATACAAGAAAACATAGACGTATGAGTATATATAAATACATACAAAAGACGAGGGTAACACATTTCATTACTTGTGCTTCTTGTTGTTATTATTATTATTCGTTATTAGGACATTAGCATAACCTAATGAGCATAATGTAATTGCGTGTAGTATGCATGCCATCGTCCTCATCGACCGACCCTATCTCCCAATGCACTTAAGCGCATCTACTCAATGAGAGAACAACTCAACTCCATCGTTATATTTGATAATTGTTCTAGAACGCTCCGATTTCATTCATTGAACACTTTCCAATTAAAGGAAAATAAAAAATAAATTCTAGCTATTTTCGCGTATTTGGAAAAAGAACTTTTTTAATTTGAAAAAAAATGTTTTTTCTTTCAATTATTCAAATGATTACTGATAGTCTTAACAAATCTTTAGACTTTATGAATCTTTACAAATTTCAACAAAAATCTTTATAAATAAAATTTATCGTTGTATTTCGGTAATCTGTTCGCAATTTGAAAATAATTAAATTTTATGAAGAATTCAATTATTTTCAATAATTGTAATAAAATTCTTTAGTCAATTTATAAATATAATAAAAATCTTCGTCAAAAATTCAATTATTTTTATATAAATAATAAAAATCTTATCAGAATTTCACTTATTTGCAATAAATTTTTAATTAATTTCTTCGAAAATTTCAATTATTTGTAAAAATCTTGTCCTCCGAGAAAATTCAGTTATTTAAAAAACTTTTAATAAAATCCAATTCAAGAATTCAATTATTTTTAAAAATAATGAAATTTTCACTGGAATTCAATTGAATTCAAGGGAAAATTCAATTATTTTTAATCATTTTTTTTAAATTCTTCAAAAGAATTCAATAAAATGAATAAATAGTAAATTTTTCATAGGAATTCAATTACTTTAAATAATACAATTTTAGTAAAATTTATTCTTCTCAAAAATTCACTAATTTTTTTAAATTTTGCAAAAATTCAATTTATTGTAGAAATAATAATTTTTTTTTCTAAAGATTCAATTTTATTTTAAAAAAGTTATAATAAAATTCTGTTCAAGAATCCAATTATTTTCAAAAATAATTAAATTGTCGATTTACTGAAAATCATTGAATTCTTTTAAAATAATTAAATTGTCGATTTACTGAAAATCATTGAATTCTTTTAAAATATTTATAAAAAGATTTGAAAATAATTGAATTCATTTCAAGAATTTTATCAACATTTTTTTTAACAATTGAATTCTTTCGAGAAAATGTAATTAAAATTATATTGAAAATAATTAATTCTTGGAAAGATTTTTATTAAAATTCTTTAAAATAACTAAATTGTTTTGAAGAATTTATTTCAATTTTCTTGGAAATAAACGAATTTTTAAAAATAATTTGTACTGAAAATTTTGAAACTAATTGAATTCTTGCCAAGAATTTTACAATTTTTATAAAAATAATTGAATTGTTTTGATGAATTTTATATCAGAATTGTTGAAAATAATTGAATTTCTATTAAAACGCTTGAAAATAATTGAATTTAAATAATATGTTTAAAAATAATTGTATTCCTTCGAGATATTTTATTAAAATTTTATTGAAAATAATTGAATTCCTCCGACATATTTTATTATTTATAAAAATAATTGAATTTTCTTATTTATGAAAATATTTTAATTCTTGCGAAAGAATTTTCTTATTTAAGAAAATAATTGAATTCTTGTAAAGGATTTTACAATTAATAAAAATAATTGAATTGTTTAGAAGAATTTTATCTGAATTTTTGGAAATAATTGAATTTTTTGAAAGAATTTTATTAAAAATTTTGAAAATAATGATTTTTTAAAAAGAATTTCATCAAAATTGTCGATAATAATTAAATTTATATTAAAATTCTTGAAAATAATCGAATTTAATTAATATAAAAATTTTTTTATTTACAACATAATAATAAATGGAATACCGCGTTCCGCGCGCTGGCTCGCGTATCATTTGCTAGATTAATATTAAAATAAATTCTTAATGAGCAGCCTTTATGAAAGAAAGTAAAAAACTTTTATGTTTCTAAAGTATAGAAATGCTCAATTTACTATCCTTTTCGATTTAATAAAGTTAAGTTTAAAATTATTGAAACAAAAAATTTTCGTTTATTTGAGTGTTCGAAATTTTTTTAAAACAAACTTTTAATAATCCTAATTATCTAAATGTTCTTTTTTTCATTTAAAAATCTGACCGTTGATTTAAAAATTCCCCTTCTCATTTTTCCAGTAAACTGGAAGTGACTAATTTAATATTCGTTAGTTTCCGTCTTTTTTTTTTGTACAGTTATACTTACATTTAGCTTCAATTTCTTCATCGTCGAGTAGAAGAGAAACAACTTCTTTTGGCTTCAAGGTGTCTGGCTTGAAATTACCGCCGCTAATTACCATTCGTTGAATCTGAAATTTTTTATTAAATTCTTTAGTTTGAAATTTGATTAAGTTCTATAGTTTGAAATTTGGTTAAATTCTGTAGTTTAAAATTCGATTAAATTATATAGTTCGAAATTCGATTAAATTGTTTAGTTTAGTTTAGTTTGAAATATAATTAAAAATTAGCGACAGATTCAGCATAATTTATCACTTTGTATATAAAATTGTTGTTCTAAATTAACATTCTTGATTTATCACTTTATAAAATTGTTGTTTTAAATTAATATTCTCGATGGTTGAAGATTATGAATAAAGAAAGGAAAAAAAAAGATTTTAAGTACCTCACTCTTTTCTCGAGCCCTCTGGAGAATTCTTTCCTCTATGGTGCCTTTGCAGATTAATCGATAAACAGTGACCTGTTTGGTTTGACCTAATCTATGAGCTCGATCCATTGCCTGTTGATCTACTGTTGGATTCCAATCGCTGTCGTAGAAAATCACCTGCAAATTTATTAAATTTATCAGAATTAGTGTATTCGTTTACATAATTAAATTATGTTAATTAATCGAATCAACTAATTTATCGACGATTTTATTTAATTCCTAATTTACTTTGTTTCTTTCCGCCTTTATTTTTAATTTATTTATTTGTTTTGTTTCACTAATTTATTAATTTATCTCATCCTTCTTGATTCAATTAATTTACTTACTTTGTTTACTCAAAATATTTAATTAACCCAATAATTAATGAGTTTGAAAATCAATGGAAAGTAATTCAATTATCTTCAATAGAATTTTAATAAAATTTCTCAAAAGAAATCAATTATTTTTAATAAATTTGAATAAAATTCCATATAAGAATTGAATTATTCGTCGAAAAAATTTAAAAGAATTCAATTATTTTTTAAATTTTTAATAAAATACTATGCACCAATTGAATTATTTTCATAAGTTATAAAACTCTTCGGAGGAATTCAATTAATTTGATAATTTTATTAAAATTTCTCAAAAGAATTCAATTATTTTTAAACATTTTAATGAAATTCCATGTAAAAATTAAAATTATTTACAAAAATTTTAATTCAATTCTTCGATACAAATTCAATTTTTTTAACAATTTATTATAAAATTCGTCGCAACAATTCAATTATTTTCATAAGTTATAAAATTCTTCGAATTCAATTATTTTGAAAATTTTAATAAAATTTAAAATTAGAAGAATTGAAATAATTTTAGAATAATTTTAATTACACTTCTGAAAAGAATTTAATTACTGAAAAAAATTGTAATACAACTTTAATTGAATTCGTCGAAAAAATCTGTAAGAATTTAATTATTTTTTTAGATTTCAATAATATTTTTTGCACAAATTCAATTATTTTCATAAATAATAAATTTATTCAGATGAATTCAATTATTTTGAATATAATTGTAATAAAGTTCGTTTCAAGAATCAAATTATTTTTATAAATAATAAAATTCTCCAGAAGAATTCAATAAATTGCAAAAATAGTTTTAAAATTCTTCATAAGAATTCAATTATTTTCAAAACAATCTTAATTACTTTACCCGAGAGAATTTAATTATTTTCTAAATTTTCAATACAATTTTAATTACATTATTCGAAAGAATTGAATTATTTTCTAAATTTGTAATACAATTTTAATTGAATTTCTCCAAAGAATTGAATTATTTTCAAAAATTTCCATCAAATTCTTCAAAACAATTCAATTATTTTCAAAATTTTTTATAAAATTCTATGCAGAAATTAAATTATTTCAAATTTTATCACATAACTTATTTTCTAAATATTAATTAAAAAAATTTTAACTAATTATGAACAAAAGTAAATTATCTCCTTATGCATTCGATTAATTTACTTATTTTACTTACTCAAAATATTTCACTAACTTAATAAATAATAAATTTAAAAATGAATGAAAAATAATTAATTAAAAAATTAATTTCTCGTAATAATTTAATTTTTACACACAAGTGATTTTTTTCTCAGGATTTTGACGGAGAAAAGCAAATTACTTTCCGAATTTCTTATTAAATTTATAGTAAAATAAATAACTGTGTAAATTGTTTAGTTATTTACTGTGTAATTGTTACATACACACAAAAAAAGAAAAAAAAATAGATGACTAATTCTTTTAATTAATAAACTAATAGTTGAATAATTATTAATTTATTAATGTAAAGAATACATTTCTATTTTAGTTAGTTTAATTAATACACATAACAAACTATCGTCTAAGTAATTAATATAAATTAATTACTTAGATAATAATTACCCCTAGTTATTCCTTTTCATTTTACGATTTTGGACCATTTTTTCGAAATTTTCTGCTTTATATTTGTTTCTCGGAAGAATGAAAAGTGAATTTGAAAATGTACAAACCGTGTCTGCGGCCGTCAGGTTAATTCCCAGGCCTCCAGCTCTTGTACTCAGTAGAAAGACAAATATGTCCGCTCTGTAACATGAAAAGTGCAGATTTAACGTGCGAGTAACTATCCTGTGTATTTGTATGTAAATGAATTAGGGTTCTAATGCACTCTGAGAATATACATAATCCCTTTGAGACTCGCTTTATTATTGAGCTTTTAATTTCAAGGAATTTACATTTTTAAAAATAAAACAAGAATATTTAAATATATATATAATTAATTAAAGAAAAAATTTGAATGAAAAAAGCCTAAATATTTACATAAAAATATAATTAAAATGTTAAAAGCCCCCTTTGATTTGAATAAGAAGATTATTTGAAGGCTCAATGAAAATATTATTTAAAGATTTAAGAAGAATATAATTATCTGGCTATAGAATTGAATATTTTGAAAAGAATTTTCATATTTACAAAAAATGTTTTATTTATTTTTACTAATTAGAATTACTAATCGACTTTAATTTAGTTCAAAAATAATAAAAATCTTCTTTTTAGAAGTAATTACCTCTTTTGAAAATCTGCCACCATATCTCGACGATCAGATATTTTTGAAGAGCCATCCAATCGCATGAATGTGTGTTTTCTGTGATACATGTACTCCTGAAAAAATTCAACACATAAGAAAGTTTAAAAATTTGCTGATTCAAATTCTTAGACTAGAGAGCGTAAAACCTAAATTACTTTAATAAGAAATACGAATTAAAATTTTTCTTTAGCAAAAAGTAATTTGTGGAATAAAATCCAAATTATAATTTAGTTCAAAAACTAATAAAAACATTCAAATAATTTTTTTATATAAATTTTTAAATTCAATTTCAATTATTTCAATTTTAATTATTTTATAATTTATTTTGTTTAATTTTATTTACTATATTTAATTTGATTTTTTCAATTTTAATTTATTTTGATCTTTGCTGCATTTTTTGTTTTTAATCCAACAATGATTAGAAAACAGATATAAAAGAACGAATTAATTGTACAAAAAACAATGTGAAAACTCACCTCTAATAGATCAATCATTTTTGTCATTTGTGAATAAATAAGAACTCGATGACCTTGTTCTTTGAGTCTTTTCAAAAGACTATCAAGTACAGAAAGTTTACCAGCGTCAGTTACCAATGTCTGTTTATCTGTAAAATTAAGAATAAAAAATATTTAACAACAAGAAAGAAAGCATTTTTTAAAAGGAAAACGTATTTTATTTTCTTTATTCGAAAAATATTCCATTTTTAGGCAAAATTAGAGCTAACAGTAGAAAATCGAAATCAAAATTTTCTCACTCAGTTCAAATTTCGTTTAATTTAGTTAAAATAAAAAAGGTGTATGATTATAATATTATTGTATTTCTAAATTAAATTTTAAGCGCGAAATGGTGTATTTAATTTACTGTTATGTAAATTACAAACATTTTTTATTTTTAAATATCAAATTCAGTTTTTGAATAATAATTTTAGATTCAAAATTATTAAAAATTGAGATTTTCAATTTCTTATGTTATTATGCAAATTATAAAATTTTCGATTTTCCAAAGTTAGTTACGATTCCATTTAAAGACAGAAAAATAAAATTACCTGGAACAATGATATTGGACCATCCATTAATTGGAGTGCAAACGGCAAGACCTCCAATTTGTTGATAAGAAAACGTCGACGACGTTGATATCATTCTTGGTCCAAGTTTCTCCTCAAATAGTGACAAATTGAAGGCTTTTTCACATCCCATCCACAATATTCGTTGTCCAACGAGTCCACCACATTCATCGTGTCTTCTCCACGCACAAGAAGCTGCACTATTACTCACATAAAGTTTTCTAGGACTAGTGTGAACCTAATTTTTAAAAAAAGAAAAGAAATTGAAGATTTTTTAAAATGCTTTGTTGTAATAACAATGTAGGAAAAATAATAATAATAACTAGAGGTGTGCAAAAAGCTCGAAACCCGAAGCTCGAGCGGGTATTTTCGAGCTTTTCATTTTTCGAGCCGAGCCGAGCCGAGCCTATTCAGTTCGAGCTCGAGCCGAGCTCGGGCCGAGCCGAGCTTTATAAAAAGCTCGAATAATTTCGGGTACTCGAATTTTTCGGGTACCCGAAACTTTCGGGTACTCGAAATTTTCGAGTACTCGATTTGATTCGAGCCCTTGAGAAAATCCAAAATTTTCTACATTAATTTTTAATTAAATTTTTTTTTTCAAAAAAAAATTTTTTTTAATTTAAAAGCTCGAATTAAATCGAGTACTCGAAAATTTCGGTTACCCGAATTCATTCGAGTACTCGAAATATTCGAGTACTCGAGTGAATTCGGGTACCCGAATGTTTCGGGTACTCGAAAATTTCGGGTACCCGATACATCGAGCCCGGCTCGGGCTCGGCTCGACTCGAAAAAATTGCGGCCCGGCTCGGCTCGGCTTTTCGAGCTTTTTGCACACCTCTAATAATAACATTAATGTAAGATATCATTGAGGTCATTACTTACTTTTGGATTTGTATCGGAAAGAAAAGGTGGAAGATAAGTTTGCTGACAATATCGTAGAACAGGAACTCGAGGAGTGTGAGGATGTTCCGGCAATAAAGTCAACTTTGATTCTTCTCCTTGTTCCATTTTCACAGCGACAATTGCTCTCTGCAACTAAATGAATAGAAAATATTTTTATTTAAATTCAATATTAAAATTTTGTTTATTGATTTTTAAATTTTTCCTCCAATTTTTCGGATCATAAATAAAAAGAAATAATAGTATTTCAATAATGGAAAAAATTAGCATTGAGAATTTAAAAATTTAATTACAATTCTAGGAGTAAATAAATACCTTTAATAGGTCCTTGGATGCTTTACTGCTTCTCAAAATTCGATGCGAAACAGTTTCGGGCATTGAGTGAATTGAATGTGTAGTGTTAGTGTAGAAAGCTTCCCCTGCGACAATTTTTCTCGTAAAGATTAAATCTTCCGTTACTGGGGTTGTTGCCTCAATTTTTCTTTTCAAAATCCCGAAGATGTTATGAGGCTCCGGACCACTTTCCTCCACTCGCCAATCCTCCCAATGCCTCTTTAGTTTCATTTGTTGCTCCAAAAGTGTCGCCCTACAGAGCCTAATTAACATTTTTAAGAGAAATTTAATTTATCATTTAATTATTAACATAAATTGAATTATATTTACATATATTTTAGACCATAATTTTTAAATTATAATTCCTTTAAAAAATGTGTGATTCAAATAAATGCAAATTGCAACAAAAACTCACCTGAAGAGAATGCCAATGACGAAAAATTTATTCAACTCCATTGGAGAGAGGTTAATTAGTCGAGAGAATGAAAAACAGGAATTCTCATTCCCCTCGCAAAATAGGGATCTGTGAATGTATTCCGTTGCGAAAATAAATAATTTATTGTACAGCAAGTGATTTCTAGATGGCAACGATTCATTCAATATTCCCTCTATATACAAAAGAGTTGGCATTTCGTAAGGTTCCGTTTTCATAAACAATGGTGATCGTGCATCTCGTCTTTCAAAAAGTTCCGGATGATTGCAAACCTGCATTTACAAAAGAAGCAAAAACAAAAAAAGATTAACTTAAATAATTGAAAAGTAGACAAAATTTTTTAAAATTCAATAGTGCGTAAAATAAAATTCCAAACCTTTCGAAATTGCATAACTAAATTCATCAAATTGGATGTGAAATTCTTATCGGTCGGCATCGAATCTCCTCCACCAACCGTATAATGTAATAGGTCCTCTATTCTTATCTTTTTCTTTAGAGCTAAAACAAATTCGCCGGTAAATTTAAATTTCACGAAATCAATTTCTTTCATGTAAATTAATTTTTTTTACTAATTACATACTAATTTATAAAATTGTCGATTCAAAAAAAAGCAAGAGACAATTTTGAGAGAAAGACTTTTCTCTGAACTCCCTGATTTCCCTAAACTGTGGTAACACTATAATTATTAAATTAGCAAAATTCTAAACTATAATATAAAAAAAATTAGATAATTTAGAATTAAAATGAAATCAGTGAAAAATTGAATTAACTCGTTATAACAAAAATTACCTGAGTAAAGAAGTTTTTGCCGTGTAGTCAAAGGACAATAGACCATGACTTCAATCTTATCAGAAAGCTCATTTTCCACGTCTTTCTTTATCCTTCTCAACATGAAGGGCTTCAGGATCATGTGTAATCGTGACAAGTGCTCTAAAAAAAATTACACAATATAAAGTTATTATTTAACGAAATATTTGAAATTATTTTCCTACTTATTACAAATCTTAATCACATTAATACAAATATTAGTTATTTATATTTTGATCACAGGAGTGTTTAAATTTATTTTTTACTTAATCAAAATTGTCAATTAATGAAAAAAATAATATTTACTTTCATCGATTCCTGTTTTATTCTCAGCGTGACTTTCAATATCTTTAGAGAACCACTCGTTGAATTCATCATGAGAATCGAATAATGTTGGCATGATAAAGTGAAGCAAAGCCCAAAGTTCTGCCATACTATTTTGAATAGGTGTTCCACTCAGAAGAAGTCGATTCCGACAACTGAAGCCCAGCAACAGTTTCCATCTCATACTGAGAACAAAGAGAAATTAATGATTTATTAATAATTCATCCAAGTTATTCACTCAATAATTGAAAATAATTCGCAAAAACTACACTTAAAAATAGAAAGAAAACAAAAAGAAATATTTACACTTTATTAATTGATCCACGCAATAATTGCAAATAATTCGCAAAAACTACGCATAAAAATAGAAAGAGAACAATAATGAAAACAAAAATAAATTCACTCTAAAAATTATTAGATACTCAAAAAAATGTTCCAATTAAATTTATTTACAAATTTATTCAAAAGTAAAATTATTCAAAAACAACAATAGTTTTATTTAAAATAAATATTTAATCATTTTTTTTTAAGATGTTCAAAAATTTCAAATTTAAACCTTCTCAAATTGAACAACTCATAAGAATATTTTATTATAAAGCATAAAGATATCGATCACTCCGAGTCTTCGACTCGGAGTAATCCATTTCTTTATGTTTTATAATAATTAAAGATGACCGACTGACAAAGTCATAATTTTATTATTATAAGAATATTGTTACTGTAATTTCTTCAACATTATTTGTATCATTTCAATTCAATTAACATTTTCTAGAATTTTTAACTAAAGTTCTACTTTAAATCAATAACATTAATTATTACTCAATTAAAATTTTTCAAAAAAAATTAATTCTACAGAATCGTTAGTTAAAAGTAGGAAAAATAATAATTTAATTCAACGAGAAATCAATTATTTAAATACAAAAATAAATAATATTGAATGTTTCTTAAAATTTTTATTATAACAATTTTTGAAAATAATTGAAAAGTTTTTGAAGAATTTTATTACATTTTTTAAAAATAATTGCATTCCTGAGAAGAATTTAAATATAATAATTTTTTAAAACAATTGAATTCATGAGAAAGGCCACAATCAAAAAACAGTATTTGACAAAAATTAAGGTCCTAAAAACATAACAATTAAAATTTTTGAAAATAATTGACTTCTTGAGAAGAATTTTTAATAAATGTTTGACAATAATTTAATTCTTGAGAAGAATTTCTCTATCTACTTAAATAAATATAATTAAATTCTAGACGAGAATTTTTAAAAAATTTTAAAAATAATTTAATTTCTGCAAAGTATTTTATTACTTTTCAAAAGAATTGAATTTTTGTGATGAATTTTGATATTTATCAAAATAATTGAATTTTGGAAAAGAATTTTATTAAAATTCCTTAGAATAATTGATTTTATGGGAAGAATGTATGCGATTTTGTTGTTTATCGAGCTAATTGAATTCTTTTGCAAAATTACTTAAAAAATTTTTGAAAATAATTGATTTTCTGCGACGAATTAAATGTTATTCATGAAAATATTTGATTACAACAAATTTTATTGTTTTATTGAATTATTGAATTGCAAAAAACTTTTGAAAGTAATAATTGAACTTTTGCAAAGATTTTTATAAATTTTTAAAAATAATTTAAATTCTTCGAATAATTTTATTACATTTGAAAATAATTCAATTCTTGGGATGAATATTGTTTTTTAAAAATAAGGTAGGTCATAACAAGTTTGTGCAAATTATAAGAATTTAAGATACAAACAACTTCTAAACATAATTGAGACTTGACTTCACCAAAATACTAATCTTACAAATTTTATAAATTTTATGAAAAATTTCATCGATTATAAATTTTAAGATTTAAAACTTTCAAAACAAAAGTTTCCAATTGAAAGTTTCAACAGCACTATGCTAAATTTGGTGTGAATTTTTTTAATTAAAAGATAAAAGAAAAAATAGGGGAAATTTTCAAAATAGGGTACGTTTAGGGGCCAAAATTTAAAAAAGGGGACACAGACTGTGAAGCCTGAAACAATGAAGAAAACAATAAAGAAAATAAAAAAAAATTGAAAAAGCGAAAATAAGAGCAAGCGATTAACACAAACAGTAATAGAAATTAATCAAGTAGAAAAATTGATATATTAAAATTAAAGGAGAAAGGAAAAATATTTAACTAACCTGCTTGTACTCTTAATGGCTTGAGCTTCATCAAGAATCATGTACTGCCATTTAATTCTGTTGAAATACTTGTAATCAGTGATGACAAGTTGATAACTTGTTATTACAACGTGAAAAGAGGCTTCTTTTGTGTGTAAATCTTTGGTATCCCAGAATTGTCGAAGAATTTTTCTTTCCTGCGGATTTCCCCAATATGGGACAACTTTAAATCCAGGGACAAATCTCGCCATTTCTTGCTGCCAATTATGCAACGTTGACGCTGGTGAAATTATTAAAAACGGTCCCCAAACAGCTGCGAAAAAAAATTAATTCATAAATTACGTTTCATTTTATTATTGTAATTTCTTTTTAATAACTTTAATAACTTGCATTGTAATTAATTTTTATTGTATTATTCTACGGTAATTAATTTTGTCACTTACAGTATTTTTCAGCTACATGACACAAGAATGCTATCGATTGCACTGTCTTTCCCAAGCCCATTTCATCAGCTAAAATTCCACTGATTCCCTGTAATAAAGAATCAATAATAATTTTACTTATTAATGTTATTGCATAGAAAAAAAAATTAATTTTCAATAACTTTCAGTAACTTGAAGTTCATATTCAACAAACTTTAAATTAATTTCAAATAACTTAATAAAATACAAACCTGATCGTAAAGATTAGCCAACCAATTCATGCCCTTTAATTGATAACCCTTAAGATTTCCTTTGAAAATCGATGGCTGCGGGTGTTCCTGCGTCTCAGGAGTGTCGCTCAATCGTAATTCTTGATTAGCTTTAGCCGTATCAAATTGCCTAGTCCTCGCTCTTTCACTATCAAAAGCTTCCGTTGCATTTCTCTTCGCCTTTTGCTTCATACTGTCGCTGCAATTGAAAGAAAAATCAAATTTTAATAAAATACAATAGCAAAAAAATAAAATTGTATTTTACGATGAATAATAAAAAATGAAATTTTTTAAAATAAAACTTTAAAAAAAGTGAGAGTATTTTTTTAAGTTTTAAACAAACGAATTGAATTTTTAAAAATAAAAATTTGAAATTCTACCTATTGTAGTCGTCGATTCCAATTAATCTAGGATTCTTTTCCTCGTCAAGTTGATTTAAGATTCTCATTTGTTCTTCGGTGGAAACTTTACCAACTTTTCGTGACATGAAGTGAGCGTAGAGTTCAGTTTGTGTAATGAGAAAGTTTAATTTCCTTTGTTGTCGTTTCGCCTAAAAATAGAAAGAAAATAATAACAAATGCTCAATATTGAAATAATGAGTGTATGAAAAATTAATTTAAATATTGTGTAAAAACCTCTATCATTTCCACATCCATTTTTCGTTGTTCTTCCGCCTCCTTTTCCAATCTCCTTCTCGTTTCTCGTTCCACACGATCGTATCGTTTCCAATAGGATTGCATTTCTCTTGTTAATCTCTTCGCCCTCCAGATTGTCTCCTTCATATTCTTCTGAGACTAGAATTGAAAAATATAATAATTAAATTAATTAAATTAATTTTTTTGTAATTTTATTCTGATATTTTAATTTTAGTTCGTATTTAATTTTAATTAGTTTTAGTTTGCATTTTCTAGTAGAATTATAAGCAGAAATTAACAGAGCAGATTATTATTATTATTATTACCAATTAAGCATAGTAGTAATTAAGCATTTTAATATTTACCTGCATTGCCTTTTGCCGCCAATATTTCATACAGTGTTGAGCTACTTTTTTACAACTAATTAACATCTCCTTATGATTATTAATTTTCGCTCTTTGTACTTTTCCAAGTTCCTTCTTCGACATCATTATCCAAATCTTTTTCCTCCTCATTGCCATAACTTCGGGACTTTTATTATTATGCTTTTTTCTAGCTCGACCACGTGCCTGAAACTTCATTGCAGACTCCAAATCAGTTTCATCTAATTCCTCATCTTTCAATCCACTTCGTTCCCATTCGTCCTCGGGATAATTGTACTGTACGAATAGAAATTTACATAAATTAAAATTTCATTTTTTTTTCTTTTTTCATTGAAGAAAATATTTTCGACTTTATTCAAAAAAAAAAAAAAAAAAAAAAAAAAACACTTTCGCACCTTATCGTCAGGAACCTTTTGTCGTCCTCCCTTTTCCTTTTTAATTTTTACAACCTTTGCATCCGGTCTTCTTTCCTTCTTCTTTTTATTTCCAACAATGAGCTTCTGATGCTCCGGAAATCTATCGTAACTTGATAACAATCCAGCACCATAATACTGATACTGAATGTTCTGTAATGAAAAAATTATAACAAATTTAATTATTTTGAAATTCAATTTAACAAATTTTCAATTAATTTGATGATTCTTGAATAAATCTGTCTTAAAAATTCAAATAACTTTGAACAATTGAATTAAAATCTCTCAGATAACTAATTTTTATAGAATTTTAAATAAAATGATTTAAAACTTGAATAATTTTTACAATAAATAAATAAGTAATTTCTTCACAGCAATTGAAATTTTCAAGAATTTTAGATTAAAATTTTCTGAAATTGAATTATCTTTAAAAATAAAAACTTTTTTTTATAAAAATGTATAAAATACTTATTTGTTTGACAAATCAGAATTATGCTGGATTGCAAATTTTCTGTTTATCAATCACAATTTTCTTTATAAAATCATAAGTTTCCTGTAGAATCAGATGAAATTTTTGGGGTAATTTCTATTTTTAATCACAATTTTTTTAACATAATTACAAGTTTTTTTTAGAAATAAAGGAAACAATGTTTATGAATCACATTTTTAGACAAGATTTGAAGTTTATTTTCGAAGAAAAGAAAAATAATTTACAAAATTTCTATTTGTTAATCACGATTTTAAAAAAAATTATAATTATTAAATTATGAAATATTAAAATTCTATTTCATGGTTGCCACAAAATGATAAATATAAAATTTTAGGCTTTTTCCATCGTTTTCAGGTCAATACTTATGACATTCCAGTCAAAAATTAAAAAAATTTCTGGCCTAATAACACAGCTTAAGCTCTAAATTTTTTTTAAAATTTCCAAATACTAAACATTTAATAAGAATTACAAACCGAAAATTTTTCTTTCTTAGAGATTTTTATATGGCAATGAGATAAAAACGTTTTTTAAATTTAAGTTAAAATTTTCATAAAAATCTTTAAAAACAAGCAAAAAAATTTTTAACTTAAAAAAAAAAATTAATTACTGGTCACAAACTACTGCTAAAACAATTCCAATAATTATCTGAGTCGTCAAAATTAATTCAATTGACAATTCATAAAAAAGTAACCACAGCCGATAATCAGCAGAAGATGAAACATTATTTTTTTGGCGAACTTTATCTTCTGTTTAATAACAAAAATTAGTCAAAAAATTTGTTCCTGGTCCTAAACTATTACTAGAACAATTCTAATAATTATCTGAGTCGTCAAAATTAATTCAATTGACAATTTAAAAACGGAACCACAGCCGATAATCAGCAGAAGATGAAAAATTATTTTTTGTGCAAACTTTATCTTCTGTTTAATAACAAAAATTAGTCAAAAAATTTGTTCCTGGTCCTAAACTATTACTAGAACAATTCTAATAATTATCTGAGTCGTCAAAATTAATTCAATTGACAATTCATAAAAAGTAACCACAGCCGATAATCAGCAGAAGATGAAAAATTATTTTTTGGGCGAACTTCATCTTCTGATTACTAACAATTGTTAGTCAAAAAATTTTTCCCTGGTCATAAATTATTACTAGAACAATTTCAATTAATATCCGGATCATCAAAATTAATTCAATTGACAATTCATAAAAAGTAACCACAGCCGATAATCAGCAGAAGATGAAACATTATTTTTTGGGCGAACTTTATCTTCTGATTACTAACAATTGTTAGTTAAAAAATTTTTTTCTTGTCCTGAACTATTGCTAGAACAATTCCAATAAATATGTGGGTCATCAAAATTAATTCAACTGACCTTTCAACTTAGAACTCATTTGCTTAAAAAAACATTAATTTAAAGTAAAATAAATCGTCTCGTTATTTTATTGTTTTCGTTTTTTAAAAACGTTAGCAGAGTTAAGCTTTTCTACGAAAAAACAAAAATTTTGTTGTTATTCTAGAAATTTGTTACTTTTCAGGTACTTTTAATAAAATTCACCAACATTTCCGACCAACTGAGTTCTTCGTGACCTTTTTCTGAATTTCCTGATTTCCCTGACTTGTGGCAATTCTGTTAATTAATAAATAAAAAATGGGACAATGTAGCGAATCATACCTCCTGTTTCTGATAAAATCGAGCTTGATACTTTTTCCTAAGAATGTGAAATTTTAACATATCCTGGAAATCATCTTCCGTTATTGGTCCATCTGTATCCGATTCCGATTCAGAACTATCGGATGTTTCACTGAGAAGAACATCCTGTAACCATCTACGCTCGTCTCCCACATTACTCATATTATACAATCGAAGCTTATTTATCCTTTCCTCTGAAAATTAATCATTTCGTTAATTTATTTACGATACGATACTTTATAAATGATAAAATAAAATGAATAAAATTATATAATTCTATAAAGACGATAGTTCAACGAACCCTCTTTCTGTGTCAAGATATCCTCGAGATATGTTTCAGATTCATCAGAAGATTCTGACGATTCGTTGTCTTCATTACTGTGAAATAAAAAATATCGAACGATTAGCAATCAGTATAATTTTCGAGAGTAATCTCTATATAATTGTAGATTAATACCTGACACGATCTCGAAAGAGATCATTTATTTGTGATAAAAAAGGCTGAACATTAACACTCCGCTCTAATCGTTGCAAATGCAATGGAGCTGCCATCTCGGCATCCAACCCCATCATTCGGTTCCGATCAGTCATAATCGAAACTTTCTATTATCCTAAAAAATTAATAATTCATTGTAAATATTCCGTTATCGAAAAATTGGAAAATAAACAATTATTCTAGTTTCGACACAAGGTAAACTATAAATTCAATAAACACCACACTCATTACTATTTAAAGTCGAATTCGACTATTATATTCGAAATAATCGAGTTTAAAAACAGAAAGAATTCGAAAATAAAAATTGGTACACAAAACAGTAAATGACCACCAGCACTGACCCCAAACTCCACACTTATTTCAAACAAACCTCAAAAATAATGAAACAACAAACTTCATTGACTCCTACAGAAAAAATTTCCACATCCTCATGAGTAAAAATAGTAATAAACTAATAAAAAAATTAGAATAAAATAAGAGAATGTTTGTAAAGAATTGTTGTTTATAAAAGGCAAAGATATGAGTAAACATGTGTTTTCATGTGACGAATTCTGGCGATGAATGTTGGAAAAGAAAATTTTCTAAAATCAACAAACTACGCGTCATTGAATGTAAAAATTTTCAATTTCTTGAAATGTGGATAATTTCATTACATAAGGAGAGAATGACATGACGAATCATTTATAGTATATGGTTATATTTTACAGAAAATACTCAAGTTTTTATCATACAATCACCTTGTTTGTTTGGTTAGAAGTAGCCCGCAATTTATTTCGTTGATATAATGGGCGCGTCAGCATTAAATGAAATCTTCTTTTTCACATTGAAAATGAATATACTACACGATGAAAAAATCATAATATACAGAAAGCAAGAGATCGCAGACATTTGGCGTGCTAAAGAGCAGGGATAGGGAATATTGTTGGCCACCATTTTTGTTTTCATGAGATGGCGCGTTCATCGCCCGTGTCCCCCTTGCGTCTTTTCTCTAAACTGTCGTCCATAGACTTATCCAATTGTTTCTTTTCATTTTCACAACAATTTTTACTTTTAATTAATAGTAATTGAGTTATTTAATAATTGAGTTATTATTCACGAAAGGCTGTAATTAAAGGGGTTGATTAATTAGATGGAAATTGTTAACTAGTGATTAGAAGAACACGGAGAAATATTATGATTGGTCGATTGTTGAAGAGCGTTTTGGCGGTAAATTCAAATTTATTCTTACCATCTTTCGGTAATTATTAATTAACAATTGTTTATTTCGGTCTTATTCATGTTGTTAATTCAATTCAATTAGAAAAAATTAAGAATTCAGAAGAATTGCAAAGAATCTTCAGTTGAAATTTGCAACTATTGTTTAAAAATAAGAATTAATTATTGAAAATTATTCAAACGCGGTAAATTTAAACTTTGTGTTATTTATCTCGAAAAACCTCAAATACGAATCTTTTTGACACTCAGAAAAATCAATTTCACATAATTTATAACTTAAAATATAATTTATTCATAGTTCATTTATACAGTACCTTTAAAAATACAATAAATTCGCAAAGTTTCATTTTACTCTTTTTCCTCCCACACACATGGAAAAAATGCACATTCAAAATTTACAAATACGTTTATCGTTTGCTGGTTGTTTTTTTTTTTTACTTTTTAAACGGTTTCATTAATAAAGTACAAATTGCCTAAAGTTGTAATAAATTATTTTCACAATATGGTGGTTCCCTGTTTGATGTTTTAATTTCTTACGGTATTAATAGAGTCAACATGATTTTGTTTCTTACCAATTAGGACAACTTATATTAAATATTTATTTATTTTTTTCCTTTTTTTTATGAAGATGCTTTGGCGGCATTTTTCTGTTGAGCTTGAATAAATTCTGGATAATCGATGAAACCATCTTGATTCGTATCGTCTGATTGCAAAATTGGTTCTATTAATTGCAATAATTCCTCGTCGGGGAAAATTTTTGCTCCCTCGTCATGTGAATTTGGATCTTTACCTCCGTGTTCTATTAATAAAATATTTGATTGTAAAAATAGTAATTGAAGTAACGAATTATTTTATAATTAAATTATTTTTATAATTGAAACGAATAAAAGTTGAATTTGAGAGAAAATATCAGGGAAAGAAAATTTTTTGTCAGTAAAATCAGCGAAATGTCAGGAAAAAAAATTGTTGTGAGGGAAATTAAGAAAATTGAGACTTTATTCGACTTATTTTCACAAATTGAAGAATTTTAATTTGCAAATTTTAAAAATAATTGAAATATCAAAAATGTTGATGAAAAATCTTTAAAGGTAAATTTAAAAACGAAAGTTAGTTTCGAATTTCTTAAAGTTCAATATTTTCAGTATTTTCAATTATATATTTCCAAAAATTAAAATACATACAAAAATAATAAGATTTTAGAATTATTTTTAACATTTTGGAGAAAACATGTTCATGTTCAAAATTTTTCATTAAAATTCATCAAAAAATTAATTAGTTTTTTTAAATTATACAAAAATTCTTTTAAGAAATTCAATTATTTTCGAAAAATTACATTATAATATTTTTAAAAACTAATTATTAGAATTGTTTTATAATAATTTTTTAAGATTAAATTACCTTCGAACAATGTAAATAAAAATTTATGAAAATTTACTTTTTGGACTTATTAAAATTTTTGAGAAATCATGGTCCTGTTTATAATTAAAATTCTTCAAAAATTTGATCAGTTTTATTTATATTTTTCAAAAATTCAATTATTTTTAAAAAATTTTACCAAATTTGAATTGTTTGGAAATTTTTCAAAAAACTATTATCTTTCAAAAATTATGTTTTATAATAAAAATTAAAGATGACCGAGTGATAAAATCATTATTTTATTTGTAACTGTAGGTAACTTCTTAAAAATTATTTTCATCATTTTAATTCAATTGTTATTTTCTAGAATTTTTAATTATTTTTTATGAAAATAATTCAATTCCTTAAAAAAATTTTACTTTTTATGATCCGAGCCCTGTATTTTGTCGGGGAAAATAATTTTAATGTCAGTAAATTGTTAGGGAAATGTTTTAAAAATAAGATTTACTCACCATGCCAGTGAATGAGGGACTTAATAAGTTCACAACCATCTAATTTATTATTATTGTCAGCGTCGTGCATTTTAAAGTAATGGAATTGAAGTTCTTGTTCTGTCATTTTGGACGTATCGAGCGGAACTTCCATATGTTCCTTAATATGGCTGTTTATGAAAAATTAAAAATAGAAATGATATAAATTAATTTTTTCCACTTTAAAAAAAAATTCTACGTACTCTTTTTCTTGGGCAATATTGGCGGCGTTGAGAACTTGTTGTTGTCCATGATGAGCATGTCCATGACCATGAGGTTGTTGATGTTGTTGTTGTTGATGCTGTGGTACTTGATGATGTTGCACAGGTACCTGTTGATGCATTGGCACTTGTTGTTGTTGCACAGGCATTTGTTGATGATGCATTTGTTGCTGTTGTTGAGGAGCATTATATTGTTGCCCATGTTGCATCGGCACATTTTGTTGAGGTACTTGCTGATACTGCTAAAAATTTCACGCTTACAAATAGAAAATCCATTCGACAAGTATTTTAAATTAATTATGAAATTATTTACATCCTTCCTATGTATTTTAATTTTTATTCGATTCTCAAAAGAAAGAATTAAATTCCTCAATTTTTCTTTGAAAAATTAAATTAATTAGAATTAAATATATTTTAAAATATAATTAAAAAAAAATTGTTTTCCAAATATAATTATTCCAGAATAATTTGTTAAAAATGAATTTTTAATGAAATCATTTTATTAATTTTATTAAATAATTTCTATCCAAATATTTCAAGTAGGTTAAAAAAAATAGGTCAATTATGAAATATAATTCTTCTACGTGTATATTTCAATTACGAAACATTTAAAAAAAATACAGGAGTAATTGCAGAAACCTCTTATCAACAATTAGACAAAATACACAAATTACAAAGCAATTACGATAAGATAATTATGATAATTATTTATACACTAATGATTGTTGATAAACTTATGTCTAACAGCAATACAGTTAAAAGTACATAACTCCAAGTTTCATGAGACCATATGTTTATGAAATTAAGCCAAGGTGTAAAAAAAATGTAACAAACCTGTTGATAATGTTGTGGAGGTACACCAGGTGCAATACGATCACCCTGGCCATAAGCCAATTTAAGCCACGAGCAACAAATAAATAAAATCCACAATGTAAAATTCATGTTTTTTTTCCTATTTATTCTTCCCGGTGAGTGAAAAATATGGTGAAACTTGTCAAGATGTGTCAATTGAATAATGAATTTGTTTAGAAAAACTCAATAACTGAAAACGTGTCATGTACGTTTACAATTGGAATATTTATTACTCTTCTGTTATTTAAAACGAAATCGTATTTTAAAAAATAAACTTTTATTATAAAACGATTTCATTAATAGCGGATTATTTCTTGGTTATGTTTGAAGAATTTTGCAGACCTTGCAGACTGACGTGTTCAAAAATCGTGTTCCAAAAATAGGAGGGGGAAAGAGAGAATTTTCAGTTTTCAGATTGAGTAAACAAATGTATACACGTTATTATTTACTTCCGTTTATAACGAGAATAATCCCCGGTGTGATAAGATTATAAAAATAAAGTTTTTCCAAGTACTTGAGTTTAGTTAAAACACTTACTGAAAATTGATAATATTTTTCTATTTTCCTATTTTTTATGTATTATTTTTGTGATTTTTGACATATTTTTGTGATTTTAAATGTTTGAAATTCGGTCAGATCAGGTTAGAAATTGTCTGAACAGGTTAGGTTAGGTTAGAAAATATAAAAAGTGGGGGAAGTGGATATCAACGCCTCTAACGTCAGTCAACAGGAACTAAACGCTTTTTGCAAGAATTAACGAGAGTGCAGAGAAATATTTATAAAACGTTTTAAATCTAATTAAGAAGTAATTTTTAATCAATAAAAGTGTTTAATTACGTGCGTTTAGTATTCCAAAAAATGCTCGACTCTTCATCTGTCTTAATATTTTACTAAATAGGTTAATTTTCGAAAGATCGAAATGATCTAATGCCTTTAGTTTTGCTGGCGTGTTGAAAACTTTTTAAAAAGTAAGTTTATAATTTTTGACTTTATATTTCATATGTTTTATATATTTCATAAACTATTTAATTTAAAACGTTTTTTTTAGCGACACATAAAATCAGTCGTTAAAATGATTAAAATAATGCATTATATTTGAGATAGAATGTTTAGATTATTGACATTTTTTCTATTATCTAGATTCCGTAGATTCCAAACATTGAGAGCATTTTATTACTTCCTAGTTTATATTTTTTTCTTCTAATTGTATGTTTAAATTTATAGAATTGTAATCGACAATTTTATGGAAAAATGCCATCAGTGTCAAAGCATCGCAAGGTTAAGAGACCAAGTGTTGTTATTAAGAGAACACAATGTCCTAGAAATCGACCTCCAAAAGCTCGTACACCATGTAGGTTTTTTTCATGTAATTATGCTAATTATTTCTTTTTTTTTTTTTGTTAAAAAAGTTTATATTTTTTTTTATTTCTAATATTACTCAATTTCTAATTACAGCGTATGAAAAATTAAAAAATAACAATCATTCTTTGGCAAGAGCGTTATCGCAGGAAAAACAGGAGAGTCAATCACTTTTTTCTCAGAATGTTGCTCTTGTCGCTGAAGTACACGACCTGGAATTCGCCTGTAAACGACGAGACGTGAGTATTAATTTTTTTTTTTGAATTCTAAAAATGAAAGTCTGTAAAGAAATCGTTTGTAGCTTTAGTTTTCAATTGTATTGTTTCTAAAATTTTTTTCTTTTTAAACAGGATGTGCTGAAGAGTGTTTCAAATAATGCGAAAGAAATGCTCCAACTGATGATAAATATGAGTAATTGTCTAACAAACACAATATCGTCCTGTCAGGAGTTTATTTCAAATACAGGAAACAGTTATCGATCATCTGCATCTTCTACTGGAAGTGAGTTAATTTTTTAATAATTTTCTTTCTTCTTTCTACTTATTTTATTTTTTCTTTACATTTTCTTATTTCTTTTTCATTTTTTTCTTATTGCTTTCTACTTATTTTATTTTTTCTTTACATTTTCTTATTTCTTTTTCATTTTTTTCTTATTGCTTTCTACTTATTCTATTTTTTCCTTCAAATTTATTTTCTTGTTTCTTTATTTCAGGACGTGATTCAAATAGAAGACTGTCTACAAAATCGCCTGCTAGAGGAGTTGTGAAGCCAATGGTTAGTGGACATACAATACAAAAGCCAACAATTAATTTATCGAGAGTGAATATGCAAAATATTCAAAGTGTCCTGAGTTTAACGACCATTGAAGAGGCGCCTTCCTCGCCGGAAATAAATTCAGCCTCACCTACCAATGGTTCACCTAGAAGTCCTTCCAATAGAATTTCCGATTCATCACGCAGACAACTCAATTATGTAGGTATTTTTTAACGAAAAGAAAAAACGGAAGACAACAAAATGATTTATTACAATAAAATGATTTCAGGAAAATCGACGTGTCCGGAGAATATCAGAACGACTTCCAGTCGTATTGATCGATGGTAAGAAGAATTGTTTTCTAATAATAGAATTTTAGTTCTTTAATTAAAAATAAGTAAATTAATAGTTGAAAAATCGAATTTTCTAAGAATTTCCTTGTAACAAATTGATAAAAAATGATTTAATTCAACAGTCAATTAGATTTATGAAAAATTTTTATTCAATTTCTTAAAGATAGTTGAATTTCTAAAAAGGTTTATTAAAAAATAAAAATTAAAATAAATTTGTTCATGAATTTTATTAGACATTAAGAGAAAAACGAATTTTCGAAGAGTTTTTATTTAATGATTCGTAGATAATTTAATGCTAAAAATATTTTCAGATTTGGATGAAAGAAGAATTAGTAATAGACCAAGAATCTCAGATCGATTCTCTGGTAGATTTTCAAAACGCAAATCAAATAGTTTATCGGAAAATCGAATAAAAAGGCGAAGCAATGATACACAAAATGATCGACTCGAAGGAATTCTAATTAAAAGTCCACGTGTGGCCCTAAGCGATGTTTCCAAGTTACTTCAAAATTTACAAACGGTTAACGTTCGAACGGTATTGAAAATTTTTAAATTTACACTACAATTAATCTTTAATCTTCTATCTACTTCTATTTTCTATATTAATAATCATTGTATTTCGGTAATCTGTTCGCAGTTTAAAATTAGTTGTTGTTAGCTTTTTTCTTTCCTAACTTTTTTAACAATTTTTCTTTTTAAATATTTTCAATATTTCAATTGCGAAAAATTTTACAATTTACAAAAATAATTGAATTATTTTGAAGAATTTGATCATAATTTTTGAAAATAATTGAATGTTTTAAAATAATTTTATTAAAAATTTTGAAAATAATTGGATTCAATTGAAAACTTTTATTAAAACGTTTAAAATAATTAATTTTTCTTAAAGATTTTTTTAAAACTGTTGAAAATAATGGAATTTAATTAATTATTTTTAAAAATAATTGTATTCTTTCGAGGAATGCTATTATTTATGAAAATAATTAAATTCTTGCGAAGAATTATATTACAATTTTGAAAATAAATATAAATTAAATTAAATTAAATTTCGTAATTCTAATTCGCATTTTTCTTATTCTTTTTAAGCTCGAGGAACAATCGTTAGTAATGGACGAGACACGATGTTTAAATTCAACAATTGGTTCTCAGAGTCGTGAGAATAGCTCATTAAGATCCGAGAAGCAAGCAGATAGTCAAATGGAAGATTTAGAAAGTGATCCAGATGTTTGTATAAAATTACCCTCAAGATCAGTGAATAATGAATTTAATCCAAATATGACAAATTCAAAATCAGAGACTGCCGATAAAACACGTATTCTCAATGGATCGAGTTCATTTGAAAAATCACCACTCGACAAAACAACAATTCTAAACAATGAGAGTTATAGTTTCAGTAATGAATCGAAAAAATCGACAGTCAACAATAATTCAATGAATGAAGATCCATTGGAGGGTTCAAGTTGGATGTTCAATAATGATTTAACAGCTCCAATTGAAAACGATTCTGATTCTGATTCAGAAAGTCAAATTGACAACGCTCATTATAAAAGTTCGAAAGTAAATGCCAATCAACAGAATGGAACATTCACTCCTGCACGTACATCAACGAAATTACAACGTCAATTGGACATTACAGAAAATGAAACACCCAAGAAGGGTGCTTACTCGAAAGGAGGAATTAATAATGATAATTCACCAGATATTGAGATGACGATGAATTTTGCACGTTTCGTGACAAAAAATCGTGGACATTCAGCACGTGAAGTTGTTGATGATTTCAATGATATGGATGATCCAACAATAATGTTAAACATAAGACAACAAACGCGTAAACCATCGTTTAATATTGATGATTTACAATTGCCAGTTATTGAGAGTCCAGTTGTTAATAGGCCAGTTAATGAGCCTGAAATAACAAGTACCATTAATATTGTTGCAATTAATGGAGTAATGAGGGAGCCAATTAATTATTTATCGAATATGAGTTTACCACGTTTTTCAGACGTTCCTGTTCCTGTTTCTGAGGATGAATTAGAAGTTGAAAGTCCCGTTGTGGAGAAAAAGAAAGTGCCCCGAAAACGAAAGAAAAAGGAGATATTGAATGAAACACATTCGGAAAATGAGATGTCAATTCAAAGTTCTGTGCAAAGTAAGGCAAAGAAGAAAAAGGTGAAACATAAAACTAATGAAAAGGATAAGGATCCAAGTGCTGCTAAAGTTGTTCTACAGAAATTACCCTCACAGAGCAGAAAATATTCGGACGAATCATTTACGTTGAGGTGAGAAATGAATTTTTTTATATTGAATTAATTGCTTTTTTCCACTTAAAAACTTTGAATTTACAATAAATTTTAGAATACCATGATTTTTTCTTATGTATAAAATTGAATTTTATTTAAATAATTAAATTATAAAATAACTTTCTTTTTCATATTTAAATATTATTTTACATAAAAAGGATTCTAGTTAAAAACAATTGCAAATTTCAGAAATAATTGAATTTCACAAGGTTTTAAACCATAAATATTGAGAGTAAATAAGGAAAATCACAATTATTGTGAAGAAATTAATAGATAATGTAATTAGATAATTGTTTTCCAAAACGATTTCAATTTTTTAAATAATATTGTCAAAAATTCGAAAGAAATTATCTTTTTCAGAGATTTTAATTAAATTGTTTAAAGATATAAATTTAAATATAAAGATTGTCTTTCTGGGGAATTTTAATTCAATTATTTAAAACTAAATAGAATTTTTTTTTTAATTTATTAAACAATTGTCAAATTAATTGGAATTTCGGGAAATTTAATTGAAAAAAATTACATTTGTTAAAGAATTCTATTCGAGATTAAGCAAAAATTGAATTTTCAAAGAATTTTATTTAATAAACTGATAAATAATTTAATTTAAAAATAGAATATTGACTTGATTAACAATATTTCAGAAAATTTATATTCAATTGTTGCAAAATATTAGAAGTTTTAAAAAATCTATTAATGAACTATTAAATTGATTAAAATATTGTGCTAAAAAATTTCATTCAAGATTTTAAAAAATCGATTTTTCAAACAAATTGTATCAAATAATTGGTGAAAATAGTTTAATTCTAAAAAAATTTCTTTGTAAGAAATTTTAATTCAATTGTTTAAAAATACTTGAATTTAAAAAAAAAATTATTAGGTAAATGAAGAATTATTAAATTAATTTAAACTTTTGTGAAATTGATTTGAAAATAATAAAATTCGTTACAGAATTTTATTAGAGATTACGAAAAAATTGGATTTTTAAAAAAATGTTTATTTAATAATTGGTGAATAATTCAATTCTAAAAAAAGCTGTCTTTGGAATTTTAATTTAATTTTTTAAAAATACTATAATTTCTTTAAAAAAATTATTAAAAAATTATCAAATTAATGGTCATTATTTTGGTAAAATTGAATTAAAAATAATATAATAGAATTTTATTAGAATTTAAGAAAAAATGTAACTTTCAAAGAATTTTAATTTAAAAATCATAAAACAATTAAATTTTACAATCGAATGTATTTAAATTTTTATTAGCGTAAAAAGCTGCACAAAAAGGTAAAAATTGCATCTAAAATAATTTATCTTCAAAAGAGTTATGTATATTTAAACTTTTTATCAATTTTATTGCAAATTTTGAAAAACTAGGTTTTTAAAATATTTCAGTTCCATTGTTTATTCATAATTACATTTTTTTTAAATATGCAATTTAAAATTTTTTTAGTTAATTAAAATTTTTGAAATTCTTTTAAAATGAATTAAAGCAGAAAAAAAATCAAATTTTTGTAGCAATTCTGTAAAAATAATAATAGAAATAATAATAAAAATGTGTATTTAAATATAAATTCAAATAATTTAATTAATATTTAAGAAATTTGTTAACTCTGAGTAAAAGCTAAATAAAAAGAAATTGAAGCAAATAAGAATTCAGTTGAAATGTAAATTAATTAATTTTTTCAGGAACTCAGTAAAAATGGAACCAACGAGTGATTCTGAAAGCAGTAATGCCAGCAGTAAATATGCTTCTACAAGACCAAGACGTCAAAAAGCTCCATTAAATTTACAAGAACCTAACTTAATGAAGTAAGGATTTTTCTTAAGTTTTATTTCAAACTATAAAATTTAATTTTATCGCAATAATTACAAGAATATCAAAAGAAAGAAAAAAGAAAAATTAAAAAATTGATAAAATTTACTTTTCTACTTTCAGGAAGCTTAGAAGGAAAGATTAAAAATCTCCAGATTGCGTGTGTCAACATTTTTTATTTTTCTGAAGGACTTAACTAAATTTACTTGAGTTTTCCAATAATTTAGCAATTATACATAAGCTACTATTTATTACTTATGCAAGGCATTTTCCACATTGAAACATATTGCTTCCATATTTTCAAATCGCAGAAAAATCCACATAATCAATTTTTTTTTCTTTTCATTTCTTTTTATTTTATTCATTTTTTTTCTCTTTTACATATATGTTTGATTTTAAAAAAGAAAATTAATTTTTATAATTTACTTGTAGACAAGTGAGTAATTTAGTTAATTTTTCCTCTTTATATAACTTTTATTTTTTCCTCTTGATTTTGTATTTAATAGAAAAGGACAATATAAACTTTCTAATAATCAAGAAATATATTTTTTTTTAATTTTTTGATTCTCGATGCCTTTTTGTAGTACTATGACAAAATTTAAAAATGAAGCTTAGCTTCCATTGAAAAATTATTTAAATAATAAAAAGATTTATTTTCTATTTTGAGAACTTATTGTGTTCACACTACTGCTTGAGTTTACAATATATTAATTTTTTATTTGTAATGTATGTCAAGCCTTGTCAAGCCTTTTATAACAATTCTGAAAATAAAGAAAAAATAAAATATACCCACAGTTTAATAATTTTTCATTGACTTCACTTGAGCGTTTATAAAATATAAATAATTTTCTAAATTTTAATTTCATATAAATACTTAACTTTTTCTAATATTGTAATTATATTTTATATTTTCTATAATTTAATTTTTGTTTGTTCTAATTTTGAATTTCTCCCGCGTTTTACAGCGCTCTCTATAAACAGGAATTTCAAACAAATTATGACAACACTTCGTGATGACAACATTAAAAATGTCAAAAAAGTTTAAAACACATAGCATTTAAGCTACAATTTTAGATATATTATTGATAATAACTATGTGTAAGATTAGTTTTTAATTAGTTACAAAAATCATGAGTTCAGCTAAAGATGATGACGATTATTGGTATGGCAGTGATAAGAGATCCTTTTGTTTTGAAAGTAATGAGGTTAGTTTCTTTAAATTATCCTTTATATAACTATAATAACTTGTTTATTAAAAATTTAGACCAATTCAGACTGATTTAAATAGAAAAAAATTGATTGTATTGTTTTTCAATATTTACTGTCTATGTAAAACTTTTGAGGGTTACAGTAGAAATCAATAAAGCATTGTTTATTGTTTACTGTAAAAGAGAATTTTTTTAATAATAAACCTTAAAAGTTGTTGATTTATAAATTTTTTATATTATATAAGAAGGATATTAAAATAAAATTCAATTATAACATATTACTTTCTTATAAATATTCAGGAACTATTAAATAATTTTGTAAAGAAATATTGTGAATATTGTAACAAAAATTTTGTTAATCTTACAAAAAACTATAATTAAAGTTTTACGCATTAATTAATTTTACTATTTTATGTACAGTACCGTCCGCAATTGTCAGTCCACCTATTTTTAAAGGAATGACAAAAATTTTTTAACATAAAATTCATGAAAACTAAAATTTTTTTTGGTTTATATTTTGAAAGACGATAAAATTTTGAAAAGAATAAGACCTTACAGAAGTCATTTGGCCAAAATTTGTAGAAGATATTCCTAAAAATCGTCATTTTCAATGTTTTACAAAAATTTAAATAACTTCTAAAATAATGAACGCTTTTTAATAATCTTAGGCTTATTTTAAAGGTCTTTTTCTACGGAATAAGAATTACTTATAGGCATTAACCTGTCATTTTTAACTTGAAATAAGCATGACGTCAAAATTGGACAAAAAAATTGGAAAAATTTAAAATCAATTTTTTGTACTAAAAACTATTCTAGAACATATATAAAACATGATATGGTGTAGATTTTTCAAGAAAATTTAATAAAAATATATGTTTGAATTTTAAAAATTATTTTTCTTTTCATAATATTATTTCAAATTTTTTGAATTTTTTTGTCCAACTTTGACGTCATGCTTATTCCAAGTTAAAAATGACAGGTTAATGCCTATAAGAAATTCTTATTCTGTAGAAAATGGTCTTTAAAATAAGCCTAAGATTATTAAAAAGCGTTTATTATTTTAGAAGTTATTCAAATTTTTGTAAAACATTGAAAATGACGATTTTTAAGAATATCTTCTACAAATTTTGGCCAAATGACTTCTGTAAGGTCTTATTCTTTTCAAAATTTTATCGTCTTTCAAAATATAAACCAAAAAAAATTTTACTTTTTATGAATTTTATTTTAAAAAAATTTTGTCATTCCTTTGAAAATGGGTGGACTGACAATTTCGGACGGTACTGTATATATACATATATAAATTAAAAATAAATTATTAATCATATTATTAAAGATTAAATATAGATGAGAATTGAAAACATTAACTACTGCTAATTTATTTTTTTGTAGTGATTTACTGAAAATATAATTTTCTGTAAATAATAATCAATAAATAACAATGAATTCTGTATTTTAGAGGGAGAATTTGTTCGGAGTATCAAAATCAGGAACTGCACTTTTAAGAGCTGGAATTTCTAATATACAAATACCTGAAAACTATTTAAAGAGTGACGATCGTCAATGGAATTTAAAACCCTTGTTGTCCGTCATCTCCGACAAAACGCTAAATTATAGTACGTTTCTTTGTTTTTTAAAAAATACGTAATTTTTTTAAATAATACCTTTTTTCTAATAAACGTATTTAGTAAAATAGAAAATAGTGGAAATAAATTCATCAGTAATTCTTTGATCTAATAAATAAATAAATTGTTTGAGTTATTAATTCTTTAAGTTTTGAAAAAAATAAATAGTTTAAACAAAATAATGAAAAATTTATTTATTTTTTGAAAATTTAGTTTATATTTGATAAAATTTAATATTAATTTTTAAAATTATGCAAAGATTTATCTTAGTAAAAGTAAATAATTTCCTTTGTCTTTCTTTTTTTTCAATCTTTCAGTATTGACAGCGGACAAAGCTCAACAACAAATGGATGAAGTGAATGGAATTCATCAGGAAATAACTCTAAAAAAAATTTTACAAGGACAAGTTGTTTCTTTGGAATCTTATAAATCTCTGACAAGTAAAACTTCTCTATTGGATGCGGCTATTGCCAGTGGCAATGGAAATGCTATTCTAGGTGTTGGTACCTTCAAATTATTTATAATTTACTTCAAAGTTTGCATTTTCAAAAACCAAAAAATCCAAAAAAAGTAAAAAAAAATAGTTTTACTTTGGACTTAGTTTTTGGATTTTTTATCCTGGTCAAAAAGTCCAAAGAAATTAAAAATCCAATGAAAAAAATTGAGATATAAAAATTTAAATGGTTGCCTTGAATGAAATTGTCCTTTTTTTGAGTTATTTAAATTGAATTATTTAAATTAATCGAGTAATTTAATTGGAATTATATTGAAAAAAATAATTGGATTTTTGTAAAGAATTTTATCAAAATTGTTGAAAATAATTGTATTACTTGTAATAATTGGTCTAAAAATTTTATAGAATAATTGAAATTTTTCTATAAATTTTTGTATTCATGAAAATAATTGAATTTTTGTGTAGAATTTTATTAATTATGTAAATAATTAAAATCCTGCGCATTAAAATTTTAAGTTCCGATTTTATAGCGTAAAAAGTAACAATGTGGCTTTTTCACATGTTTCATTATTTATTTTGGATTTTTTGACTTTGGACATTTTAATTTCGGATTTTTTGTAATTCGGACTTATTTTCTTGGATTTTTCGGTCTAGCCTTTTTTTGATTGGATTTTTTGTCATGTAATCCAATGAATTTTTCTTTGAAAATTGATTTTATGCATTACATTTGAAATTGTATTTGTATATTTTTTTATTGAGAAAAAATTCAAGCAATTAATTACTTGTCTATTATCGAATAAATATTTACTAGAGACAAATCATTTTTATTTAAATTAAATAAATTAGATTCGAACCAATAATTTCAGTATTTGAAGCAAATTGACTTAATTAGCAAAAGCTATATGACAAGAATCAAATAAATTTTTTCCAGTGTATCACTTTTACAACTAAATAAAAGTCGTTTAAAATTGTGAAACTTTAGAATATAAAACTCTATTTTAAATATTTATTTATTCTATAAATAAAATTTCAGATAGTATTGTTTATTATGAAGACATTAAAAACGTCTTTAGCTCAAAAATTGTTAATGGAACGTCCAGAAGCAATGAACGCTTATCTGCATTATCTTTCTACAAGATTGCAAAGAAATGAGATTACCGATCTTCTAACGTGAGTATTTTCTTTTGCATAACATTTTTTCAAATAGCAAAAATTATAAAAAATGGAAGCAAACAAAAAGAATTCTTTTAAGATAAGAGCGATCTTTTTTAGCGAATAATCGTAAAATATTATGAATGTTTTGAAAGAATAATGATTAAATAAAACAAAATAGTAATATTTAAAATATTTATTTATTTTCTATATTTATTAAATTTTTTAATATTCTTTTTATTATTTTCAGCATGCAAGGCCTGACTGTTGACGCAGCTGTAAGTTGTCTATAAATATTTTTAATTTCTTCTTTTAATTTTCGAATTAAAAATTATGAATTATTTAATTCTCAGATTAGAGACTTGCATCTTATTATTAAAAATACAAGCAATAATGAAAGACTTTTGCAAAGACTTCGTATTTGCCACAAGACACTATTTATGGACTTGCAGGATTGTCCAGAAACTAAATTTATTGAATTGTACATAAAATTGTTAGGTAATGAATTTTCATATTTTCTATTTATATCATAGATTTTAGACAATTAGAATCGATTTTAATTTTTTTTTAAATAAAAACTTTGTTCTAATTGGTAAAGTTTCAATTTGAATTTCGTTTTAATTTCAAAAAAATTTAAGTAAAAATAAAATAAATTCATCAATTAGTATTTTTTATTACAATTCGTAATATTTTTAAATTAAAATTATTTTTGTTTTATTAAAATAATTACGATTTTTCGTATTGAAATTAAATTTAATTGCAAATAGAATGGCAGATAGATGTAAAAGACACTCAACTCAGTAAACGATTGGAACTGAATTCCTCGTTATTAAAATGTCTCGAGCACACTTGTCGAGATCATTGGGATTCTTCCGAAGGGAATTTAATTTCACCAACAACGTTATTAAAACAGCATCAAATTTCGCCTCGTCAATATGAAAAAGTTGCATTAAAAACGCGAGCCTCCGAAGAAGCCTGGGATGATATCGATCGTTTACTTCATACAAAGGTAATAATTATACTCAAAAATAAATATTTTATTTGCTTCAATGTCTTGTTCTATATGTCGAATTAAAAAATTAATTTTTAGGATCTTCATATCACTTCTATTCTTAATAGTTCAAATCTTTACTAATTCCAAATTAGAAAATAAGTTTTGTGATAATTTACTGCATTCAAAAATTTAGAAATAAATATATTTTTATTAATTTTGGATTAATGTGTAAATTTTCTTTCTATTGAAAAAAAGATGACGTTTTTTGAAAAAATTTATTAATAATTTTTATATTACTTTTTGTAAATCTTGTAACTTTTTTATAATTTTTGAATCTGAAATAATTTAATTTTTGAGTAGAATTTTATTGAAATTTTTGAAAATATTCTAATTCTTTCGAAGATTTTTTTTCAGAATAGTTGCATTTCTCGAGTAATGCAATTAAAATTGTATTGAAAATAATTGAATTCTCACACAGAATTGTATAAAATTTTGTAAAAATAATTGATTTCCTCTGATGAATTTTATTATTTATGAAAATAATTTGAATTTCTGCGAAGAATTTTATTAAAATTAAAAAAATAGAAGAATAGAGACATATTTTATATGAAAATTGATTCAAAATAATTGAATTTATACGAAGAATTTTATTATTTATAAAAATAATTGAATTCGTACGAAAACTTTTATGAATATTTTTTAAAATAATTGAACTGTTTTGAAAATTTTTTATTAATATCTAATTTTTATATTGCTTCTTGTAAATTTTGTAACTTTTTATAATTTTGATTTTAAAATAATTCAATTCTTGCGTTGAATTTTATTAAAATTTTTTCGAAGAATTTTAATAATAAATTTTTAGAATAATTGCATTTTTCGAGTAATGCAATTAAACTTGTATTGAAAATAATTGAATTTTCATAAAGAATTTTATAAAATGTGAAAATAATTGAATTTCTCTCAACAATTTTATTATTTATGAAAATAATTGAATTTCTGCGATGAATTTGATTATAATTTTAAAAAAATAATTGAATACTTTAGAGAAATTTTATTTAAAACTGAATTAAAAATAATTGAATTTCTGCGAAGAATTTTATGAACATTTTTTAAAATAATTGAACTGTTTTGATAAATGTTATTAATGTTCTTGAAAATAATATATAACAATAATCAATTAGTTAATAATTAAATAATGAATTTTTAATACCTAATCTGAATCATAAATTTTTAAAAAATTAAAGTTGATTTTTGAAAATAATAAATTTTCTAATTTACATAATACTTAATAATAATACTAATAAAATAATAATAATAATAAATAATACTAATAAAATTCAATTATTTTTGGTATTTTTAAGTAAAGTTATTCATTAAATAATTTATAAATAATTTTATGACAATTCTTCAAAAATTAAATTCTTGTTAATAAATTAAATTTCATATTCTGTAAAATTCAATTATTGTCAAAAATAGAAAAAAAAGCTTAAGATTTTGTATATTAAAATTCTTGATAATCTCAAAGTTTATAAGGAAAACAAAAAAAATCCAAGAAAAATTAATTCTTATAAATATTTTCAAAGTAATAAATTTAGCAAAAGAAAATTAATAATTTTTCAGAGTTGGCTGGGCGGTAAAAAATTCCAAACATCTCTGCCAATTGAAGAAATATTAAAGATATTACAGGACTGTAAAGCACCAACGCTAATTTTAGAAAAATTTCTCGGCTATGTGGATAATGTGAAAAAACGTTTAGATATCGCCAAAAGTATTCAGTGCTACAAAAGTGTCATCGATGTAAGTATTATTCTCAAAATTAGAAATTTTTTAAGTAACAATCTATTTTGTTTTAGTCAACAACACTAATTTTGTATTAGTAAATAGAAGATTTAAACTAAAAATACAAATTCTGTTCTTAGATCCTCGTTTCCCAAGGAGATAAAACGGCTCTTCTTGAATACAAAGCAAGCCTTCAACCACAATCAGAACAATATTTTTATGCCGAGAATTTTTTACACAATCCAGGAACGAAATGGCGAAATTAATCTCGAAATTTTCTAAAAGGAAAATTTTTCTAAAAATTAAACTCTCGAATCTCAAATAAAAAAAGGATTTTTTACCTACAAGAAAGAAAATGATTCATTTAAGAAAATGAAAAATTTTGCAATCAAATTTTCCACAAAGAAAAAATGTGTTGTACTCAAATGCGCTTTTGTCTTTTATAAAAAATTTATACATTACTAAATAAAGGAAAAAAAAGAAAAGGAAAGAATACAAAAATTGTTTTATATAGAAAATTTATTTTATAGACGAAAAATGTTAACCTGTAAAAGTAACAGTAACTGTTTTTTTTAATATTAATCCAAAATTCGTCATTTATAAATAGAAATTACTCTATTTGAAAAATATTATTATAAAATATATGAAAAATATTTAATATCAAAAATGTTCTTTATACGTTAACAGTATCAAAAAAGAGAAAAAAAACTAATAATCGTTTAGTAACATAATTTAACTATCCTCAGGATATATCTTTTTGTTGTGTGTTGTTCTTTTTTATGTAAATTTTGAATTTTACATAGCGCCATTTGCCGATGAGCCTGGTTGCAGTTGCTGTTGTTGTGGTGGTGGTGGTGGATTAAATTGCACGCACGGTGGAATGTAATGTGAATGACCAGGGTATTGATACCAATTTTCCTGTGAATTACCCGGTCCCATTCCAGGATAAACAGTTTGAGGTGGATAAGCGTATGGCGGATAATATGGAACATACGTTTGTTGATAATTATCAACGCCAGTGTAAATAACCGGCGGAAATGAATTTGCATTATTATCGCCAGTATCGACTTGATGTACTTGATAGGGAATTGGAATAAGTCCCGAATTTTGTGGACAATATGTCTCGGCCTCGTTACACATTGGCTGTGAATAAACTGAAGGTTGATGCGGCGGATACTGATATGGAGGACTATTAACTGGCATTTGCACTTGATGTGGAAATTGATTTTGTCGATTTCCAGGCGAACCACTATTCCTCTCAAACTGCTTTCCTTGTCCCTCGATTTTTGAATTTGGAAATCGATTATTACCTTGATGAAACTCACCTTCTCGTTGTTGTTGCTGTTGTTGATTGCGTCTCGATGGTTGAACAAAGTTACGATTTCGACCTGTAAATTTTTATTTTCTAAATTATCATTTTCAAAATTCAAATACCAAGATTGACTGCAAAAATCTATTTTCTTTTTCCCTGACTTTTACCTGATTTCCAGAAAAGATTTTGATTTTTTCCTTGACTCTAAAGAATAATTTGATTCACATTCCATATAGGAATAAAGATTTTCAAAAATTTTAAATTCAACAACTTAAAAGAATAAATTATTAAAAAATAAGAAAGATATCGTTCACTCCGAGTCTTCAACTCGAAGTGAACGATATCTTCATCTTCTCATACAATTCTTTAGTCAATTTATAATAAATAATAACAATCATCGCAAAAAATTCAATCATTTTTATATAAATAATAAAAATTATCAGTATTTCACTTATTTTCAAAATACAATTTTAATTAATTTCTTCGAAAATTTCAATTATTTCTAAAAATCTTGTCCTGCAAGAAAATTCAATTATTTAAAAAACTTTCAATAAAATCCAATCCAAGAATTTAATTATTTTTGAAAATAATGAAATTTTCGATTGAATTCAATTATTTAAAATACAATTTTAATTGAATTTCAGAGAAAATTAAATTATTTTTAAACAGTTTTTTAAAATTCTTTAAAAGAATTCAATAATATCAATAAATAGTACATTTTTCACAGGAATTCAATTATTTTAAATACAATTTTGATAAAATTCTTCTCATAAATTCACTTATTTTTTAAAATTTTTTCGCAAGAATTCAATTATTTAAAAAAGTTTTAATAAAATTCTATTCAAGAATTCAATTATTTTCAGAAATAATTCAATTGTCGATGTACTGAAAATCATTGAATTCTTGTAAAGTATTTATGAAAAAAATTTGAAAATAATTGAAATCATTTCAAGAATTTTATCAATATTTTTTTTTAGTAATTGAATTCATTTTAAAAAATGTGATTAAAATTATATTGAAAATAATTAATTCTTGGAAAAATTTTTATTAAAATTCTTTAAAATAACGGAAATTCAATTATTTAAAATTTTTTAAATAATTGAAATTTATTAAAAGTTTTAACTTTGAATAAAATTCAATTCAAGAATTCAATTATTTAAAAAAAAATGAAATTTTCGCATGAGTTCAATTATTTTAAATACAATTTTAATACAATTCTTCTAAAAAATTCACTAATTTTTTAAAATTTTGCAAAAATTATTTAAAAATCATTGTTAGAGAAATTTTATTAAAATTATCTTGAATTTAATTGAATATTTTCCTCGAAATTTTATTAAAATTGTATTGAAAATAAAATTGAATTTCTCCGAAACATTTTATTATTTACGAAAATAATTGAATTCTTTTCAAGAATTTTACAATTTATAAAAAGAATAGAGTTACTTTGAAGAATTTTTTTTATCAGAATTGTTGAAAATAATTGAATTTTTATTAAAACTCTTGAAAATAATTGAATTTAAATAATATTTTTAAAAATAATTGTATTCTTTTGAGAAATTTTATTAAAATTGTATTGAAAATAATTGAATTCCTTCGAAACATTTTATTATTTATGAAAATAATTGAATTCCTTTGTAGAATTTTATTATTTATGAAAATATTTGAATTCTTGAGAAGAATTTTCTTATTTATAAAAATAATTAAATTCTTGCGGATGATTTTACAATTAATAAAAATGATTGAATTATTTCGAAGAATTTTATCTGAATCAATTTTTATTAGAAAATTCTACGAGAATTCAATTATATAAATATAAGAATAAATAATTTGAATTAATAATTCAATGTTTCTTAATATTGAATTCTCATAAAGAATTTTATCAACCAATTTTTTAATAATTAAATTCTTTTGACGAATTTTAATAAATTTATAACAATAATTACATTCTTCGAGGAATTTGATTAAAATTATATTAAAAATAATTGACATTCTGCGATAAGTTTTATTGTTTATGAAAATAATAAAATAGCTAAAAAGTAGAGGTGTGCAAAAAGCTCGAAAAGCCGAGCCGAGCCGGGCCGCAATTTTTTCGAGTCGAGCCGAGCCGAGCCCGAGCCGGGCTCGATGTATCGGGTACCCGAAATTTTCGAGTACCCGAAACATTCGGGTACCCGAATTCACTCGAGTACTCGAATATTTCGGGTACTCGAATGAATTCGGGTAACCGAAATTTTCGAGTACTCGATTTAATTCGAGCTTTTAAATTAAAAAAATTTTTTTTTTGAAAAAAAAAAATTTAATTAAAAATTAATGTAGAAAATTTTGGATTTTCTCAAGGGCTCGAATCAAATCGAGTACTCGAAAATTTCGAGTACCCGAAATTATTCGAGCTTTTTATAAAGCTCGGCTCGGCCCGAGCTCGAACTGAATAGGCTCGGCTCGGCTCGGCTCGAAAAATGAAAAGCTCGAAAATACCCGCTCGAGCTTCGGGTTTCGAGCTTTTTGCACACCTCTACTAAAAAGAGTTTTGTTATTTATGAAAATAATGGAATTATTGCAAAGAAATTCATAAAAAATTTGTGAATAATTGAATTCTCTTGGAAAATTTTTGGAAATAATTGAAGTTTTTCTAAGAATTTTATTAAAATTTTTAAAAATAATTGAATTTCAGAGAAGAATATTATTATTTATAAAGATAAGTGAAATTTTTACTAGAATTTAAAAAAAAATTTTTAAATATAATTGAATTTTTGTGAAAAATTTTATTACAACTTTTAAAAATAATTGAATTTTTGCAATCATTTGTAATTTCTCTAAAATTCAATTTTTTAAAGTGTTTTTTTGGTTTTTGACGCATTTTTGAAAAACTTAAAATCTTGCTTTCTCCTTGAATTTTTTTTCCACATTACAAACTTTTGAATCACGTAAATTTTAGAAGAAAACATTGATTTTTCTTATTTTTGTAAATTATTTCAATTATTTTAAATAATGTAATTCTAAAATAACTTTTTTAAAGTTACAAAAAATTGTATGTTATTACCGTAAAAAGAGTTTAATTAAAAACTATTTCAATCGTTTCAATTTTCATTTTCAAAAATAATTGGATTTTAGGTTTTAAATTAAAATTTTTGAGAATTTGATAAGCAATTGAATTGAATTAATTGAAATTTTTTGAAAATGAATTGAAAATATTTAAATTTAGATAGATAGTTTTTATAATTGAACTCCTCTTGAATTTTTCTTATAGGAATCAGGGAATAAGTTAATATTCTGACTGAAAATCAGGGAAAACGAAATCAAATTTTTGTAGTAACTCTGATTCAAATATTCAACTAATTTCAAGAAAATTGAATTTATATTCTCCTAGAAAAATTGCATGTTTAGAAAAAATAGTTTTAATAAATAGAAAAAGTAAAAAAAAAATATTATTGGATTAAATTATAAAATTCAATTTTTGAAATTCGTTTATATTAAAATAAATAAAAAATAATTAATCTAAAGGAAAGATGTAAAGTAATTAATGAAAAAACTAATGTTTTAACTCACCGTCAATACATTTTTTGAAACGTGGTGGAACACCATTTCTAGGAGTTCGTGGTCCTTCCTTTGATTCATTGACATGTTCGCGACTTCTCTCGTTATTACAATATTGAACATTTTTATTGCACTCTTTTGGATTCCTCTGGGAATTATTCGTCACAATTTGTTCCTGCGATCCATTATATCGTACGTTTGAATTTTTCAACGTTTTATAATTATGATTCAATGTCCCTTTATATCCATTTTCTCCATTCTCTTTTTTACCTCGATAACCATATTTTGGCTGTATTTGCGTCACTTGATTAACGTCCTCTTGAGATCCTTTTTAAACAGAAAAATTTAATTTTAGAATAAAAAATCAGATCTTTATAATATTAATTTTCTAAATTTTGAATCTTCTGCCCATGAGAATTATTATTATAATTATTCTACTATTTCTATTATTTATAATTATTCATTTTTAAATGAGAAATTAATTTGTAACGAAAGTAGAATTGATTCTTCTTTAATAATAAATTGCAAGAATTATTTTTCTACCGAATTATTGAATAGAATAAAAACCTGGAATATTGTTCGGCTTCTGTTCAGCAGAATTTTCCACAGGATAATGATTAAACTGGCCATTAATAGGTGGCGGATGATTAACATTGCACAGGTAATTCGCCGCATTGTTATACTATTTAAAAAGAAATTATTAAAATTGAACGAAATGTTTAAAAAAAAAATAATAAAATTACAATTTTTTGGAATAAATTCAAATAAGAAAAATATTGACAAATTACCTGAATTCCAAGATTGTAAAAGAATCTTAAAGTTTGAAGATCTGTTTATAAGAAAAGAAATTATTAGCTTCACGTAAAATTATCATTTTTTAAAAATTTCTTATTTGAAAATTACCACTTAGTGGCAGATCGCTGCCATTAACGTCAATACTCTTCACCGCTGACATGTTAATCGGATGATCCAATTGATCCAAAAGAAAATCAACATTCGGAAGCACGTCATTTACACACGGCGGGGCAACTTGTTGAAAGTTGTTGTTCTCTAAAAGAAAAATAATGCGCTCGTTTTAATTTGAAAATTTCAAATTCAATTAAAAACTTTATAAATAAAAAACGAAAATTTAATTCAAAACTTTAAATTAAAAAACGAAAATTTAATTAGAGAAATAAAAAATAAAAAAAACTAATTCAAAAAAAATATTAAATACAAATAAGAAATATGGAAAATTATTTTAAATTATTATTTCCTCTGCCTTTGTTAATTTAATTAAATAAATTAAATAAATAAGTAAATAAATCGTTATTTATATTAATTAAATAAATATAGAATCAAAAATCGTCTATTCACCTGCAGGAGGAATGAAATACGTCACATTTTGCTGTGCAGGCTGAAATTGATAATTATTTTCTGATCCATTTTGAAGTACAGGATTTGATAAACACAATTTCTTCATATTCTCCTCATTTGCAGCCGATGGAATTGTGACGTTTTTCTCCCTATCGCCGGAACCGTCAAGCTGTGCAAAAAGGTAATTTAATTATAACATTTAAATTAAAGAACAAAAATTTAATTAAAAACTTTAAAATAAAAAACGAAAATTTAATTCAAAACTTTAAATTAAAAAATGAAAATTTAATTAGAGAAATAAAAAAATAAAAAAAATGTTAAATACAAATAAGAAGTTTGGAAAATAAATTTTTATTTATTATTATTATAATTTAAAGTTTTTGAGTTTTGTTTAATTAAATTAGTAATCAACTCACATCAGCAGTAAAATCTTCAGCAGGTGGATTGTAATTCTCCACACAAGTCTTTACAAACGCAGCTTTATTCTCACTGAAAAGAAACAATTAATTAGAAACATTTTTGTACTTAATTCTATATTTAAAAAAAATACTATTTTTATTCCTATAAATTATTAAATTCTAGAGATTTTTCGCTAATTTTTTGAAGAATTCATTATGTTAATTTTTTTCTGAATTACCTCGAATCTTCAGTCCACTTCATTGCAGCAGTTTCAACGTTCCTTTTGTTGCAAGATCCCTTATTGGAATTTCGCTCAAACGTTGAAATTTCTTTACTCCTTCTGGTTGAACCAAATTGTTTCTTAATTTTTAAAGCACCTGAATAACAAAAACAATAAATAGTAATTATTATTCAACAAATTATCACAAAAAATTGCGGTAAACATCACAAGAAAAATATTATAATAAAAAAATAATAATAAATACTAAAAAGTGATAAAAAATAATTAAAATAAAAAATTATTAAAAAGTGGTAAAAAATAATTAAAAGTAATAAAAAATACTAAAAAAATATTAAAAGTGAGAAAAAGTTACTAAAAAGAGATAAAAAATAATTAAGAGTAATAATAAAAAATAATAAAAGGTAATAATAAAAAATTTTAAAAAATATATAATTTAGAAATAAATTAAAAATACAATTGAAGGAGAAAATTGAAAAAAACTGACTTGGGTCAACGGCTGGATTTTTCTTTGGAATTGTAAATATATTTGCTTTAGTTCTTTTCATGTTAAATGGTTTTAACGCCGTAAATGGGACAGTTCGTTTTTCTCCTAATTCAAGAATAAAAACAACAACTGGTCCCTCATTTTTACTCATTTCTTGAATATGACCAGTCAATAATTTTTCCATATTACCACACGCTTCGTCACAATTTATTTGCATTTTTTTGTCCGTGGTATTTAAATCATTGTTATTTGCAACATCATCAACTTTTGCATTCAATTCGACCAAACATTTGCCTCCGACTTGAAATTCAGTACCGTTGTACTTTGAAAATCCCGAATTTCGCACTTCTGTGTAATAAATAAAAAAAAAAAGGAAAAAAATACAAAATAATATTCAAATTAGTTTTTTTTAATAAATAAAAAGAATGTTATTTTTGTATTTAATCGCAGGAATAAAAATATTTAAAATAAGAATTAATTAATTAGTAAATAAATAAATAATTAATAGTAAATAAATTTAATTGATTAAATTAATTTTCTTAAATTAATAATTTGAGTATAAATTTAATTTTATTATTATTTCTTGTATTATAATTATAATTAGTGAAAAATTTTGGAAAATAATTAGAAAAAAGGTGAAGAAAATTGTCATTCATACCGCGACGAATTTCGTGCCAGATGTCGAAGTCTGTGTTTCGGAAAATGTCTTCATCAAGAGCTTTGGCCACTCGATAGGGAAACGGAGTGAGACCGCCTTTAAGACCAAAAATGTCTTCAGTTTCCGTACAGCTCTCATTTACTTTATTGAGCATTACGACCGTTGAATTTCTGAGGGAAGACAAATTTTCGTTTCATTTTCAATTCGAATTGGAGATTATAATCGCTAAATTATGCTCGCGAGTATTTTTTTTCGCTTTAATTCGAAAGCAATTTTGACGAATTCAAAGATAATTTTTTCCTATGATTTCGAATTAAACTAAAAATCATTATTTTGAATTAAACTAAAAATTAATTTTCAATTAAACTAAAGATTAATTTTGAATTAAACTAAAATTAATTTTCAATTAAACTAAAATTAATTTTCAATTAAACTAAAATTAATTTTCAATTATTATTATTCTCGATTATTTCAGAACAATTTTTCTTTAGTCATAATCGGAAGAACTTAAAACGAAAAAATTATTTTCTCTACATTGAAATCTTTTTTTTCTGCCGGAAGTGAATTATTTTAAATATTTTAAAAATTACTAAAGGTAATTTACACAATTTTCAAGAATAATGTGAAACTTACTCTCTATGCTCTGCAATTCCCTTTGGAGAGAATTTATCATATTTTAATGGAAAAGGTCTATCGTGTAACATTTTATGAACAGTTTCGTCAACATTTGGCATCTGGAAGACTTCTTTGTACAAGGTTTTATAAACCAGTGCTATAAATGTAAAAAAAGGAATTTATATAAAAAGAAAATTTTCCCTTCAAAATAAAAAGAAAACTCATATTTGAAAAAATGTTTTGCAACGAAACATTTTAGATTTGTTTGAATTAAAATTAAAAATGAAATTAAAAATTAAGTAAAAAATAAAAAAATTAAATTAAGAATTCAAAATACGTAAAAATAAACTTCATTTTTGAAAAAATACTCCAAAACGAAAATTAATTTCTAATTAATTAATTTAATTAATTAAATTTAATTAATTAATTAAAAAATTAGAATTGTTTTGAATTTAAATTAAAAACTAGGTAAAGTATTAGTAATTAAATTAAAAATTAGGTAAAATATTAACAATTAAATTAAAAATTAGGTAAAAATTAAAAATTAAATTAAGAATTAGATAAAAATTGAATTAAAAAATAAATTAGGTGAAAAATTAATAATTAAATTAAAGACTAGATAGAAAATGAAATGAAGAAACGTACACTGACAAAAACCAGCCGTTTTGATATACTCTTTCGTATAAACGGTTTCATACTGCTTTTGTGCAGTATAACAGAGAAAAATATGGTTCTTATAACCATAATTGTTGACGATTTTTTTCGTCATTGTATGACCGTCGAAAATAATAATTTCCCTTTGATAAAGCTCTGACATTGCTTCAATTTCATACATTCCACCCCATTCGGTGAAACAAGCCATTTGATCAATGTAACTGTCGAAGGGAACTGTTATTTTCTGCAAAGGGGATTTAATTTTCATTAGAAAAATCAATAAAAATCGAAACACAAGTGAAATATTTTTACATAAATATTTTTACTACACAACAAAATGAATTTTAATACCTTTTTAAATAAATCTCTTTGTTCTTTCATAAAATTCACGCACTCGAGTCTCACTCGAATGTGAAAATGTTGCGTTAAGTAAATTTGTTCACTAATTGCCCTGAACAAACACGTTGGGTCTTTTGGTGCATGTTTTCGAAAAAATCCTTGGCTTTCAAGCCAGTCATCTACCGGCTCTGCCGTACGTTTAGGTGGCTTTCTTTGTGACCCTTCCATTTTCACTCTATTTTTGTTTAAACTTTAACATAAATTTTTAATATGATAAAAAAAATTTAATTTCCGAAAAGTCTAATATAAAAACACTAAAAATCTAATGGGAAAAATTGCGAACAAAAATTTCGAAAGAATTGACGTTCTTGAAAGTGTAATGACTCATCTCGAGTGCAATTTTTATCAATTCACTATAATATATACAATTTTTGCCTATATTTAATTATTATTGTAACAGAAAGAAATTTTCTAATGCGCAAAAGAATTTTTACACCGCACATTTCATATATTTGCATATTTTATTCTCCAATACCGTTTCCCAAATATCAAAGTACATGAAAATATCAGTTAAAATTTATTTTATCTGTCAATTGTATTTATATGTTATTTTTTAGTTTAAATAAACAAAACCGTGCAATAAGACAACTTTTTTTAATACGGTATTGACGAAAATATATCCACGTGGTCGACAATGATCGGCGTCTTCAAATATTGTTGCACGTGTTTTATTCATTTGTTTCATTTATTGGAAAAAAGAAAAACATTTACTCACCTTATATAAATCGTTATGACTCGAATAATTAAAAGAGATACTTCATTATTTAACTTGAAGTTTATTGTAAATTTAATGTAAAATTGCCGAACTGCACAGGTGTGTGAGGCGTCTTCAAAGAATGTTGTACATAGAATGGCACACACGAACCGTTTTTTTTTCTTCTAACCCTGAATTTTGCAACAATTAGTCAAAAGGGGAGGAAAATCGATAAAAATCGAAATGTCCTCCAATCAACATTAACTTCACTTTAAACACTTTGTGGTAGAGATGAGGAGAGTGCTGCGAATTTTGAGAAGATAAATTTCATAAAAGATTTCAATTCTTTTACTCTTTTCAACTGTGTAACGCAATATACTTTGATATAATGTTCAAATTTTCATTTCGACAAGAGTTTCAATGTTCTTTGTATACACTTTGTCCTCTAACGACCTATCATCAGACGATCGCCGCAAATGTAAACAACAAAGGAAAACAAATCTTAGAAGTTCGAATTTCAGGTGCGTATGATGATAAATTTGCCATCAGCTCGTAATTAAAATTAATTTCCGATAATTAAATATTTCTTCTTTCTTTTTCGACGATTCTTTCAGATTTGTTTTGGGTAATTTTAATTACAAAAAATTTCCAAATTCGGTACGTTTGGAAATAAGTTTGAATGTAACGAAAAATAACCTATAAAAACTTTTATTTTTCGATTGTTTCTCTTTTTTTATATTATTGCAATATTGTTTATTAAAATATATTTAATCAATTACAAGTTAGGTTAAATATTCACGATTCATATCGTAAAAAAGGTTTTAAAGTAATTATTAATTCGATTTTATTATTGACAGGCGATTTAATAATCTTATTTCTAAAAATAGTTTTAATAATAAATAAATAATAATTTAATAAATTTTTAATAAGAGTCTATTATTATTTAGTTGTAAAATAGTACAGAAATATTAAACTAAATTAAAAAATAGAACCGAAAGAAAACTAATTACAGAAAATAATAATAAAGTAAATAATAAAAAAAATAATTTTCAATATATTTATTTAAAAATATTTACTATTTACGTATTCTGAATTAAATTTCCAATTTCGATTTTAAAATTGAGAAAGTAATTTACTAATTTGCTATATGGAATAAAATTATAATTAGGAAATAAAAATATAGGCGAATTGCGTAAAAATGTTTGTTTATTATTTCCTAATCGTATTCGGAAAATTCATTGTATATGAATGTTAAAAAAGTATACAATAGCCCAATATATAAAATACTGTTTTGTTTTTTCTTTGTTGTTGTTGCACAAACATTTTGACAGTGTTGCATCATCGTTACTTATTTATTGCTATATAAATTGTGTGTTTTGTTTGTTATAAAAAATTGTTTTCATTGAAAAATAATATGCTCATACTTATAATAATAATATTGGGTTTCGTCTTTTTTTCCGCATTTTCTTCATTTTTCTTTTCTTTTGCTTTATCAGCAGTTAAATTATGAACAAAATTAAATGTTCGCGACAAAATTACACGTGAGATGCAAAAATAAACTATATCGAATCTAGAGTTGTCTTTTTTTCTCGCTTATTATCATATTATTAAGGAAATTAATGCCAACTTATAAATCTTATTGACATATTTTTTTTTTTCTTGCGTAGGATTCGTCGAATAATTAGGGGCTTCGACTTGTAATTATTATAATTATGATTCGCGCGAAATAAAGCATAAGATGCTAGTTTTTTTTAAGTATAATCCATAAGATTAATATTAACGTTAGGATGCTCGCTTTGTTTTATATCGTCGGTAATTAATATAAAATATTATATATATATATACGATATACAAAAGTAGCGAAATCACAAGTCTCTCCTTTGATGGTCGTTATTCGTAACCAATTTCCACTTTATGCGGACACTTTCTCAGCGGCAATTGCTGTAAAAATTGGAAAAAAAATTGCAAATTAGGTAAAAAGTAATAAAGTTGAATTTAATTTTAATTTTTGTGTTTAATACAATTTTAGGAATTAGGAAACATTCTTTTATTTGAGTAAACAATTGTTTACTCGAATAAAAAAATGTTTCAAAAAAAATGTTTAATTCGTAAAATTGTAATTACTTAAATTAAATAAATAAATAAATAAATAAAATAATTATTTTATTTGCTAACCTTCTTTGGTTGGGAGGACATTTTTTTCTTGGGTCACTGCATGCTTTAGTTTCGCAGGATTAAAATTTTCAATACCAGAAATGAGTTCTTGCTTTCCCTTCTCTTGTTGGATTACTGAAAAAAATTATTATTATTATTATTATTTCATTATTTTTATTTATTATTTTTTATTTTTAGACTAAAATTTATTATTATTTTTATTATTTCTATACTATTTTCAAAATTTGTTGTGAATTGGTTACAATAATAATGAGTTAATCTCATTAGAAAAATTAATTTTTAAACTCAATGAATTGATTGGTAAAAAAGTAAAAATTAAATTAAACGCAATTCATAATAACATTGAATTAATTAAAAGAAATATTTTTACCTTCCTTGTCGGGAAGAGGATTTTTCTCCTGAGTCGTCGTATGCTTCAACTTAGTGGGGTCAAATTTTTCAATTCCAGCAATGAGGGTTTGCTGATTTTTTTCCACGGCTACGTCTGAAATTAAAGAGTAGAAAAAATATTAGAGAAAATACTTAACTTTTTATATTATAATAATATAAGTATTAGTAGTGATTAATAATAATAAACTATTTTTGCATTTCAAATTTAGTAAAATGAATTTTTATTTTTTAGGTATACACACCCTTCGCCGAAGGCAGAACATTTTTCTCCGTCGTGGATGCTTTTTTCATACACGCCTGATCGAAGCCTTCTAATTGACTCTTCAAATCAACCGCTACCTTGGGCAGATTGTTCAAGGATGGACTAACAGGATTCGACATGATGCCAAGTGGTTGAAGGATCTGCGGAAAAAAATTTTTTTTGAGACTCAAGTACATTTCCATTTATTTATTTTTACTCATTAATTTATTTATTTATTCATAAGTATAGTAATTTTCATTTATTATTTGAAAATAAGGCCTCAGATGGTATGACTTTTTGGACTTTTTTCCACTATTTTCAAAAAACGCTATTTCTTCGATTATTTTTCAAAAAATTGGCGATTTTCTTCGATTATTTTCAAAAAAAGGCAATTTTTTCGATCTGTTTTAAAAAAAAGGCGTCTTTTTCCGATTTATTATCAAAAAATGCGATTTTTTCGCCTTCTCTTCCAAATTTTGCTACAAAATACTCCTTTTTTGGTATAAAATACAAATTATTTCGATTTTTATTATATGGTATAAAAAATGATAAAAGATTTATGAAATTATCAAAAATTAAATATTTCTAAATATTTTTGAATAATTGTTTTATAATCATTAGATTTTCGAAATTTAGTGATATATTATTATGAATTTCAAAAAAGGTTTCAATTAATTGGAATTTTGTACAATTTTATTGAATATAATTGATTTTTTCAGTATTTCATTAAATTTTTAAAAGTTGAATTTTCGAGAATTTTAATAGTAAATTTTGAAAATAATTAAACCTTCAGAAATTTTAATAAAAAATCTTATAAATAAAAATTTGAAAATGAAAATTAATGAAAATTATCTTCAAAAAACTTATATTAAAATATTTTTTAAGAAACAATGTCTCAAAAATTTTTCATTATACAGCAATGAATACTGTCAAAAAGTTTTTAAATAATTCAAAATTTGTAAAATTTTATTCAAAACAATTGACTTTTTAAAAGTATTTCATTAAATTTTTGAAAATCTAATTTCAGAGAATTTTAATTGCGAATTTTGAAAATAATTGAATAGTCAAGAAGTTTAATAAAAAATCTTCTAATGAAAATTTGAAAATGTAAATTAATAAGAATTATCTTCAAAATCTTAATTAGATATTAAAGCATTTTTCAAAAAACTAATTCTCAGAATTCATATTTTTTTAAAAATTAAAAATGAATTATTTTTAATATTTTCAATTACATTTTTCCTAAAATTCAAATATATAGAAAAATTATTTTAAATTTCTTGAAAAATTTACTTTTTTTTAGAATTATTATTTAAAAATTTGGAGAAATGAATTATATTCAAACTTTTCATTTAAAATAATTCTTCAAAACATTTATTAGTATTTTAAATTGTCCTAAAATTCTTTTAATAAATTTTTATTAAATATATAAATTATTTTGTTAAATAAATCTTAAATTAATTTGTTTTCAAAAAATTTACATTACAATAGGTATTTAAAAAAAATTAATTCATAATATGCATTTATCATAATTTTTAAAAATACAATTATCTTCAAAAGACGTGAATTAAAACTTTCAAAAAATCGAATTTTTTTAGATTTATAAATAATTTTGAAGAAAACATTTATTGTCATGTATTTGTAATTAAAATTCTTCAAAATATTGATTATTTTTTAATATTTGTTTAAAATTCTTTAAAAAATTTCAATTATTTTTAAACAATTTTACTAAATGTCAATTATTTCGAAATTTTTCAATTATATATTATTGAAAAATCTATTATTATTCAACAGTTTTTTAAAAATATTTTTATAAACTAATTTTAAGAATTTATTTGTTACAATTTTTAAAATATTACAATTATTTTCAATATTTTTGATTACGTAATTTTCAAAAATTCATGTTTTAATATAACTTTTTTTTTTAAATAAAATCCATGAAGATAAGGGAGTTACAGTCAAAATTAATTTTAAAAATTTGGATTTTTCATTTAAATAATTAAATTCTCGAAGAACATTCGAAAAATTATTAAAAAAATAATTAGTTTTGCGAAGAAGTTTAGTTAAAAATTCCAAAAAAGTAATTGAATTTAAAAAAAATTACAATTGTAATTTTTGAAAAGAATTGAAATTTAGAATATTTGAAATTGATATTTTAAAATTTTCAATTCTCGTAAAAAATTGCAAGTATTTAAATATTTTATTTATTTACTTAAATAAACCGAAAAATTTAACTTTTGATTAGAACTGAATAAAATAAACGACTTTTCCGACATTTTTCTATCATTAATCGGCTAAAACGACTTTTTTTTACCCTCAAAGTCGATCCGAGTCCTGGAAGGTCAAAAAACGTCGAAATAGATAAATATTAATTCAAAATTTACTAGTTAGAAAGAGTTTATTTTTATTACTATTTTTATTTGTATATTTATTTATAAATAATAATTATTAATATTTGCTTTTTTGTTGAAACCATTTTTCTATAAGTATTATTAATAATGTTATTATCATTATTTTGTTTGAATTAGGTCTCGAACGTGCTGTATATTAATTTATTAACGATATATCATGCAGATAAAAAACAGCGTAAAAAAGTTTGAAAGAGAATAATGTATTGATCGAGGAAGTTTGACGATGCGAATTCGGTCGACTAACGGCACTCTTCTGATGTTGAAGGATCATCAGAACTTCTTTAGATGTAGAAAAACCGAAAACATTGTTTCACTTGAATATTAATCTCCAGTAACTGATTTAATAATTTCGGAAAAAGGTTTTTTGTATGTACTCTTATTTTTTTTTTACTCTATTTTAAAGTTTTTTCAATTTTTATAGTAAAGTAGAATATTTTTTGTCACAATTAAAGAATTTAGTACAAAATTTTTAAAATAATTACACAGAGTAAAATACTGTTTCAAAATAGTAAAATAATATTTTATTTAATTAATATTAATAAATTAATATTAAAATATTTCTTTTAGTGTATTTCTTTGTTGGCTCTTTTTTAAACGACTGTTTATAAAAATATTCGTTCGCACTGTCGACGTAAGACTTTATTTTTAAGTCTAATTAAGCGAGTCAAGTTTATCATTTATTGCGAGTAATTTTACAAGCTTTGATAAAGAAATAAATGGCGAAAAAAAGGAAAAATTGTTGATTATATCCTGGCAAAAAAAGTGTATATAGGAAAAAAGCCCTCCACACTTGTGAGGCAGACAAGAGGTCGAGGGTGCACTCTCTATTATATGCACACGATGTCTTTTCTTGAGAGGACTCTTCTACTGAAGAGGTGTGCCACGTTTACACTCTCGACCAACATTCAAAGAGTAATAATAATTAAATACGAGCAGGAAGCAACAAGTGCTATTGATAATTCTTTTTAAAAAAAGAAAATTTCAACTTCTTCTATTCAATTTCTACGCTAAATAAAAATATTTAGTGTAAAAAAACATAATATTAAAAATCAAAACTAAAAAAGTAAATAAAACCAAAAACAGCAAAACATAAAACCAAAAATCAAAAAATACAACAAAATTTTTAAGATAGAAATTCAAAATTTTTGTAGAAAATCAATTTTTTCTGGGGGGTTTTTTTTTAACTGTAATTATTTAAAATTAAGAAACCAAAAGGAATGAGAAAAAAAATCTGAAATTCCTTTTGAAATTGATTTGAAATTTAAATTGAAAAGTGAAATTCTTTTTCTGAGAAATTTTAAAATTGTTTATTTTTTATTTGTACAATTTATAATGATTCAAATATTTGCGAATATTATTCACTGACTCGATTGCCGATCTAGTATGGAAGTTATGCGACAAAATCGATTTAAAGTATATTCACTTGTTTTTCACAATGATTCATTATTTATTCCAAGATCTGAGTAATGAGTTATTATTGCTTGCACCTGTAATTTTTCGAGTCAATGACCGTACAATTTTTATTAACGTCATAACGCAACATTCTTTCGTGAAAACAGAAAAATTTTTTACATTTTATATATAAATTTAAAAAAAATCTAAACTAAAAAAATTCAGCTGCTTTAAAAATATTTTCCTTTAATTATTTAAATAATAATCTATTTAAGAATTATGAAAAGTAAATATTAATAGTTAATATTAATAATTAATAACGAATAAAACAAAAAAATGTAATAAATATTATATTTACGATTAATTTTTATTATTAATTAATTTAATTTAATTAATTAAAATCTAATTTATATCAGAATTTATTAATATTCTACTCTACATAATTAAATTGTACAAAAATTATTTCAGATGCCATGGGAAAAATGGAGCTCCTCAGCTGTTAATTGTAATTTAATATCTGGGCCAGAGAACAAGAAAAGTGTCAAACTAATAATGAAACAAGAGAAACTTCCTTGATGACAATCATGAAAAAAAGTGATTACTAAACGTAAAGGACTTGAGAAATAACAAAAGGTAGCATTCCACTAGAGTGAAGTCACTGAACGACGACGACAACGACGACGACAACGTTCCTGCAATGAAAACGATAATAATCGATATATACAGAGGAATAAAAAGAAAAATTCTTCGAAAGGAATATTATGCAATAGTGAAAATGTTCTATATAAAGAAACATCAATTCGAAGCAGATCAACTCGTCTAAAACGGAAAATGCTACTCTCAGAAGAGAGCGCGATGATGTTGAATTTTCATAGCAGGTTTTGATACCCATTTAATTTCCACTTTCTTATTTTCTTTATGAATTCAATATAATATCAATGATTCTTACTTTCACGTCTCTTTTATTTTAGAGACTTTTTAATGATAATTTCAATTTAAGATAAGGAAGTGCAAGGTCAAGTTTCTTTATTTTTAATTGGTGAGAATGAAGGCTGAGAAAAGGAAACTAAATTTAGGGAAATACAATTTTAATTAAATAATAAATTAATGAAACTAAATTTTCATTTGCGAGAAATTATTAGTAAATAATAATTATTATTATTACACTCAGAGAAAAATTTTATTCAAACTAAATATAATTTAGGATTTGACTTAAAGAAAAGTCCATTTGTCTACCAAATTATTTATTTGTTTTGAATAAAAATTTTATAACATAAATCAAGTTTTTATTTGAATCAAATAATATTTATTTGAAGCAAAAACAATTTATTTGCAGCAAATAAAATCCAGGCGGTTCTGAGTTGAATATATATATTTTCTCGGTTGTATATTAATTAATTAATATTATAATTATTAAATAATTTATCTGGTCTCATTTGCATACAAAGATCCAAATTCTTTACGTAATTAATACGTTTTATTTTATTCTATTTTTTTCTTAATTTTCTATTCTTTGTTATTTTAATTTATTTAATATCTTTTAATTCAATTTCTTAATTTACAAAAATTTAAATTTTCTTTTCAATTTTAAACAATTGAATTAATTGAAAACAATTTTGAAATTATATTTTGAAAATATAGAATTTTGTTTGATTTTAATTTTTGTTGGGAAACATTTTTTATTCAGCGGTAAATGATTTGTTTTTTTGAATGAAGAGCGTTTAAAGAAGATTAAGTTGCTTGATTATGGGAAATTAATGTGTTCAACCATAATCAGACGTGGTACAAATTTAAAGTGTGACTCAAAGTCTTCCTTTTCCAGTTATACTTGACACAGATTGACATAAAAATTCTCTCTTTCTCTCTAAATAGAGCAGAGACGTGTGATTATATTGAGTAAAACAAACCATGTTTTAACAATTGCTCCTTGTTCTTTTATTTTATTTTTAAAAATATGTATCTGTAATCATTCTATTGTTTTATTTCATTGAACAATAGAGAGAGAGAGAGCTCTCAGGATAATTTGTTTTTCAACAAAGGTTCACTATTAAGACTTCACTTAAATTTTTATCTCTTGAAATTAATTTAATTTTTCTAATCGTTGAAAATCGCAATTAAAATTTAATTTTATTGTTCAAAAGTTTTATCCTCTTTTTACTTTTTAAATTATATTTTACATTAAACGTTCTTCATTCAAAAATATTTACGAGAATAAAAAATAAATTAGAAATATATTTACCTATTTTTATTTTTATGTTAATTATATTAATTTTATACTTTAATACATTTTCGATTTTTATTTCGGAAATATTTGGAAAACAAATTTTTTAGTAAGAATTAAATCAAAATATAAAAATAGAAAGACAAAAAATATTAATTTTTAATTTGAATATATTTTTAATTTTTATTTCGAATTAGTTGGAAAAAAAATTATTTCAGTGAGAATTGAATCAAAATCTAAAAATAGAGGAACAGAGAGAAAGAAAAAAATTGGTAATTTGAAAAAAATTGAAACTTACAATCACTTTGTCATTGATTGATGTTTAAAGAGAAAAGTAAAGGGCTTTTTTTGTGTATGAGCGCTTCATCAGTAGAATTAATTGGTAATTAGTTCATTCATTATGTCGCATCATGTTATTCGGTTTATGAGCATGACTTCGTGTAGTCCGTTAGAAATAGTAAAAAGAGTTCAGTTATAGAGACACTAGGAAGAAGGAAGTAATTTTCTTCGACGAAACAGTTAAACATCCCAAGTGATAAAAGCATACGAGGAAAAAAAATGTTCTCATGCAATAGGAATAAAAAAAAATTATTTAAACAAATTTTTTTTTATCGTCTCTAGCTACTTTATTTCTTTCTCTTTACTTATTTTTATTTCTTTTCTCACTATTTTGCTACTATATTTCCATAACACTTTTATTTAGGTATCTTATAAAAAAAAATTATATTAATTTCATTTTTTTACAATTTATATTTTTTAGATTTTTTTATACTTGATTTTTTTAGTATAGAACAAAATTTGTTTTGCTTCAAAAATTTGGAACGTTCAAAAATGAACGAAATGTTTTTTTCGAAGGAAAAATTTTCAAAAATCTATATTAATAATCGTTGTATTCCGGTATTAAATTCTTTTTAGAAATTTTTTTTAAATAATTGAGTTTCTCTAATAATTTTAATTAAAAATTTTTAAAGTAATTTAATTTTATGAACAATTTCTTTCAAGTTTTTAAAACAATTGTGTTTCTTAATAATTGAAATTAAACATTTAATTATTGAATTTTATTAAAATTTTTAGAAAATAATTAAATTCTTCTCAGAATTATATTAAACAAAGATTTTTTTCAACTTTTTAAAATAATTTTCAAAATAATTTTTTCGATGAATTTTATTTCGAAAGAATTTCTTGACAAGAATTTATTTCAAATTTTTGAAAATAATTGAAATTTTGTAAAGAATTTAATTATTTTTGAAAAAAATTGAATTCTAGACAAGAATTTGTTTAAAATTTTTGAAAATAATTGAAATTTTTCGAAGAATTCAATTATTCATGAAAAAAATTGAATTCTTGACAAGAATTTGTTTCAAATTTTTGAAAATAATTTAAATCCTCCAAGGAATACAAGAGTTTTGAATTCGAAAAAAAACTTCGTTCACTTGAAAGTTAAAAATTTTGGAGATATATTTTTTTCACATTTTTGAATAAAAAAAGTATTACTAATAATTAAATATAATTTTTCAGATTATATCAACCCTTGGAGGCAGGTGATTATTACTACACTAAATCCACCATCTTCAAGCAGGTGTTAGTCATTCAAAAAAGAGAAAAAAAAATGCTTCCTCGAATTGAATTTAGTCACATTGGCCACATGTTCTTACAAAATTTATCGGTGAGTCAGATATTTGAAAAAAAATACTCTTACCATTTATAAAAAAACGATTTATTTATCTATTAAATTAAGCTCATGAATTTCCGGAATTTACAGACTAATATTTCAAAATTTTGACGCCGGATTTTTGGAATGCTAAACACTTTAATCGCGGATATAAATAGAGAGAGGGTCTCTCATTTGCATACAAAGAGCCAAATTCTTTACATAAGGGGATTACTAAATTAGGAAAAAAAAATAAGGAGAAGAAGAAGAAGAAGCGCAGGAAACGAAAGACAAGAATTGCGAATATTTCGGGAAAAAAAGATTTAAGGTAATTTTTTTATTTGGTAAATTTATTAATCTGGTAAATTTTTTAATTTTGTAAATTTTTAATTTAGTAAATTTTGAATTTAGTAAATTTTTAATTTAGTGAATTTTGAATTTAGTAAATTTTTATTTAGTAAATTTTTAATTTTGTCAATTTTTGACTTAGTAGATCTTCGGTTGGAAATGGTTAAACTCTGGTTGAAAAAAAGACATTTTTTTTCTGAGGAGAAAAAATCTTATTCTGTTTGAGAAGCAAACGAAATTAAATTCACAATAGAATTCTATTTGTTTATTTCTATTCGATATGAAGAAATAGTGATTTATGAATTGTTGAATGAATTTTTTTTTAAATGTCCATAGCGCATTTATTTCGAATGAAAGAGGAGAAAAAAAAAGAGTGATTAGTAGGTCAACATGGGCAGGCAAAGCTCCTTTTATGGTATGAGAACGGCGCTTATATCCAGGGAGACTTTGAAAGAGGCCAAATACGCAGCAGCATACATTTGATGCTAAAGGTCCGGTTGTGAGGATATTGTATGTATTTTTGTACTTTAAGAATACGTTTCTTGATTCAATACATATAAAAGAATGTAACGGTATGACATTGCAGGGAATTTCAATTTAAAAATCACTTTTTTACGCTTTTTGAACATCAAAATATATGTAATTATTCTCCTTCTTTTACAGAATTACTCGCGGCTAACAATTTTAATTTTTATTGCTCACACGAAAATTTTCCCAGATACTTGAGATCTTTTTTTTTCGTTTCTTTTATTTATTTTATTCAAATTACGCAGGTGTTAAATAATAGTTTTTCGACTTTTTTTCCAGCTATTTTTGAAAAATGCGATTTTTTTGGACTTATTTTACTAAAATTCAATTTTTTTGAATTATTTTACTAAAATGCGATTTTTTGGACTTATTTTACTGAAATTCAATTTTATTTTAATTATTTTACTAAAATGCGACTATTTCGACTTTTCTCCCAAATTTTGCAACTAAATTTCACTTTCTTGGTATGAAATACTATTTATTTTAGTTTTCAGAATGTGAAAAATAACTATAAATAAATTTTTTTCCTTTAAAGTGCCTTACATTGTTTTGCAAAAATCTGGTTTTGGAAAATTTCAAAAATATTATATTGGAAATGTTAAACCGGCCCTTGAATTAACTTTTTCAACTTAAAAACTTTTTTTAAAAAAACCCTAAATTTGTATTTCATCAATTGAATTCTTGAAAAACTTTCTGAAAATTATTCAAAATGATTGATTTAAAGAAAAAGTTTAATAAAAATTCTGATAATTGAATTTTGGAAGAATTGTAGTAAAAATTTCTGGAAATAATTAAATTTTAAACTTCAATTGAAATTAAATTTAAATTTGAATTTTTTTAATGTATAATAAATTGGAAAAAATTTTAAAATAAACAAAATTTCTTAAAATTGAATTAAAAATAATTTAATTTTAAATTGTATGCTGAATTAATTTTTTTTCATTCTTTAAATAATTCAATTCTTAAAGAACTTTTTGATAAGCATTAAAAATAGTAGATTTAGAAAAGAATTTGGGTTAAAAATTCTAGAAAATAATTTAATATTGTAAAAACTATGGTAAAAATTTTTGGAAATAATTTTTCAGACAGTTTCAAATTCAAATTTTTAAACTTTTGTTTTTTAAATGATTTTAATCAAAAATAATTCCACTTAGTTCTTTAAAAAATTGAAATTGGAATTTTTTTGAAATAAATTAATTTTATTTGTCAGTTTTTGGCATTTTTGAATATTTTCGAATAATTAGAATTTTGTAAAATAAAATTCAAAATAAGTGATATTTAAAATTGTATTTAAATTTTTAAATGAAGTTTCTTTTATTTTTTGAATAATTCAATTTTCAAAGAACTTTTTGGTAATCATTAAAATATTTGATTTAAAAAAGAATTTGGATTAAAAATTCAAGAAAATAATTGAATATTGAAAGAGTTAGAGTCGAAAATTTTGAAAATAATTTTTCAGAAAGTTTCAAATTAAATTTATAAAATTTTTGTTTTTTTAATTATTGTAATTAAAAAATTATTTTTAGTTCTTTAAAAAATTGTAATTTAAAATTTTTTGAAATGAATTAATTATTAGTAATTGTTTCGTAATTTTTGAATATTTATTCAATTGAAAAACTTTCAAATAATCGAAATTTTGTAAAATTTAATTAAAAACAATTAAATTTTAAATTGCATTTTACGTGACCTTTTTTTGAATAATTCAATTCTTAATGGATTTTCTCAAAATTATTAAAAGATAATTGATTTAGAAAAGAATTATTGCTGAAAATCCCAGAAACTTTAATTTAATGAATTTTATTTCAATTTTTTTTGAAAATAATCATGTTTTTGATGAAAAATCGAAAAATGTGATAAAATTTGAAAAAATGTTTTGAAAATAATTAAATTTTCCAAAAACTTAGAATTTTGAAGTTATTATTGGAATATTTATCTAAATAAGTAAACAAATAAATAAACTGTTTTTTAAATTTTCAAAAATCTTACTAATGTAAATGTTGAATTGACAGTATTTTTTTTATTTCAGAACAGATATTTTTAAAAAGTATTTGAACAAAAAAAATACTACGTTCATTTGAACGTTCAAAACTCTAGGGAAATGTAAATTATTTTGCAAAGAGATTCAAATTAATTGATCAATAATTATTTTTTATCTCATTTTAATCAGTTGATGAAAATAAATAAAACAAATAAAAATATAAGAAAATAAGATTCTAAAAATTTAACTTTTTTTTCACAGCAACTGAAAAATGGGAGAGGAACCTAAAAACGAAAATTTGTTCCCAAGGATTAAATTTGAAAGAAAAGGGAATATTTTTTCCACATACAAAAAGCGAGACAGAAATAAGAGAGATACTCGAATCAGAATGAATATGGAAAGGAACCTCTTCGGTGAAGACGATAGATCGCAAAGTTAATAAGGTAACTAGGCCGAGACTGTGAGGACGATGCCATTTTCTGAATGCGCGATCTGATGTTGGGTGCAAATAAGGCCATTTATAAGCATTTAAAATGAACCTCGACTAGAACAGGACATTCTTTAGCAAAAACGACGCACAGTAAACTCATGGTTATGAAAATTTATTGAGATGCCACGCGAAGAGATGCTTCATTTATTTTTCAACGAGCCCTGAAGATGTGCGAAAGTGAGTAGTGTAGAAGATTATTTTTTTTCACTCTCTAAATAAGACCTAGACAAGTGCATTTACGATCAGTGTTTAAATTGATCCAAATCAAGCATTTTTCTTACATCACTTAAAAAAACATTTTCGTAATATAAAACGAAGCTCGTCCTCGTCTTCGTCAATTGAAATGTATTTATCACGGAAGAGAATTATTGTCACAAACAATAATATGAAAAATGTTTTTTTGATTTTTATGAGGGAAAAAAATTACAATTTACAGAGAAGAAGAATTTTCTGCGATTTGGAAATTTTTTCTCTCATTTGCAATTTTCGTAAACTTTGTCTATTCTGTATTAAATTGCAAATAAGATTAAAAAGTAAAATTTTAATGAATTATTTTCTTACCAGTAAACTAGTAAACTGAATAATTTTTTTTTATAATTAAAGACTGTCTATTAAAAATTAAATAGAAGGTAAAATTTTAATAAACAATTTTTTTGTTAGTAAATTAATTTAACTAATAAATTAAATTACTGATTAATTATTTCTTGTCATAATTAAAAATTCTCTAGAAAAAATGAAATAAAAATTCTGAATAAAAATGCTAAATAAAAATTCCAAATAAAAATTCCAAATAAAAATTTTAAGTATAAAATTCTAATAAAAATTCCAAATAAAAATTGAAGTTTAAAAATAAATATCCCAGGTGACAAAAATTCTCTTCCGGTGCATGTGCGCAGACAGAAAAAAACTACATAGAGTTAATAAAAATAATTAGATTCCGACACTATGACGAATGGATGTAATTAAGATACCTGTCATTTTACAGATAACTGGAAATCTCGAAAGGAATAGAAACGAGAAGAACGAGAAGGAAAAATGCTTGCATCGGTATATAGAAAAGTATATATGCAGAATCCTTTTTGTTCAATGAGGATCGAAATCTTTTATTCTTCTCTCTTTCTGCTGGATTTGAAGAACAAGTAACTAACTATACCCGCATAATACAAAGGAACAGAATCTCGAGTTGCCAATTAACTTGAGTAATCGCAATTAATGGAGGTTCGTGAATGAAGAGGCGGACGGATGTTTATTAACCGGTAGGTGGATATGCAACACGTAAAGTAATCGTAGCATATTGCACATTACAGAATAAAGACAGACTTCATAGATCCATAGGAACAAAACTCAAGTAGATTATAGACTGTCTAGAAATTATTATGCATGAAGAAAAAAAAAAGAAGGAGCAGAATACATCTCTCGTGCGAGCGTGACGACTAACGAACCTAACTATCTGTATCAAAATCGGTATTTTTTTCTTTACTTTTCATTTTTTGAAAAATTGACTAAAATCAATTTTTTTCTTTAGTTTTGAATTTTTGTAATTTTTTAAATTTTTGCCTTTACTTTCTATTTTTTGCAATGATCGATTTTTTTCTTTGCTACATATTTTTAAAATACTTTTTACCCAAAAATCAATTTTTCCCTTCGACAAATATTTTTCAAATGGTTTTTTTTACTTTTCATTTTTTACAAAAATCAATTTTTTTATTTGCTAAATAAATATTGCTAAATATTTTTTAAATAAATTATTTATTTTTTAAATATTTATTTGAGTTCTCGTAGAAGTTTTCGATAAAAATTAATTTAAAAACGGATTTTAGTTAATATTTTATGTTATAATTGAATATTAAAAGCATTAGAGCGTGAATTTTTAGAAATATTTGAATTTTGAAAAGGTTTCAAATTAAAATCTTTGAAAATCTGAATATTTCATATTTTTAATTATTTGCTTCTTTTTTTATAACGTTTAACATTAAATTACAAATAATGCACTTGTGATGTCATCAAGGTATCATCGAGTGGCGTCTCAAAGCTTTGGAATTCACTGATAAGTATCGTTAAGATTTAATGGCAAAGGTCAAACAATTTTTTGATTACAATTATTCATTCTTTAGTGAAAAAGAACAAAGATACAATATGAAAGTATTAAAATAATTTTTGAAAAAATTGTTTATTATGGGAATATTTTTTATTTTCCAAATTAAATTTTTTAAAAATTAATAAATTCCTATAGCTTATTATGGGAATAATTTCGATTTTTCAATAATCGAGAAAAAAATCGTGTTAGAAATTTTAAAAATCCAATTAAAAACGCATTTTAAAAACTATAACAATTAAATAGTTAAAGAAATTAAAAATAAATAAAAAATAAATATATATAATTAAAAATCTAAAAACTCCCGAACAAAAAAAAATTGATTTTTTCAATATTTGAAAATCTGAATGTGAAGGATGAAAATGAAATCGATATAAAAATAAGAATAACAATTAGAAAAATCTAAATTATAATGAGAGAGGAGAGAGAAGAGTGAAAAAATGAGAAAGAGAGAACGTGAAACAATATTAAAAAAATATTCATAATGAACATTCAAATTTCGTTTAGAAAGAGAATTAAGAGCCGAGGGTTTCCACGTGATATGACGTTCAAGGGTTGGGAAAATTCTCTCTTCAAAAAAAAGGGATGTCTGACGTGAGTCATTTATATGTATATACATATCTTCCCCCAATTTTTGTCGACAGAAACCAAAGGGGAATTCCCATGACACCCTCTTTTTGCCATTTTATTTTATTTATTTTTTTGTTTTTTTGTCTGGTTGGATTCCATTAAGTCTCAATAGTCTCTGAACTAAACTAAGAGTTTATACAAAGGAATATAATGGCTCTTTCTCTGCTGCTATGTAAAGAATTTCACGTACCCCTTTTTCTTCATGTAAGAAAATCTCTCTCGTTGAATTAACGACTCTTTCTCCTCTGTGATTTTCCTTCATAGCAAATAATTTTTTTTTAGTTCAACTATTCCAGTTTTTCATCTTTTAGGTTTCAAAATTTGTTTCAATATTTTTTATATTTTCTGATTCATTACAATTTTTTTGGTATTTTTCTGTTTTTTTTTTATTTATTAGAATTTTTTTAGTATTTTATCTATTTTTTTACGTATTAATTTTTTTTCAATTATTTTCTGAATTTTGTATTTATTACAATTTTTGTTAGTATTTTATTTTTTACGTTTTTCAATTTTTTACATTATTTTTTTATTTTTTTTTTGTTCATTAGGTACAATTTTTTCCATTATTTTATTCATTTTCCTATTTATTAAAATTTTTTAAATATTTTTTACATTTGAAATAGGATTAAAAAATAGTGTGAATTTTCCCCCCCAAAAAAAAAGAAAAAAAAATCGAACAGGAAAAATATCTTTACGAGTGTAAAGATATTTTTCCCGTTCGATTTTTTTTCTTTGCAAAATTGTATAAAAATTGCAGATTTCGATATAAATTGAAAATTCACAGCTCTAATAATAATATTTTGTTGTAGGTTTATTTTTGGGGGGAAGAAATAAGAAAATGTAAGGAGGGCATGTAAACATGGACTTTCTCTTTTGGAGTTTCTCACGACAAGATGGCAAAAGATTGAACATTGACGAATGGAGCACATCGTACAGTCATTTTCAGTAGAATAGGAGAATGCATTTCGATTTAAAGTATCCTGTGTAAAATGCTCAACATCGAAAGGTAAACGAGTTAACTGACTGCATAATAGTTTTATGCGCGTTGTATAGTAGCCTAGTTACAGCAGCTAAAACAACCCAGGCAATTGCTTTTTGAAGATAATATATGTTGGCGCACATAAATTTTACGATAAACTTTCATGTATGTCAATGTTCGATTCTATTGTGGAAGAAAATAATTGACTTTCCCACAATATTTATATATATAAATTAGCTCGAGTCACTCACTCTCTTTCTCTCTCTTTTTTTTTGGAATAGAAAATATTAATTTCTCTCTTTTTGTAAAGAATCAAAAAAAAAAAAAAATTGAAAATAATTTTGGAAAAAAATATTTTTGATTTTTTCTGAAAAGAAAATAATTGTAGAATAAAAAAAAATTTGGTGAGGAATTTTAGAAAAAAGAAATAGGAAAAGAAAATTTGAATTTAATAGGAAAATTTGAATTCTTTTTGCAGTTGGTAACGAATTAATTTGGAAAACGATTTATGATACGGTAAACGAAAAAAATATGAATACAATTAAAAATAAGGGGGCAAGATAGTTTTTTGAAAAAAAATTAAAATTCCAAGAGTGAAGTTAATTGTTCATTGATAACTATTATTATTGGCAACCACAGCAGAATCACATTGTCAGTCGTCGCACGCACATTGAAGATCCGTTTCCGTTGAAAGCTTTTATCTCTGAAACAGAACTTTATAGAGTCCAACTTCCCAGACGAAACTATTAAATAATTTTACTGATTCATCACGATTCAATGAGTTTCAAATAATTTACAAAAAAGCAAATATTAAGGGAAGAAATTTCGAAAATAATTCAAAATATTATTTCAAAAATATTATTTCGAAAATATTATTTAGTAAATAATTCAACCATTTGAAAATAATTTTTCTAAAATAATTTAACAACTTGAAAACAATATTTCGAAAATGATTCAGCCATTTAAAATTATTTCGAAATTGATTCAATAAGTTTTGAAAATAATATTTCGAAAGTAATTCGAAAATAATTTCGAAAATAGTTCTTTCGATTAAAGTCTATTGAAATTATTTCCTATTTTCAAATTATTTACATTATTTCAATTTTAATTTAACGAAACGATAATTTTTTTTCAATTTCCGAAAAGAAATTAATTATCAACCGCGCATGATACAAATAAATCTTCCCGCGAGTGGGTTTTATTGTACCTTTTTGATTTTAATTAAATTAGAAATGTGCAACACTAATTGCATATAGCAATTTATTTTCTAATATACATATAGTAAATTGGTAATTATTAGTTCCTACACAAATTTCCATTAGACATCAATGTCAATTTAAAATAGAAATATACACTTTATTAACTGTATCTGATCTAAAATTATATAGCCATTGATGTAAATTTATTATTTTATATACGTTATATATAAGTATTTCAGTTTAAAATTATATATCGAAAATATCTATACATAGTCCTTGAGATAATTATATACAAAATTAAGTGTATTAAATTTTTTTCTTTAAGTAAAATTTATAGATAGTTTCTTTTTTATGCAATTTAAATTATTTCATTCGTCACGAAAACAAATATAAACCGGGAATTGATTTCTACGTATTGGAAATTTTTTTTTTTCAATCGCGAAAGATTTATTGGACTCGATTAAAGTAACTAATCTTTGAATTCTTATCTTTCACTATATTAGTAAAATTTTTTATTTCAATTCTATCGAGAATTTTCATTTTTTGAAGGTCAGAAATTATAAAAGGTGTTTTTTCAAATCAATAAATTTGTAATTTATTTTTTTGCTGAGAAGATAATTCTATTTCGTTTGTGATGTGTGTTGCGAATAATTTTAGTTTGCAATGATATACAAGTCTTCTTTTTACCAATTTTTTTGCAATTTTTACTATTATTATTTATTTATTTATAGACGGGACAAGCCGTCAATTATTATTATCATTTTGTTGTTCTACATTTTATTTTTTATTATTACTTTGAAGAAAGTATTACAAAATTATAAACAAATATTGGCAGGCAAACAAATAACAATGAAATTTTGACAATACTTTTAATTGATTCAATTTTTAAAATTATTTTCGCGAATTCAATTATCTTCAAAAAAAAAATAGTTTTTCAAAATCATATTTTTTTTTAGAATTTCTACATTAAATTATTAAAATTTTCATAATATTTGTTAAACAAATATTAAAAAACTTATTTCTATTTATTTTAATTGAAATTATTAATAATTTAAATGTAAAATCTTTTGAAATTTGCTTATTTCTGAAAACTCTGCAATTTTTCCAAAAGACAATTATTTTTTAGAATTTTTGAGGAAAATTATTCAAAACTTTAATTATTTTTAATTTATTGCTTAAAATTCCTGTTATAACGCTTCTATAATATAAAATTATTTTTCAAAATCTTATTCTTTTTTGAATTCAACGATAATTGAATTATTTAAATACACAAATTTTTGGGACATTTAATTATTTTACAAATTTTTTAGTTAGAATTCTTCAAAAAATTCAATAATATTTTAAAGTAATTTTTTAAATTGAGAAAATAAAATTCTTTGAAATGTAAAATTTATTTCAACGAATTTCGAGAAAACTTCACATTTTTTTCAATTTTTTAAAATTATTTTCGAAAATTTAACTTTTTTCAAAAAATTTTAATTACTATATTTTACATTATTTCAGAATTTCTAAATACAATTTTTTCAAATTTAATTAATTTTTGTTTAACAAATATTTGAATGTTTATTGTTATTTATTTGTCCGCCAGGAATTAAAAATTTATTTATTTAAAATTTCAAAATTCTTTCAATGTAAAACATTTTGAAATTTAATTCTCATTGATTTGGATAAGAAAAAAAAATACTTTTTTAAAATTACACAAAATTTTTCTAGTGAAAGTTGAGAAAAAAATCGAAGCACAAATAAAAAAAAATTGTGGAATTGGTGAAAGTTTTTAATTTTCAAATTAATTACTTGTGTAAAGATTCTATCAAGAGACCATGAACTTTTTCGGAATTTTTGAATATATTTTTAACAAAATTCATTAAATTCTAAATAAATTCCCCAATTTATTAGATTATTCAAGTTAAAAAAAAAATTTATTCACCAAAAAAACAAAATCAACAGTATAGTGATAGTAAAAATTTATTATCTAATTTTCAAATACTGCCATTTTTTAATTAGCAAATTTTATTAATTTGTAATGAACAAAATTAATAGTAATAATATTTTTTTATGGAAACATATTTCCAAAATATAAAAATTAATAAATAAAATAATATAAAAGTAGGTTTTCTTAACCATAACAAGTAGTATAGAAGATAAAATATCCATTTTGTCGTTTTATAAGTCAATAATAATAATACTCATAAAAATAAATAATAATAATAATATTAAAAATATAAATTACTTTTTTACCAGGAATAGAAAAAAATGTAATAAAAAAATTGAAAAGAAATTACATCATAGTGTGAGGTCCCTAAAATCGAGTGAATTTACTGGATCTTTTGAGAGATTTTTACTTTTTGTGTAGAAAAGAACGTTCCTGGGAAGGACTCACCAAATAATAATAATAATAATACTAAATAATAATAATGAAAATACCAAATAATTATAATAAAAAAAAAAAAATTGAATACTTTTTTAACACAGAAGTAGAAAAAAAATCTAATAAAAAAAAAATTGAAAAGAAATGACGTCATAGTCTGAAGTCCCTAAATAAGCGAATGAATTTATTGAATTTCGGGACTGTGATTTGAATAAAAAGAACTAAATGCTACTATTATTATCTATTCATTTCTTGAAAGGAGGATTTTTTTGTATAGAAAAAATATAGTAGAGAAGGACTCACCAAATAATAATAGGAATTAATATTAAATAATAATATTAAAAAAGAAATTAATAAATATCAGTATTGATAATGAAAAAATAAAATACTTTTTTAATGCAGAAATAGAAAAAAACCGATGAAAAAAAATTGAAAGGAAATAGTAGAGAATTTACGTCATTGTCTGTAGTCCCTTAAAACGAATGAATTTTTTTTTTATATAGAAAAAAAATATGATAGGGAAGGACTCACCTCTTGGTATATATTTGTATATAGATTGAAATATAAAGATATGTATATATATTCTCTCTGGAGTGGATGGTGGTTTACAACGATTGATAAAAATTTATGCGGAAAGCCCTTATTTTTACTGACGAGTGGTGTAGATAAAACAAACCCTAATATTGAATGTATTTTCACAGCGAATATGCGTGGGCGGATTCATATGTGGATTAAGGACTAAAGGGACATGGACGTGAACACTGACGGTAAAGGGAGCGCTTTTCGACTACTATACTCTGTCGGTTCGCAGCAGCAGCAACAGCAGACGGTTTCATCGATTGGCATTGCACAGCTCCAGGGGTCGAGGGTCGTAGAAAAGGGTGGTCTCTCACTCTCTCTCTCTCTCTTCCTCGTGAGCCCTGCGAGCAAAACTTTGCGCCTGTGTCTTCGATTTGGTGGAAAACGGAGGAAAAAAAAATCTCCAATCCAGAGTTGATGATGATATGAACCGGCAGAAATGTTCCCTCTTTCATCAGAGACGAATTTTTCTTTTTGCTTTTAATAAGGTACGACGCAAAACACTTAATAGTAATTGCGCATGAAAATAAAAAGAGTCTTCAAAGGAAATGCGAATTACCAAGGCAAAATTGTGATGCGTATCGTAAATGATGATTGAATTCTACTTGTTCTCTTTTGCCTATCTCTGTGAATATAAGCGAGGACGTTGCATGCTACGATTCACTGTGATCATTTCAAGAGATTTCAGATTAATATTAATTTATTGAACGTCAGGGACACTGCTAATGCAAAAATGGATCTATCAATTTTCTGTGATAAAATTATTCGAGAGAAAAATAAGTTTTTATTCTGTTTCTTGAATTCGAGAGAGGGGAAAATTTTTTTTTTTTTTACAAAATTCATAGAGGAAAAGAGTAGAAATTAGATTTTCTTTTCTTCTCGTTAGGAAAACATTTTTTATTTTTTTAATTTTCCGAAGAAAAAATATTTTTGTCACTAAAGAATTATTCAAAATAGTATTTTGGGTTTTCTTTCTCATTACGAAAAGAAAAAAAATGTAAATATTTAATTTTATGAAAGTATTTTTCAATTTGGGGGAAAAAAAGCGATGATGTTTTTCGTTTGGTCGTATTTTCTCTGTAAATTGTAAAATACTTTTACAAAATTAAATATTAGTTTTCTTTTCGTGAACTGTGGAATTTTATTGAGCATTCAATGCTAACAGAAAATTACTTTTGTAAAAGAAAAAAGATTTTAACTGGGGAAAATTACATTTGTGTGAAAAACGATTCACAATAATAGGCGGGGGAGAAAAATTTGTCATTCCTGTCATAGTTTATATTCTCACCCCTCAACACTAAATCGTTAGTAAATTTGTCAGAAATCGTTGAATAGAGCAGATGTTCGATAAGAGATTATAACGGATGTAAGTCAACAATTTTTACAAATCCGTAAAGAATTTTTCTTTTCATTCTATTTTCTTCTTTTTTATTAAATTTGAAAATTAATATCAAAACTATGAATGATTCGGACAAAATTTGAAATATTCTTTATAATATTTAATTTTAATTTACATATTTCTTTACTTGCATATTTTTTACTTATAAATATTTATATTAATTTCCTTTTTTATTTTATTTATATTCAATATTTCTTCATAAGGAGGAAAAATATTTCTGTCTCTAAAGTTTTGAACGTCAATATTATTGTTACTATTTTTAATTTCTATTTTATTAAAAAAATATATTTTATATAATTTCAATTCATTTAATTTAATTTTAATTAGAGAATGTTAAATTTACATTATTTTTCAATTCATTATAGTAATTTTTGAAAATATTCAAATAGAAAAATTTCGTTCACTTAAACATTCAAAATTTCAGTGGAATTGTAATTCACAAGTTTTAAAAGTTCAAACGCACGAAATATTTTTTATTAAAATTATTTTCAGAAATTGCTGATTGTAATAAAAGTTAAAACATTAAAAGTTGAAAATTTTTCATTTAGAAACTTTATAATTAATTTTTCTTTACTCTTAAATAAAAAAATTAGTCTAATAAAAATTTACTTTGAAGAAAGAAATAAATAAATTTCGTTCATTTGAACGTTCAGAACTTTAGAATTATAATTATTTTCTTCAGTTAACAAGTAAAAGTAATAAATACAACCAACAATTTTATTTTTCTAAACAGTTCAAAACAAATAAAGAATAATGTTTATTGATTTACATTAATTAGTAATTTAAACTATTTTGCATTTGAGGATAATTTCTTCCATTTCAGATTTAATTAAGTGTGTGAATTAACACATTTTGCAGTTATTTTGTTTTACAACTAGTTTTCATTAGATTTTATTAGTGAATTTAATTTAAAGAGAGAAATAATTAAGAACGTATTAAAATTTACATTACTATCAACAGTTTTAAACATTTTTTTCTTTTTTACTAGTCATGCTATTAGGGACTTATTCATAGAATAATTTTCAAGTTTAACGTACCCTAATGATTACATGTTTAATATTAAATAGATGACTAAAAATCATTTATGAGTGATAAAAATAATTGTTCAGTGTAGAGGGGAAGGTGATTCGTGATTAATAATATGACAGGAATGTAAAATTTTTTTCTGATCTGTTTTTTTGTCCAAATTTTCTCTACAAAATTACATTACAAATTTACAAATCTTGCTGGAAAAATATTAATTTTATTGTAATAGTTAAATTTATATTCCAATTGTTATTTAAATTACAATTTGAAATCTATTAAAATTATTATTGAAATCACACTTCAAAATGAATTAAAGTTGTTATTTAAATTACAATATATAAAATTATAATTATCAATATTCTCAATTTTTATTACCGATTATTAATAAAATTTATTGATAATTGAACAAGAATTTTAAAAGTCAAACCTGACGATTTTCCAAATTATTATTTCGCAAATTATCAAATTCGACGTTGTAAACTTTTGTTCAATAATTAATAAATAATTAAATTAATTAAGAAAAGAATAATATTAATTAATTGAAATTAGATTTATTGTAAATTTGGTGACAAAAAATTAGATTTTATTTTGAAATTTCTAAAAAGATTTCTTCTTAGGAGAATTATTTTTTTATTTGAATTCAATTTCTAAATTTAAAGACAAAATTTGGTAATAAAATAAAATTCAATTGAAATTTACAAAAAAAAGTTTTCTTTTTAGGAAAATTAGTTTCTTATTAGATAGAATAAAATTTCTAAATTTGTCTACAAAAATTAGATTTAATTGAAATTTACAAAAATGGAAATTTCCTTCTTAAAAAAATTAATTTCTTATTAGAATCAAATTTTCAAATTTGGTGACAAAAATTAGATTTAATCGAAATTTACAAAAAAAATTATTTTTTCTAGGAATATTAGTTTCTTATTTGAAATAATTTTTTAATTTATTTTAATTACTTCAATTTTAATTTTTAATTAAAAAAAATTTCCAAAAACAAAATATCTTGTTAGGAAAATTGGTTTCTTATTAGAATTAAATTTCTAAATTTCGGTGACAAAAATTAGATTTAATTAAAATTTACAAAATGATTTCTTTTTCGGAAAATTAGTTTCTTATTAATATTAAAATTTTTTTATTAGAATTAAATTTCTAAATTTGAAGACAAAATTTAGTTTGGCCAAAATTAAATTTAATTGAAATATTCAAAAAGAAGATTTCCTTTTAGGAATATTAGTTTCTTATTAAAATAAAATTTCTAAATTTGGCGATAAAAATTAGTTTCAATTGAAGTTTACAAAAAGAACATTTTCTTCTTATAAAAATTAATTTCTTAGTTAAATTTAATTGAAATTTACAAAAATATTTCGTTTTCGGAAAAATAGTTTCTTATTAAAATTAAATTTCTTATTTAGAATTAAATTTCTCATTAGAATTAATTTTTTTATTAGAATTAAAATTCTTTTTTTCCACAAAATTTGCTATATTACAAATTTTTTTTTACAAATGATTCGCTCAATCCATTCGGAGTTTTGAAACTCGTGATAATATTCACAAAAGGGTAGGGCTATTTATATGCTTTCCAGTCAGAGGCAAAACTTTTTTTTTCCTTTTTTTTCATATTGCAAACATATTTTAAAATGCACTTGTCAAAAAACCACGCCCTGACAATAGTTTATCTCTTTTTTTCACAATGCTTCCGCTCACCCTCTCTCTCTTTCTCTTCCGGATATGAAAATTTTTCAAAACTTATTTAACAATCGATTTTAATGAGAAGAAAAACATTGGTGGAAAATTTATGTCAATAATACAGTAAAATAACTTTTTTTTTGTTTTAATTCTTTTGAAATTTATCTGTTGTAACACTGAATGACTCAAGTGTTGCACACGTGCATATTAAACAACTTTCTTTGCTGTATTTTCATTTCTTTCTTTTCCGATACTTGTAAACAAAGGCATCTCAATTTCTTTAATCTCTTTTTCGATTGTCAGCAATTCTTGTTGCATTTTAATAAAAATTCTAATTGTTTTTGCATTTTCGGAGTCACTGAGATAAAAATACTTTTTCTTATCAGTGTGTTTTGTTAAAGGAGCGTGAGAAAAGGTAATAACAAACTTTTTTTCGATCGCCGAACAAAGAAAATTAATTAAAAATTCTACAAAAAAGCTAATTTTTCTATTTTTTCAGATTTTTCGAAAAAGAAGAAAAGTGCAAAGAGAAAAAATTCGGAAGGACTGCAAAAATGTAGAGTGGGAAATTTTTCGAAATTAGAAATCAGTGAGAAGAGAAATTTGATAAATTTTAGACAAAAAGGAAAATATGAATAGAAGACAGCTCACTTTAAATGTCAGCCGCCTTTCGAATTTCGTGGGAAACAAAATAATTCCTTTCAAAAACAAAAGACGAACAAAATGAGCACAGATCAAGATAAATCAGTGATTTTTCGAAAAAATTTGCGAAGGTGTAAATTTGAATATCGGCCGCACCCTTTCAACGACTTTAATATATTTTATCTCTCTCACCGGAATTAATAAAAAAAAAAGATTTTTGTTTTCGAATAAATTGAAGAATCGATATATAAACAAAAAATTTCTCAATTTTCAATAAATAGAAAAATAATTATTACAGAAAATTCCTAGGCTTTTGTGATTGCTAGTTGAGAATCTCGCATCAATATCCTTGCGTAGAATAAAAGGATCAGGATCATCTCATTGCGAGGAAATTTCAATAAATGAAAAGCCGGCTCTACGATTTTTATTTTCGTAATAAATAAAAAAGCACACTGACCTGTCAAATTGTTTTGTAAATTGAGAAACTGGATAATTCCACGCACAATGGCCGAGTTTTAAACTTAAAACACTCGAGATACGTTCAGGGGTAAGGAAGAAAATATACTGAAATTGTTGTTGCTTGAATACTACAGACAGACATACAGCGTTATTCGCAGCTTGTATAGTATATAATCTGAACGGTTTTCTCCGCTTGTCGTGTCCCTTTCTTGGCCCCCGCTCACAGAGCCGGGCTGAATTCTCTCTCGGCTCGTCGTCGTCGACTCGGTTGGTTCCCAACGCCGGTTTGTCCAGTGAACCAATCAGAAAATGGCGTCTAAATTATTTTCCCCTACCTCAAAAAAAAAAGAAGCTTATCTGTGCCCCATGTGCCCAATGTTGTCATTGCGTTGTCAAGGAGTCTGACTCATGCTTTTTGTGACACATACACGTTATTCTACGTTATTCCCTCTTTTATTTTGCTTTTATGTTTCACAATTAATTTGTTAGCAGTATCGAATAACATTTGGAGGGGAAGGAGAAAAAAAAGGTTTCCCTTTGTCGACAGTATTTCCCCTACGATTTTATATTATTTCAAATCTTGTTAATTTTATGTTATTATCATTTTTAAATGCTACCGCGTTTCTTTTGACAACTGGAGAATTTGTAATTAATTTTTAATTTAATTTTTTTCTTTTACAAATTAATTAGTTACTGAAAGGAATTTTTTATTTTATCATTTATCAATATTTTTTCTTTTGAAAGTACGATTTTTTTATTTTGCAACTCCGATTTTTATAAAAAAGGAACGGAATTTTAAAAGGAAAAGAAAAAAATAGGGAAAGAAATGTAAAAACGAAATTTTGTTGATTCAAAATTTCTCTACAGGTTTATCACGAGATTTTTAATTTTCTTTTTCCCTGATTTTCAGACTGTATTTTCCCTTTTTTTCTGAATCTCAATAATAATTTATGATTTGATACTGTAACTTCTCCAAAATTATTTTCAAAATTTCATTTTATTTACTTATTTTTTTTTTATTTTTATTAAATTATTTTCTAGAATTTTTATTCTTTTCCAAATAAATTATTTTTAATACTTTTTGATAAAGTTCTTTAAGAATTCAATTATTAAAAAATAATTCCACTCAAAATAGTTTAAAATACAATTACTTTTAATTTAATTTTATAAAATCTTGATTTGTATTCGAATATTTTTCGATTTGTTATATGTTTAAAATTTTCAAACATTTACTAATGAATAATTATTTTTAAAAAATGTCTAAATTTAAAAAAAAATCGCAATTTCTCAAAGTTGTTTAGAATTTTTAATAAAATTTTTTCAAAATTCATATCTTCGAAAATTTCCATTTGAAACCTTTTGAAATATCATTATATTCAAAAATTTCGACTATAACTTTTCAATACTCAATTATTTTCCAGAATTTCTCTTGCAAATTTTTTTCTAAATTATTTATTTTTAATAATTTCAAGAAACTTTGTTGATAATTAAATTCTTCGAAAAATAAAACGAAATTTAACTTAAAATACAATTATTTTTCAATTAATCTTAAAAAATTTCGATTATTTACATATTTCAATTAATTTTTAATATTCAAAAATCCAAATGATTTTTAAAATTATTAAAAATTCTAAAATTTTATTTTCAAACCTTTTTTAAATTCAATTTCTTGTTAGAATTTTAAAAGCAACTCTTCTAAAATTCAATTATTTTTGAAATTTTCAATTAAAATTATCCTTTAGATAATTTATAAGTAATAAACACAAATTCTATTCTAAATAAAATATTTTTAATAATTTTTGAAAACTTTTATAAGAATTGAATTTTTCGAAACATACAAAGAAAGTTCACATAAAATACAATTACTTTTCAATTCAATTCTACAATATTTCGATTATTTGAAAATTTTTCAATTCTTAATACCTATTCAAAAATCCGAATAATTTTTAGGATTCTAAAATTCTATTAAATTTCATTTTTAAACCATTTTAAATTCAATTCTTTGTAAAAAATGTAAATGCAGCGCTTCTAAAATTCAATTATTTTTTGAATTTACAAGCAAAATTATTCGTTAAATAATTTACGAGTAATAAACATAAATTCATTTCTAAATCAAATATTTTCAATAATTTTTAAAAATTTTCTTTATGAATTGACTTCTTCAAAAAATAAAAAAGAAGTTCACTTAAAATTCAATTATTTTTCAATTAAATTTTGCAAAATTTCGATTATTTGAAAATTTTTTAATTTATTTTTTAATCTTTAGAAATCGAAATAATGTTAAATACCTACCTATTTAAAAATACAAATAATTCTTAAATTTGTTTAAAATTCTAAAATTTAATTTTCAAACCTCTTCGAAATTCAATTCTTTGTAATAAAAAATTGTAAACGCAACTCTTCTAAAAATCAATTATTTTTTGAATTGTTTAGTAAAATTAATCGTTAAATAATTTATAAGTAATGAATAAAACATTTTTTCTAAATCAGTTACTTTTAATAATTTTTAGAAACTTCCTTGAGAATTGAATTATTCAAAAAAAAAAAAAAAAATTCTATTCAAATACAATTATTTTTCAATTTAATTTTACCAAATTTTCGATTATTTGAAAATTTTTCAATTAATATTCAAAAATTCAACTAATTTTTTAAATTGTTTAAAATTTGTAAACTTTTCTAAAGTTTCTATTTCAACACTTTTTGAAATTCAATTCCTTTGTAAAACCTTAATAAAAAAAAATTATTATTCATATTATTATTATTTATATTATTAAATTATTATTCGTCAAATAATTTATAAGTAATAATTTTATTATAGTTCTTCAAGAATTGAATTATTTAAATGAATTATTGTCAGAAAGAAACTCGACGTTTAATTCTAAGAGAAATAAAAACATTAATAATTAATATTAACATTAATAATTCCTTTGCGTTTACACGCAACTATTCTAAAATATAATTAATTTTGAATTTTCAAGTAAAATTATTCGTTAAATAATTTTTAAGTAATAAACACAAATTCTTTTCTAAATCAAGTATTTTCAATAATTTTTAGAAACTTCTTTGTGAATTGAATTCTTCATAAAAATAAGAAGAAAGTTCACTTAAAATACAATTATTTTTCAATTCAACTTTACAAAATTCCGAATATTTGAAAATTTTTCTATTAATTTTATACCTATTCAAAAATTCAACTAATTTTTTAAATTATTTAAAATTCAAAAATTTTTCTAAAGTTTCTATTTCAACGCATTTTGAAGTTTAATTTTCTATAAAAAAATCGTGATCGCAACTCTTCTAAAATTCAACTATTTTTAGAATTTTCAAGTAAAATTATTCGTCAAATAATTTATAAGTAATAATTTTATTATAGTTCTTCAAGAATTGAATTATTTAAATGAATTATTGTCAGAAAGAAACTCGACGTTTAATTCTTGAGAAATAAAAACATTTTTTCAAAATTAAATAATTCCATTTTTGGATAATTTAAAAAAAATATTTAAAAAATTATTTTTTAATTCAAAACATTTTTAAAATCAATAATTGAAATCTAAATATAAAACATTTCAAGTCTTTTTGAATATTTAAAGAATTACTTCTGAAGTTTCTTTTCATGAGGTAAAGACCCAATAAAAAAATAGAATTATTTTTTAATTCAAGTTTTTCGACATTTTAAAAAATACTATAAAGTTTTAGTTATTTTTTTATTAGATAAACACCCAATAGAAAATAAAATTATTTTTGAATTCAAAACATTTTCAAAATAATTCAAATCAAAATAAAATCATGTGTAAAGCGTTTTTGGATATTTAAAAAAATACTTGTAAAATTTCATTTTATATATTTTTTTTATTAGGCGTTTATTTTTGAATTCAAAACATTTTTTCTTCGAAATAAAAATAATTAAAGTGTGCAATGTGTGTTTTGGACAATTTTTAAGAAATACTTCTGAACTTTAATTTTCTTGTTCTTTATTAGGGTGTTGTCTTTATTGTTTCAAGACTTACCGCTAAATTTAATACACATCACATATTAATATTCCCTTAAATTATTGTAATTGTCTGGAATATATACAAAAAGCCATTAAAGGGAAATTCTTATGACATACGGCGATACATCAAAAATTGTGTAGAGTCCAATTAAGGTTTTTTTCAAAGAAAAACCTTCAGTTTTTTTTACTTTTACTCTTTCTTTCTTTCTTTCTTTTCTATTCTCATCTAAATGCATGACTCATACAGGTCTCTCGAGTGTTTTTTTTCAAGAATTATAATAATAATAATAATAATCTAATTAAAAATTTAGATTACAATATATATAAACTTATTAGTCAGAAGCTTTTCAAATTTGGTGCAGGGTGAATTTTTCTCTTTCTTTTCAAATGTATAATAAAGTATAGAAATCAAAAATCAATTAAAGGTGACATGATGATAAATCTACAATTATTAATTAAGGTGTAAAAATTTAAAAAAGCAAAAAAAAACCTTAATTAAAACCAAAAAAAAAGAAGTTGACAAAAATTGGCTTCTTGGATGTTATCAATTATGTAAAAAAAAAAAGTGGAAATAAGGAAAATTGGACTTAAATCTGAATTATAACGACTTTCACACACTTTTTTTTCTCGTATGCGCGCGCGCGTTTAATCGTCCTTCATTTTTGAATCCGGTGATTTGTCTCCATTCATTGGCGAATGTGAACGGCTACGGCTCTTACTGTGCTTGCTCATTGATCGTGATCTCGATCTGTCTCCCCTGGAACGTTCCCGGCTTGATCTCTCCCTAAAAAAAAAAGAAAAACACATTTTTTTCCCTTTTCCTTTGGAAACATTTTTTCGAAAAAAGTATACTCTGCTTTCGTCTTTCATTCATTCTTTTTTTTCGCTGAATTTTGGCAATTCTTTTTTTCGTTTTTTTGTTTTTGAAAAAACTCACTTTGATGGTGACTTCGCTTTGGACTTGGACTGCGACCTGGACTTTGACCTCTCAGCCTTGGACCTAGAACGAGATCTGGATTTGGACTTTGACTTAGATTTCGACTTTGAGCGGTCTCTTGATCTGTAAAATTATATGTACCAATAAGAAAGAAGAAAAGTGATTTCCAATGAATTTCAACTTTTTTTTTGTGCCTCGTGTATTTCGTGTGTGAAAGAAATTTAAAAAAAACTCCAATTTGAAAACTATTAATTATTATTAATTACGAATAATAATTAATATGTTTGAAATTGGAAGAAAATAAAAAAATAATCGATGAGTTTGGTGCAAAAAAACTTGCACGCTGATGAAAAGTGTTTTTCTTTTCTAAACAAGGCCGTGTCATTGTTGTTCTTCTCTCATCAGTGATTTGCTTTTCAAAAGTCACAAATCAAACTAATATTGACAAAAAAAAAAAAAAGAAATTAAAGAAAATGAATTAAAAAAATTGAATAAAAATTAAATTAAACAAAAATCGTTTTCTCCGCTGAATTTATTCATAAAAAAGGAATTCGTATCCTTGTATTTTCGAATCTACAAATGAAAACCCTTCACAAGGACTCTTCTTCTGTCCTTTCTTTGGGTTTTCGATTTTTCGCTTCTGAAATGAAACTTCACTAATTTGTTTATCAGCCCAAAGCATTGTCAATATAAAAAAGGAAAAGAATAATTTTCTTTCAAATAAAATTACATCTACACAACCAAGTCAGCTTGAAAAGTGAATATAAAAGACGAAAAGAGCAAAGCACAAAAATTACAAATAGAAATCAATCTTTTCTTTTCACTAAAGAAAGCAATAGATTTTTGTTTTTTTTCCAAATTAGTAGGCTCTAAAGTATATTTACACTATCAAATTATTTACTAAAATATTTACTATAAATTAAATTCAACTAAAATATTTACTATTTATATTTTAAAATATTTACAAAAATAGTTACTATAAAAATTATAAATTAACTAAAATATTTACTATAAAAGAAATAAACATCTACTATTTTGGAAACAAACTAAATTAAATAATCTAAAAAATTGTGTGAAATAATAAATGAAAAAGATGCATGCAAAAATGATAAGTTCTTTTTTCTGAAATTCAAACGTGAAAGTGAAAGATTCATTTTGCAGTATTTCTTCGAAGAGAAATTCTTACTTGGACTTTGATCGGGAGCGGCTACGTTCCGGAGATTTGGATTTGGACTTTGATTTCGATTTTGAATGGGCTCTGGATTTAGATCGGCTGCTTCGGCGACTACGGCTTCTAGAGCTGCGACGGCTCCTGAAAATAAGTGGAATTTTTCCTTTAATTTCTTGGTATTTTAATTATTAATTGAGATTATTTTATCTTTAATTCAATTTATTTTATTTTATTAAATTTCATTAAAATTATTTATAGATATTTATATACCTTGAGCGGGAGCGGGATCGACGGCGAGATCGAGACCTTGATCGTGATCTTGACCTGGAACTGGAGGATCTTGAACGGCGTCCACGTCTCTTGTCTTCGATCAAACGAATTCGGCGGCCATTCAGTTCCGTGTCATCTAATTTTTCAATTGCATTCTTCAAGTCTGAGTATGTAGCGAATTCTACTACTCTGTAATTTTAAAAGCAATACAAACACATTAATTTACAGAAAAGAAAGGAAAATTTATTTTTACTTTTTATTGGAATTAAAAATATTCGTCAGGGTTGCCACAAATATTTAATTTTATTTTTCCCTGACTTTTCCCTGAATTCCACACAAAATTTTAACTTTTTCCCTGACTCTAAAGAATATTCTGATTCACTCTAAAAATTATTAGATACTCGAAAAAATGTTCTATTACATTTATTTAGAAATTTCTTAACATGAAAAAGGAGATCACTCCGAGTCTTCGACTTGGAGTGATCGCCTTCTTCATGTTTTGTAATAATTTAAATAACCATAACATTTTTCAAAAAAAAGTTAATTATTTACAAAAATCCTTCATTAGAATTCAATTATTTTTACAAGTAGTAAAAATTTCTCAAAAAAATTCAATTATTTAAAAAAATCTAATAAAATTCATTGCAAGAATTCAATTATTTTCATGAATAACAAATCGATTATTCGGTAATTCATTTTTAAATCAATTTTTATTAGAAAATTCTAGAAGAATTCAATTATTTAAATTAAAAAATAAATAATTTATTGAATAATTGAATGTTTGGTGAAATTGAATTCTCATAAAGAATTTTATCATCAAATTTTTAAATAATTGAACTCTTTTGACGAATTTTAATAAATTTTTAAGAATAATTAAATTTTTCGTGAAATTCAATTAAAATTGTATCAAAAATAATTAAAATCCTGCGATGAGTTTTATTATTTATGAAAATAATTAAAATTCTCTAAAATTTGAATTAAAAGTTTTCTAAAATAATTGAATTTCGGAGAATAATTTTATTATTTATAAAGATAATTGAAATTTTGACAAGAATTTGTTTTGAACATAATTGAATTTCTGCGAAGAATTTTATTACTTTTGAAAATAATTGAATTCTTTCAACGAATTTTATTCAAGTTTATAAAAAAAACCGAATTTCTGTGAAGAATTTTATTATTTTTATAAGTAATTGAATTCTTGAAACAAATTTTATTCAAGTTTATAAAAATAATTGAATTTCGGTGAAGAATTTTATTATTTATAAATATAATTGAAATTTTGACAAGAACTTTGTTAAATTTTTTTTTTAATAATTGAATTCTTGCGAGGAATTTTATTACTTTTGAAAATAATTGAATTCTTCCAACGAATTTTATTCAAGTTTATAAAAATAACTGAATTTCTATGAAGAATTTTATTATTTTTATGAATACATAATTGAATTCTTGTAACGAATTTTATTCAAGTTTATAAAAATAATTGAATTCTTGAAAAGAACTTTGTTAAATTTTGTTTGAAAAATTTGAATTCTTGCGACGAATTTTATAAAAACGTTTTTAAATAATTGATATTTTTCGAGAAATTTTATCAAATTTTTTTTTTAAATAATTGAATTATTTCGAAGAAGTTTATTAAAAAGTTTGTAAATAATTGAATTCCTGTGAAATTGGCCAAGAATTTTATTAAATTTTTTAAAAATATTTGAATTTCGAAGAAGAATTTTATTATTTATAAAGATAATTGAAATTTTGACGAGAATTTTAAAATAATTTTTGAACATAATTGAATTTCTGCGAAGAATTTTTATAACTTTTGAAAATAATTGAATTTCTGGAATCATTAGTAATTTTTTCAAAATTGAATTTCTTTCCAGTATTTTAAACTAAAATTCTTCTATAAATCTAGTATTTATGAAAATTGTAAAAATTATTCATTAAATAATTTATTAGTCATAATTTTATGATAGTTCTTGAAAAATTAAGTTATTTAAAAAGAAATTATTGTCAGAAATAGAAATAATTGAAGTTTTTGTATTTGAATTCGTAGTAATCAAAATTCAGAGTTTTCTAATGAATTTAAAAAATTTAATTTTTCCCTGTACTTTTACTAAAAAATCCCTGATTTTCCCCTGACCTGTGGCAACCGTGTTCGTATTGGCAAAAATTTTCTTCTTTTACAAAAATATTTCGTTCTTAAACGTTAAAAAATTCGTAGATAATTAATAAAGCTCATTACCCTTCATTTCTGCGTTGCTTGTGTGCATCTGCGTATGTAACTTCGCCAGCTTGTCTCATGTAATCCTTCAAATCCTAAACATTGCATAAAAACTATTAGTATTACATCGATGAGAGTGAGAAATAAATAAAAAAGTTCTTTTTTGAATTCTAATAACGTAGTGTACTTAGTCTGATACTGGAATGGTTAAAGGGAACGCTGTGCACTATTAATTAACATCCTTTCAGGAATTCCTTTTGAAGATTTGCTTGTAGATTTACTTGGAAAGATGTGTATAGAGACTGTATAGTATTTTTTGTATTTTTGTATAGAACTGTACTAATTTTTTTTTCATTTAAAAGACAAAAGTAATTAAAGTATTGTAAAAAAATTGCAATCAGTAGAAAGTTATTTTTACTCTGACGACAAAAAAAAATTATTTTTATCTCAGCCTATACAGTTCTGCATTCTTCCTATAGCTACAAGATGTGCCCGAATTTAGAAGAATTAATTTGTACAAACTTCTTTCTTTTATGCAGTGCAATGTTCGCTAAATATTAGTACATTTTATCAACACTCCTCTCTACAGAAATTCAAGTTTTAAAAATTAATTACAATTTTTAAATTAAAGAAACCCAATCAAAAATTCTGAAGAAATTACTAAAATACTCCGAAACAATTATAATTTTTTTTTTTTTTTTTTTTTGCAGTGAATTACATTTTCTTTTATTTTTGAACAAAAATTTACGGCTACAATTATAAAATCTCTATTTTATAAAATAGAAAAGAGTAAAAAATACAACCAATATTTAAAATATTTGTTTTCATTGTAAAACAAAAAATTGCCTTTTTTGTAAATTAAATTTTCTTCGCATTAAAACTGACTTGAACTTTAAGAAATTTTTATTTATTTTTAATTATTATTTCAATTTGAATTTTAATTATTTTCATAAATTACAATTTTACTTTGAATTTTGATTATTTTTATAATTAATTAACAAATTATTTAATTTATAAACTAATTTTTTTTTGAAAATGAAATATTTCTGTAGAGAGGCTTACAATCAATATTGTAAAATAAAAATAAAATGAGATGAAGAATCCAAAAATAATATTTAGTCTATAGATAAATAAACAAACATACCAATTAAATAATTGTGTTACTACGAGCAGATAGAATAAGAAATTATTATTTGCAGAATAAATAAAATCAACAGTAACAAGAGACCAGTAATGAAATAAAATGAAGAGGTTTTTAGTAAAGAAGAAATTAAAACAGATTTTCTTGCTTTCCCTCTCCTTCATGTTGAGCGAATCCATAGAATTTGAAAATAAACCAATAATTCTCAACGTTTCAGATGGAAATAAAATGAAATTTGGTCCAGAGTGGAAAATATTGGGTTCATCCAGATTTCCTTTCATATTTCCAAGAATCCAATTCACAAGTCTCTCTCTCTCTCTTTCTTTTTCCTCTTTTGAAGACACCCAGAAAATTCCAAAGTTCCAAATATTGTCGGATGAAAATATTGTACATCGTGTGGGAGAACCAGGCACGTCTTTCTCTTTTTTCTTAAAAAAAATCCCTTTTTTCCTAATTTGTCTGACAATGGCAGCAATTTTCTCTAAAATTCTTTCAAATTTTCATTTCTGATACTTTCTTGTCAATCATCTTCGAAATGTTTATCGGTCCGTCCGAACATTCTTTTTTGGATCGCAAAAGATTTTTTTATTTCCCCTTTTGATTCTTCAATTTTCAGTTGTCCAGAGTAAAGTTCATTTTTTCTAAAAGCTTGTGAAAAAGCTTCTTCTTCTCCTGTGTTGCTGGCTTAAAAATATTTAATTGCGACATTGCGATGCATAGAGAAAAAAAGTTAAATTTATATTAAAAATCATTTTGCAAGAAAAGAAAACAAAAAGAGTTTTTCTAAAATTTTCATTTTGTAAAGAAAAAAATTACATTTAGTTATTAATTAATCAAAATCATCTAATTTCGAGCACAAAATAATTTAGATAGTGATTTTTTTTTAAATATTTGGTTATTTTTAGCTGGTCAATTAGTATTTATGGAAAAAAAATTATTAAAATCTTTTATTAGAAAACTTTCGACGATAATAAAGACCTTGGTGGGTAAAAAAAATTATTTTTCACTTAATAAAATGATTAAAAATTGAAATTAATTTCAAGTTAATGAAAATAAATTAAACGGAAAATTGCATTTTTTGTCCTCGAAGATCTTTTTTAGCGTGTGAAGCAACAAATAATTTCAATTTTAAGTTAAATAAAAAATGTACCATTTTTTTCTTCTGTACTTACTAAAAGATCGTCAAATTTTTTTTGTTTTTACTTTTCCAATTATGCTTCTGCAATTTTCGATTTTATGTACCAAAACGACTTTTCAATTTTCTTGCTTCGAATTTATAATAATAATTATTATAATTATAATTATTAATATTGTTAATTTTAATTCCTCTTTTTAAATTTAATTCCTTTTTTTGTAAATTATTAAAAAATTCTAATAGATAGACGAATTTATTTCATTTAAAAATTAAAATTACAAATGGATTTCTTATTAATTCGGCGAACAAAACTTTTTCCCACTTTCTTTGCTATTTTAATTAATATCGCAGAACTCGAATATGAAATTAGGATATTTGTAATTTAAATTTTACGAATATTTAATTAGAAATGTATTTTTTAAAATTTTTTGAAATAAATCTATTCTTTTAAACTCACATTAAGAAATGTAGATAAAATCCAAGATTAGAAAATTTTTAAATATAAATTATTTTAAAAAATTTATTTAAACCGAAAATAATTTGAAATAAATAAAAATATATTTTTCTCTGAATCTACTTGTGATAAAATTCAATGAAAGAATTCAATTATTTTCAAAAATTTTAATAAAATTTTTCTCAAAATTCAATTATTTTAATAAATCATAAAAATTTTCGCGGAAATTCAATTTTTTGTATAATTTCAATAAAATGCTTGTCAAGAATTCAATTATCTTCAAAAATAACAAAATTCTTCGCTGAAATTCAATTATTTTTAAAAAATTTAGATAAAATTGAATTAAATTATTTTCACTACGATTTTAATAAAATTTCGAGACTAAAATTCAATTACTTTTAAAAATTTTATCAAAATGCAATTATTTTTAATAATTCCAATCAAATTCTTGGCAAGAATACAAAATTCTTAGCAAAAATTAAATTATTTTCAAAAGATTTTAATTAAATTCTGTAGAAGAATTAAATTATTTTCACTACAATTTTAATAAAATTTGGAGACCAAATTCAATTGCTTTTAAATAATTTATTAAAATTTCTTGAAAGAATTCAACTGTTTTTCAAATTTCAATAAAATTTTTCGCAAGAATTCAATTATTCTCATAAATAAGAAAATTCTTCAGAGAAATTAAATTATTTTCAAAGTTTTAATAAAATTCTTGCCAAGAATTCAATTATCTTCAAAAATAACAAAATTCTTTTCTAAAATTCAATTATTTTAAAAAAATTTTCTTAAAATTGAATTAAAGTATTTTATCGAATTCAAGTCAAGTATAAATATTTTTTCCATTTAAAACGAAATTTGCAGAAGCATTAGGAGAAAGATTTCTCTGATCCAGCCTTTCGAAGATTTTCCAATTTAACCGCTCGACGTCTTTCTCTACTATTTTTTTGTTTTGTTTATTTAACAACTTGAATCTCTATTGTGCACAGTTAACAATTTCATTGTCTATTTTTTTTTGTTGCTTTTTTTTAAATATACATGTATATGCAGAAAAATGAATTTTCATATATATTTATAATAAATATAGTAATAAAGAACGTGAATAATAATATCATCTAAATTTTAAGATTACACTCGGTTAAGGTGACGCATTTACCTTGGGGCCCAGGCACCACCTTGCTTACGGACAGAGAGAAAGGCCAGACACACAACAACGGCGCTTGCTCGGGTCGAACTTGTGATCAGTGTGGCGCAGTCGCGGATGATTCGAGTTTTGCCCCACGTGTCGGAGAGGAGGCCCCCTCACTCACATGAATGAACCCGTTCGCTGCTAGCCTGAACATTACTAGACAGCAGCACTAGGATGGTGATACTGGTGTGGTACTGGTAGAGTGGCACACGTCGAGATGTAGGAACATTTTACCAAAATTCTTTTAAAGTTAAGAAACAAAAATCCAGTAGTTTTTTTTTTTTAAATATTAGTGAGGGTAATTAAAAAAAGAAAAAAAAAGAATATCTGAATGGGATTAAAAAGGAAAAAGGGGGACAAAAGAGAAAAATGATTTAATTTCCCAGAGGGACAAAAAGGAAAAAATTACCAAAGGGAAAAAGGATTAAATTTATAAATAGAAAAAGGATTTTTTGTTAGAAAAAAAAAAGAAGGGGGAAGAGATCGCAGACGAATTTCCTCTCCAAATTGTGATGGGAGAACAACCGACGTGTGTTAACGATCTGTCTCTCTCCGGATTATCACTGAGAATTGGCCCGCGTATCACTGGATAGGTGGGTGGTAGATGGGTGGTAGGTGCCTCGAGGCTCTCTCTCTCACCCGGACACCTCAGAAACCAAAAACCCTTTTTTGGTGCCTCTCACTATTGACCATCAAAAGCCGGGGGCCCACATCGCGTGCATCTCTCGTCATCTCTCTCTTTCTCTCTCTCATTACCATCCGAACATCGGTCAGTCTTATTGTGTGGCCCTATCTCGATCGCCCCTCCACGACGAAGAGGACATGACTCTTCGGAAAGAACATCAATTTTTGTTTATTTGTTTCTTTTTCTCTCTCTTTTTTTGTTTTGTTTGTTAAATTTTGCGGAACGTAAAGAAAATTAAAAATTCAAAAAAACCTTTTCTTTAATTTTTTTTTTTTTTTTTTTTTGTTCATAACCAATCCGAAAAGGTAACGATTGACAATGTATATTGATCAAGTAAGACTCGGGTAATTCCTGCTCGTTTTCTCTTTGCTCTATTCTCCTTCCTCCGTTCTTCGTTCACCATTCTCCTTTTCCGTCTCCTTGTGAATTTTCCATGAACTTCCAATTTTCCATTTTGTCTTCCAATTTCCCATAGGTTCTTTCTCTTTCTAGAGAACAGTGATTATCTTCAAGAGTTGATTGGAAAATCCGGGGGGGGGGGGAGTCTGGAACCAGCATTCCTTTTTTTGTCTCCGTCTCCCTTTTTCTCGTCAATCGTGCCTCTGGTTTTTTCTCTCTTTAATCTCTTTCTCTCTTTCCATCCGTATATTTTCATCCTCATTTATTCCTTTTTTTGCTCTCTCTTTGGAAACGAAACGAGCCGTGTTTCTTTAGCCACCAGACTTACTTGATCAAAATGTACATCTCAAGAGACTCGAAAAAGAGTTATTAAAAACTTTGCGAGAAATAAAAGGGAAAAATCCCAAATGTGAAATTAATGATTCGGAAAACAAAAAAAAGTGAACTATAAAAATGAATCCTTGCCTTAAAAACAAAACTTGAGCTTTAGAAATAAAAAAAAATGTCTAAAGTACTAAAAAAAAACAAAAAGAAAAAATCTGATTTTTGATAATAAAAAAAAAACATCTTGACACAAAGCTTAAGCAAATTTAGTTTTTTAATTAAGATATATAAATTTCTTTCTTTTGAAGAAAAAGATTTTTCTTTGAAAAAGAAGAGATGCACGATATCTTACCTGCCAGCTAACGCGACTCGACAGGTTCTCCACGGTCAGGCGGTACTCGGTCCGGGTTGGCGGTCCATATCTAAAAAAATTCAGATGTCCATTAAAATACCGTGTTTATTTTTGAAAAAGTAAAAATAGAAAATTGTCTCGAACTTGACTCAAATAGAGAGAATAAACGAAAAAGTGAATTGACAAATAAAGGAAAAGACTACTTTTGAATAAGTGAAAATATTTATCAAACAAAGTATTTATCAAAAGAAAATATTTATCAAACAAAGTATTTATTAAAGGAAATATTCATTGAAGAAACTATTCGTTAAAGAAACTATTCGTTAAAGAAAATATTCATTAAAGAAAATATTCATTTAAACACTCGAAAAATTAAAGATTTTATATTAGAAATTGTTAGCAATATAAATTTTCAAATTGTAAATATTTCTCAAGATACAAAAAATTGACAAAGATTGAAAAAGACAAAAATTTTCAATAAAATTAAGTTTCAGTAAATTGAATTAAAATTTAGATAAAATTCTCAAAATGATAGAATGAAATTTTAAGTTAAATTAAATTATAATTTAAATTTAATGAAATTGAATTCTATAAATATTTACTTTAAGTGAAATTATTAATTTTAAAATAGAAAAGTTTGAAAAATAAAAAGAGTAAAAATAGTAATAGTGAGAAAAAAGAAATTTTTTTTTGTTTTTGTGAAGTTTTAGAGCGTAACATTATAGATGTATGTACCTGGGCAATGATTGCTTGTAGCTAGATGCAGTCCTCGTGTTTCTGTTCACACTATCTCTGCAAAAAGGGATCTCATGTGAACAGAAATAACGGATTGTTTGATAAAACCTTCAGCAAATAACTACTGTTCTGCACTCATTGCTCAGGCACACAATCAATCACCTGTTCCAATCGAATCAAATCTACTCAAAATGCAGCAATAGCGTACCTGTCGTGCCGCATTTCGTCTCGGCTGTAACAAACATAACACCAAATATCAAATTAGTCACAAAATTCACATACATTCCCACCTCGCTCATCTAGCAGTAGTTATTTTTTTTTTCTTATAAATATAAATATTCTTTCAAAATAAAAAAAAGACAGAAAAAAAACTATTTACAATGGGATACAGTACAAAACTTGATTTTAAAGTTCTATTCATTTTTTTAGTTTAATTTTGTAAGTTTCTTTTTTGAGTTTCTTTTTTAGTTTCTTTTTTGACTTTCTTTTTTAAGTTTCTTTTTCTAATTTTAATTTTTCTAGTCTTATTTTTTTTCTAAATTTTACTTCTTTTTTTATAGTTTTATCTATTTTTCTTAGGTTTTATAATAATAATTTACTTTACCCATTAATTAAAAGACTTGCTCAGGAGAGAAGTCAAATCCAAGACAATCGAATGAAATTGAAAAATTGTTAGTAATCAAATTAATTATAAATACATCAATTTCTAGAAATTCATTAAATTTACTTTATGCGCTTATTTTTATTCTATACTTTTCTCTTATTTTGGAAATTTTATCGTCGTAATTTTCAAAAAAAAACAAGAGATTTCTATTTTTTTATCGGAATTAAATTTTTGCACATACGTATTAATTATTAATTGGCAAAAATTGAAATGAAAAATTTAAATAAAATACAGAATTTACTCTAAAAGTGATAATAATAAAATATAAATAAAAACGTTATTGTTCTAACACTTTGAGAACCATTTCTTCAATTTTGAAAATTTCTTGAAACTGGAGTACAAGAAAAATACATCAGAGAATTTTGCGATGATAAAATTTTTTTTAACAATTAAATTATTTTTAATACAGTTTTAATTAAATTTTTTGAAAGAATTTAATTATTTTGAAAAGTTTTCATTATTCTTTGAAATTCAATTATTTTCAAAAATTGTAATAAAATTCTTGACAAGAATTCAATTATCTTCATAAATAATAAAATTTTTCGCAGAAATTCACTATTTTTCAATATTAATTTAAATACATTTTTTCTCAATACCATTAATTATTTTTAAAACCAATTTAAATAAAATTACTCTAAATAATTCAATGAATAGATGAAAGTCAGCAACGTTTTTAAAAACCCAAAAATAATGCGACAATATTTACTTTATTTCGGCTTCAAATTCGTATTCGCTTATTAGTAATTTTCTTTTAATTTATAGAAGCTCAAAAATTTTCTCACACAAAAATTGGAGATGAATTTAAATAATTTAAATTGAAAAAATATTTTCCTTTTGATTTTCCGTTTTTAAAAATGTTGCCAACTTGACTCTGATGTTTTTCTACATATTCACAGTTTCATTAAATTTCTCCAAAGGTTTTTAAAATGAAATTTCTGTTTTCTCTTTAAATATTTTCAAAAATTACAAGAATAAAATGAAAAATCAAATAAATTAAATATTTACTTCGTTACAAGAATTTTTTTAATTTACGAAAAAAAACATTTTTGAAATAATATTCTATTTTAAACGAAGTATTAAATTGTATCAAATTGATAATCGTTCATTTAAAACGTTCGAAATTTTAGGACCATAAAAATACCTTCTCATGCGATGAAAACGTAATATTACACTGAAATGAAAAATAACGTAAATTAAACAATTTAATAATAAATGTTGAATTAGAATTAAAAATTTTATAAAAGATAAAATTAGCATTAAAATCTTTAAAAAAGGTAAAATTAAAATTAAACATTTTAATTATAGAGAACAATTTAAAAAATAAGAATTGACAGAAATATGTCTAATACTAGACAAAAATTTCTAGTATTAGTTCGGAACTTTAGAAAATTTTTAGTAAAACTTAAAAGCAGATTTAAATTTCCAAAAAAGCAAAAATGGTCCTCAAAGGAATAGAAATTGAAATACAACTAAATAGCGTAATGACTATGCAATAATTCAACACAAAAATAAATTTACAAAAATATTAAATAGAGTAAAATTTGCGAAAGAAAAAATTCTTGAAAACAGAATATTCGACGATAATTTCCTCTCCTGAATCGGTGATGTGCGAATATAATATTGAAAATAAAAAGAAGCATTTTAAAAACAATGAAATAATTGAAAAATACTTGAAAAAAATTGAAATTACTGCTTTTTTGAAAAAAAGAAAAAACAAACAAAAAGTAAAAAAGATAAATGAATTATTAGGTTCCTGAAGTTAGCGTCGACGCTCAGCGTCGAAAACTATCATTCGCAGTTTTTAGAGATGATGAAAATATTACTAATTTTTATTTATTACTAATTTTACTAAAAATATTACATTTTTTATTTACATACAGAGCCAAATTATTTTTTAAAGAATTTTTTTTTTTTTTTAGCTAAAATTGTCGAAAAATAATCTGATTGCTTTCCCTTGGTAACGAAAATAAAGTTTTTTAACGCTCAGCGTCGACTAGGTTCTTGAAGTTGTCGTCGACGCTGAGGGTGGAAAAATATTTTTTTTTGCGAAATCAAAAAGAATAAAACAATTTTTTTTCAAAGGTTTTAGTTTAAAAATTATTTTGGAAAAGTTTTCAACTCCCAAAGTGAATGAATGAGAAATTAGTGAAATTCTCAACTCTAAAAACCACGAATACAATAATTTTCCACGATAACTTCAAGGGAATTAAATATTGGAGAAAAAAAATAATATAATGGAAAAAAGTGAAAGAAAAGAGAAATAAATTAATTAATAGAAGAAATGGAAATATTAGAAACAAATGAAATAAAGAAAAAAAAATGAAATAGTAGAGAAACAAATTAAGTAGAGAAAAAAATGAAATAGAAAAAAAAATGAAATAGTAGAGAAACAAATGATTCTGCATGAAAAAAAGAATAATCGCACATTCCGAGTAAGAATGGCAGCACACAGGGGATAATTAATCGCATTTTTCTCTCTGTGTTTTTGTGTTTTTTTTTTTTTTTTGATAAAATAAAAAAAAGGATAGCGTGTCTTACGCAGATCGCCTCGAGTCCCCATAACCACCACGGGAGTCACCATAGCGCCACTGGTCACTACCCCTAGGTGTACCCCGGGCCCTCTCTACAGTAATTCTGTAACAAGACACATTGGATATGCTTACTTGTCTCTCCAGGAGCGTGAGCGTCCGTAGCCACGGTCGCCTCGCCTCCCTGAAACACCCCGTGCTATCTCCACCGCCACTCTGAAACACACCCAACAAAACCCCGCCTAAGTCCTCGACTAATTCTTACTTCTAATTGCCGCTTTCCTTCCTTCCTTCCTTTAATTTTCTTTTTTCCACAGCCTCCTCTCAAGTCATCATCATCATTACCATCATCATCATTATCATCCTCTCAATTATCATCCGCTTCTTTCAAGTTTTTACTCAGTCCAGCCTCTGAGGCGTAGTCTCCTTTCGCGAATCTCTTCATCTCCTAAACTATTATTGACTGCTGTCGTTTGCAACTTACGACCAATTTCAATTTTGTTTTTCATTTTAATTCACACGATAAGCTTTTTCTACGAAGGAAAGAGTCACCTTAACTAATTCAACTTGTTACAAAAAGCCATTCTCAATAAAGTTTTTCGCAGTTTTTCTGTGGGTATTAAATTGAGACAAAAAACGAATCAAAAGCAACGCTTTTGATTCGTTTTTTGTCTCAATTTGATACCCGCAGAAAAACTGTTTTTAATTCCGAAATAAAAACTGTTTTATTGCAAAATTTGATTTTTTTCTCATTCTTTTACGTTATATTTTGTTTCAGTTATTATTTGTTTCGAGTTTTTTTGTTATTTACTTTCTGGTTCAGAAAACTTTTTGCTATTTAGCTAATTTAATTCAATTATCATTTATCTGAGTATTTTTCGCCAATTTGTTTTTTACCAGTAAAAAATTTCTACTCATTTGTTGATAAAATTTATGTTACACAAGTTCTGAACGTTTGTTCAGAATTCAGAATAATTCAGAATAATTCTATTATTTTCTAATATTATTGCAATGAAATTTCAATTTGATGAAGAAATAAATAAATTTCGTTCAGAACTTTCGAGGGCATTAAAATTTTATTTTAACTACTTCGTTTATTATAATTAATTAATAAATTATTATAATTGTAAAATTAATTAGTAATTTCACTAACTGACGAGATATTTAGTCAAAATATTTAATTTTTATTTAATTGTTTAATTTTTAATTAAATTCTAAATCGAATCAAAAATGCTCCTATATAATTTTGAATATTCAAATGAACGAAATTAATTTATTTCTTCTTCAAATTGAAATTTTGTTACAAAAACATTTTCCTCACGTGTAAAAAAATATATTATTAAGTTTTTAAATGATAAATTTAAATGAATTTTTATTAAACTCAATAAGTTGTAAAAATAGTTTTAATGAAAAATGTTTCATTCTTTTGAACGTTCAGATCTTATTGATAAATAGAAACAAATATTTTTTCCTCTAGAGATTTTTTTTCAATAATTCTTGAAATTAATTAAATTAACATGAATTTTAAAATAAAATTTTTATAAAAAGCTTATTATTATAAAACAGCTTTCAATAGAGTTTTTCAATAATTATTTTTTATTTATTAGAAAAAAGTAGCAGATTTCGAAATTGATTTTCTCAATTTAAACCCATTTTTAGTTGCGCTAAAGATATTAAATCGAAAAAAAATATTTTCAAACGAATAAACATTCAAAATCTGCTCTCGGCAAGCACATCTAAATTTTAAAGTTCTTTCTAAAAGACAGTTAAGCATTTTTGAAATTTCTTAAATTTTCTTTTAATTCTCTCTTTGAATTTCTTTTCTTTTCTTTCATTTTTTCAATAAATAGAAAAATATCAATGTTAAAAAATGTCACTTCTTCTTAAAAATTCCTATTTTTTTAATTCTCTACAATTTCTTGAACTTTCTAATTAACGAAATAATTTTCCCGTAAAATAATTTCAAAAAATAGTACTAATTGCAGATAAGAAAAATAAAAAATAAATTCTACATTCAGAAACTTAAAAAATTAACTTTTTTGAAAGTGACATAGAAATATTGCAATAAAAATTTATTTTGAAGAAATAAATATTCGTTCATTTGAACATTTAGAACTTTAGGATCATATTAAAAAAAATAGAAGTAAATAAATATTTTTCTGAAATTATTTTATGTTTATTTTGTTTTCAAATTATGTACTTTACAAAAGTGACTTTTCTCTCCACTTTTATTTTTCTATTTTTTAGTTTTATTTGTTATTTTTCTTTCTATTGCTTTTATGTTTTAATTAACAAAATAACGAGCATAACCCATTAAATTGTAATTAAAATTTAAAGAGTAAAAATAAAACTTTGATTCAATTAAAAAAAATACTGTAGACTCCTCTTTTTTTCGACATAAAGTTCACGATGCCAAAAATTCGTGCAATAAAAAAAAAGGGAAGGGGAAGTGCAACATAAGGCTACAAAAATAGAAAAGTCTACAGTATTCCATTATTATAATGAATATAATTTCCAAAAATTCTTAACAGTCATAAGCTCACAATTAAAAAAAAAAATTTGCAACAAAACTTGTCTTTCTCTTAATTTAGGTATTAATAAGCCAAGAAACTTTCCTTTCGGAACAGTTGTTTCCAATTATTATCGATTTATTCCAAAAGAAATGTTTATATTTATATGTCAATAAATTATTTTTTAAATAAAACAATAAATAAATTATTTTTTAAAAAACACACCATATTTGCTGTAATTTTTGAATTATTGTACAATTTTCAATTAATCAATCATTAATATTTACGTCCATCAAGTAATTTACTTTTAATTACTAATTTAATTTCAATTTTTAATCTTGTCTACTAATTTTATTTTTAAATATTTCCAATTCAATTATTTGTAATTTTTTCAATTACTTTTTAATTATTTTTAGTTAATTTTTAATAATAAATTTGTAATTTTTTCAATTACGTTTTAATATTTTCAATTGAACTAATTCAAAAATTAAGCCAACTGCCAAAAATTGGATAAATTATAAAAATATCTATAAACATAATTTGTCCTATTTAAATAATAAATCAAGGACTAGTTTAAGGTAACTCGTTCCGCCTAATTCTTTATGATCCAAATTATTGAATTTTGACAATGCGATTATTATAATAATAATTTTTTTGAAAATCAAAATTCCCAAAAAAGTGTCTTCTTTTTTTTTATATTATTAAAAAGGATCATAAAGGATGTCTCGTGAAAAAACTTAAATCTTGAATAAGTGTTTTTTGCGGATAAAAATCGACAACTTAACATAAGAAAATTAAGAAAGTTGTAAATTAAAATGTTTTTTTTCGGAATCCTGTATTTTTCAATTATATAATTCAACAACCGGGGGAATTGATGGAAGTTGTTCAAAATGGCGGTAAGTCACAGCGCACTCTCAGGTCAATGTACTAAACAAGACCGTCTTAATGCATCATTTACGGAGGCAGACTATGTCTACAGATTTCAGGGATTCGAGTAAACAAAGCTCAAGAAGATAATGCGCATTTTCCTAATGATTCTGTACTTTTCATTTTTAAACTGAATTTTTATTTTTCTGTTTCTCGTTTGCGATTCAATATTCAACAAACAGTTAATAAACAATTAGAAAATAACTATAAAAAAAAGGAATACAAAAATACATTCCTTCCTCTATGAAGAAGCAAAATAACAAAAAATTTTGCAAAAAGAGAAAAATTACAAGAAATTTCAAAAAAAAAAAAAAAAAAAATACAAAAACTTACAAAAAGTTTATAAAAAAAAAACGAATTAAAAATAAATTGTCGAAAGAATCTTCGTATAAAATACCGAATTATTTAATTAATACAAAATTAAGAAAAAATTATTTACGAATTATTTATTATGAATAATATGTAAATTAAAAAGAAAAAAATCCACGTAAAGAAGGAATTTTCGAAAACAGAAATACAGAATCATTAAGAAAAATACTTGAAGACATTGCTAAGTGAAATGTGTAAAATTTTAAATATACTGTTTGATACTTTGAAAAAATAATTATTTTTTGATAATAATTTACAAAATAAAATAATAATCATTATTGTGATAATAATAATTGTAATTTTTTGAAATAATTACTGTTATTGTAATAATTTTTACTGTTATCGTTATAATTATTACTGTCATCGAAATAATTATTATCATCATCATTAATGAATAAAAGTTGAAAACAATTGTTTCCAGTTGAAAAAAAAAGTAAACAGCGGGAAAAATTCTAAATTTCAATTAGCAATGTCTTAAAAAAAATTATCACATTAATAAACCAATAAATTTTGTAGAAAATATTACAATCATTAACATTCTCTAGATCTTGAAATTGTGGTATACTAAAACAAATTTGCAAAATATTTAAATTTTAAACTTGTAAAACAAATTCTCTTAATTAAAAAAATATTTATTATTACAAAAGAAAATCTAACAAAAAAGCTGAATCGATAAATTTGATAAAAGAAAAATTCTTTGCCAATTTTTGCATTGAAAACATGCAAAATTTCAACAATTGAAAAAAAACAAAATTAAAACGAAACAAATTTATTCATTTAGAAAATAAAGTCCAACATTTTAAGAAATAATTCTAAAAAATCAATTAAAATAAATTTGAAATATTTACAAAAATTCTATTAATTAAAATACACTAAAAAGTTTTGCAAATTAAAAAAATTATTTTCATTAAAATAATTAGAACTAAATTAATTAAAATAATAATGAATTTTAAATTTATAAGCCAAACAAAATTTGATAAATTAAAACAAAAATTCATATTATTAAAACAAAAATATTCGATATAATAAAATTGAAAATAAATTTATTAAAAATATTCAATAAGAAGCATAAATAAAAATTAAATAAAAATCTTTCAATATTGAAAATAAATGAGCGTTTCTTTGTAAAAAAAAAATTCTTTCATGCATTGACTGCAAAGAAAAAACAGCTTATCAATTGCCGAGATTAAGAATGAAAAAAAATTCTACTATCAACCACAATAAAGATCCTTTGATTGATTGTTGAAATAATTAAGAGAAAATTTTCCTGCATACCTCTCGCCTAAAAGTTCCTTTCCGTTTAATTCGTAAACAGCGTCATCCGCGTCTCTGTAGTCGTCAAATTCCTGCATTGGAAAAAAGAAAAACAAAATTTGTAAAAAATCTGCATTCAAAAATGTAAATCGAGTTTATTCTTTCTACTAAGCAGTAATGTAAAATTGTTCTCGCAGTTTTTTTTATTAATTATTTAATTCTTTTGTATAAAAGTTATTTTTTTAAAATTAAAATTCCTTTTTTTTTAGAGTATTTTTTCTATTCTTAATTATTTATATTTTTAATTATTTCTGTTTTTATTTGTTTCTATTTTTATTTGCTTCTACATACTTATAATTTTTTTCTATTTTTTATTTGTTTGTACTTTTAATTATTTCAATTTTAAATTTTTTTCTATTTTTTATTTGTTTCTATTTTTAATTATTTCAATTTTTAATTGTTTATATTTTAAATTTTTTTTCTATTTTCTATTAGTTTCTATTTTTAATTATTTAAATTTTTCTATTTTTATTTGTTTCTAATTTAAAATTTTTTCTATTTTTAATTATTTAAATTTTTTATTTTTTAAAAATTTTATTTCTTTCTACTTTTATTTATTTTTTTCTACTTTTATCAATAAAAAACTTTGTCAAAGCGAATCATTTTTACATAACGTACGATTTATATTTCTAATTATTGACGATTAATTTTTATAATAATTTTTAAAATAAATTTGAAAAGAGACCAATATTTGTAGGTACCAATATTTTTTAAGGTCACCAATTATTTACCCACCTTAAAAGAAGAAACCAATAATCAGTAAGGCTTAATTTTACGTATATTATAATTATATAAATAGAGAGAGAGAGAGAGAAATTTTCGAATTAAACTTACTTTAATCCCTAATGGCGAATTATTTACCAAAACAAAATTGGAGATTTTCAATTTTAATTTTCGAGTAAATACGCCAAAAAGGATTATATTCACGTCTCGTGTGTCTATCGTCTTGATCGATTCGCTTTTTTATCTAATAAAACTTACAAAGCCTCGTAGAATAATCGACGTTCATCTAAGCAGCCATAGTACCATTGTGCAGGGTTCAGGGTTTTTCAGATCATGAGAGTGTGCCTACTTTTACTGTACAAAACGTTTCGCCCCCTTTGATCAATTTACAGAGAAATTTACAAAAAAAAAAATTGCAAAAAATACTCCCCGGAGAAAAATACAAAAAAATTTGGATTTGAAGAAAAGCAAAAACAATTACAAATTAAGAAAAATACAAATTGTGTTTTTTTTTTTTTTTTTGGAACAAAGAGAGCGAAACGAAATGCGAGTTTCTCGTCATTTTCTTTTCTTTTCTTTTTTCTTGTCTTTGTTTTTTTTTCAATACGGATACTTACAACAAAGCCATAACCATTCTTGATGAGGACATCGCGAAATCGACCGTAGCCTCTGAAAAATCTCTCAAGGTCTCTTTCCCTGGTGCCGTATGGAAGCCCACCGACATAGACCCTTGTCCCTACCATACTGTAAAAAAAACAATTGATTCACATTAGACTTACCACAAAGGCAAATCCATTCTTCATAGCAACCTCCTTGATTCTACCATATTTCCGGAAGAACTTCTCAAGGTCGCGCTCTCGCACCCGGTATGTTAATCCACCAACGAATACTCGGGTGCTCATTCTTAAAGGAAAATATAAAAACACCATACATAACAGGCTTCCTTGGGAACCTGCCGTTTATGCACATTATATAACATAAAATAAATTGGCAAGTTATTTTTTTTTCTTTTTTCGATTTTACAAAAGGAGAAAAACTATAGAAAAAAAAGAAAAAATGAATTTAGAGTGCAATCACGATTATTTTTTTTTGATATTTTAGTCTCTATAAAAAAAATTAAGTTGAAAATAAATTGTTAGTACAATAGAAAAATGATGGAAATTGTTATTTTTCTCTAAAAAATTTTCTATACAATTTTTAAGTGTTTATTATTAAAAAAGTAAATTATTAACAAAATAGAAAAATGATGGAAATTCACTGTTTTCTCAGTAATTTTTTTTTTACATTTTTGTGATTAAAAAATCAAGTTGAAAACAAATAATTAATACAATAGAAAAATAATGGAAATGGACATTTTTCCCTACAAATTTTTTTTGCATAATTTTCAAAAGTGTTTGTTTATATTAAAAAATCAAATTAAAAATAGGCCTCGGATCGACTTTAAGGCGTAAAAAAAGTCACTTTAATCAATTGAAAATTAAAAGAAAAGTCGAAAAAGTCGTTTACTATTCAGTAACAAATTTCATTTTGCATTTCCCTGAAATTTCAAGTTTCTAAATTCAATTATTTAAAAATTAAATAATTTTGTTAAATAAAAAACAGTCGTCTATTTTCCCACAGTAATTTAGATTTTGCAAATTTACACTTTAAATGTATTTACATTTTAAATTAAATAAAAATTTACCATTTCTGAACATTCAGACTGCAATATATTCAAAATTTAATTATTTACAACAATTTTTAAGAAAACTTCTTTACTAAATCAATTATCTTTAATCATTTTTTCTAAACTTTTTCGAGAATTCAATTATTTCTACAAAAATGCAATTTATTATAATAATTGTAACTGAAACTCTTCAGTTTCTTTTAAAGCTTTTATAGAGCGAATTATAGTAAATTAAATTTTAAAAAAATTATAACAGAAAAATTCTTAAAACTAGTTGTAAAATAATTTTTGAATAATAATAGATTTTTTTTAACATAATTGAAAAATTTCCAAATAATTGCAATTTAGTAAAATTTTTTGACAATGATTGAATTTTTAAACAATAATTTAATTTATTAAAAAAAAATTTGGAATATATTAAAAAATAATTGAAGTCTTTGAAGAATTTTAATTTCAAATATGAAAATTAATGTTGTTTTAAAATTTTTAATTCAATTTATTGAAGAATTTTAATTTTAAAGATCAAAATTAATGATTGTATCAAAATTTTAAATTCAAATTCTTGAAGAATTTTAATTTTAAAGATGAAAATAAATTACTTAGTTTACAAAATTTTAATTACCTAGAATAAAGCACATTTTTTAAAATTTAAATTCACTTTTTTTTGTAGATAATTATGTTAGTTTTAAAAAATAATTGAATTTCTTAAGAGAATTTTTGGACAATTTAAAAAAAATAATTAGTTTTTTTTTGAAGAATTTTAATTTAAAAATTTTTGAAGATACATAATTGTTTTCTTTAAATTGTAATAATAGAAAAAATTAGATTTTTTAAAAAATGTAATTGAAAATAATTGAATATAATAAATAAATAAAAAGTTTTAAATAACGAAATTCTAAGAAACATTTGTTGAAACAATAACAATTTATACTTTTTTTAAACTAATTTTCATTTTGATTTTTTATTATAATTTTTGAGAATTCCATTATTTTAAAAAATTTCAAAAATTTGCAATTAAATTTTTTTAAATTTTGATTTTCAAAAATTTTAATGAAATAATTTGAGAAAAATCAATTATTTTCAATAAAATTTTACCAAATTTCAATTATTTAAAAACTTTTTTATGTATTTCGAAAAATTTAATTATTTTATAGAAAAAATTAATTGAGGCCTTGGATCCAATAACTCGCCCGACGCTCGAAGGCACGCGCTAATACCAGTCGGGTAGCAGTGAGTGGCCCAGAGGCGCTCACTGCTCACTGACTGGCAGTTGCGCGTTCCTCCAAGCGTCGGGCGAGTTATTGGATCCAAGGCCTCAATTAATAATCAAATTTTGAAATATTTGACTAGTTATTTTTTACACTATAAAAACATAGAAGTAATTTGCATTCTATACCCAAAAATTTACTATTTTGTTGCAATATTTGGAAGAAAAATCGAAAAAGTCGCATTTTTAAAAAAAATAAGTCGAAAATAATAGTCTTTTCTGAAAGTATTCAAAAAAAGTCCAAAAAGTCAAAATATTCGAGGCCTGAAAGAGTAAATTATTAGCAATACAATAGAAAAATAATAAAATTTGATACTTTAGTCTATAAATTTCCAACATTTTTTTTACGTTTTGTTAATAAAAAATCAAGTTTTTCATAATAAATTATAAATACGAGAGAAAAAGAATTTAACGTAAATTATTAAACAATAAACTTTCTTTTAAAAACAAAAAATACTTTAGGAATAATTAAATTAAAATAAAGTAATTTAAATTAGAGGCAATAATTTAATTTAAATTTTGTTTTTTTTTTAATTTTATAAATTCAATGAATCGTGTTGCTTCCAAAAAAGAGAAAATAAAATATCAAAACAAAAACCAGTACAACTTGGAACGACGAGTATTAAAAATCAATAAATGAAGCATTATAATTGCCATATATATTAAGAAAAAGGCTTCTATCGATCCTTTTTTAGAAAAAAGAAATTGTTAGTACTACTAATAATTGAATAATGATAATTTAATCTATATTAATTATATTTATTTGTATTTTAAAATTAAATATATAATATATTAAATGTTTTGATATATTATAAAACATTTTGATAGACTAAATATTTTTATATAATTAACTACTATTTTAATATTTTCTTAAATATTATTTTAATATTACTATTTAATATTTTAATATATGCACATTAAAATTAATTTATACGTAATATATTACAACTATATACTAAAAAATAATTGAATCCAATTGTAATAAACAGAAAAAAAATCTAATGTATAATGAAACCGCGAAACCATAGAATTTCGAATTGACTTGCAATAAACAGGATTCGTGAAATGTCTTTACAAGGGATAAAAAAGAGATGATTCATCTGACTTTCCACATTCGATAAATAAGTCAAAGGAATACTTTCACCCATCACGGCAAATTTAAATGCAAAAATAACCATCGATCTTGTAGGAGAAAAAATATTCAACATTTACAAAAATCTCTTTTTTTTCCTTCACAAAACAAAAAAGAAATACCGGTTTCGTTTATTTTTTTAGACGCCGTTAAAGTGCCACTCAACACGCCTACCTACTTCCGTACAAAAAAATTGAATACTAAATTTTAATTAAAAAATACTTCTTTATAACTATTTCAAGAACTTGATTATTGTATATTTAAAATATTTCTCAATTTCCAAGCGCTACTGAATTAAAAGTTTTGAGTAAAAAGAATTAAAGCCGAAATCGCCAAAATGAACGTTCGAGTATAAATTACAGTAAAAATAACACGAAATAAGACTTTATATGGGAAAAGATATAAATTGAAGGCACGATTTTTCTTTCTAAATACAGTAATTAAAAAATGACGCACTTAACGGAAAAGATGTTATATATACAGGAATATATGTATATATATATGACAGGCGTGACTTACAAAATAGAAAAAACTTAACCTTTTTTGGGAGAAGTGATTGAAATTTCCTAAATTCAAGAGAAGAGATAAACGTAATGAACTTAATTAGAAGAATAGAAAATGAATTTTTGATTTATTTCCGGTATTTTTTCTCTCTGGAAAATGTATCGGCACAACGAGGGGTGTTAATATTTTACGATGATAAAGTATGGATGCGCATTTTAAAATTTTCACGATCAAATAGAGTAAAATTTGTGAAACTAACCTGAATAATTATTTATTTACGTAGACTTTTGTATTTCCACACTTAATATACTCGATATTCCCTGAAAATAAAGTTTAAAATATACTAATGAAAAAAGTAACGATCGGCGTCTTGAAGCAAGATGGCTTACATTAACGTTAGAAACAAAACGGGGTTCACATAACATTGTAGCAAGGACGGGAAATGGCGTTTAATCTCGAACCAGACGATTTCCGGTTAAGCGCGCGGCGGTTATTTTAAATTGAAATTTATTAATAAAAAAATAGTTTATTAAAACATTCCCTTCTGTTTAGTTGCAAAAAATACGGCAAAGTATAATTAATAGAATTTAAAAGTATTTTATCAAATATTAACACTTTTTGGATTTAATTTGAAGTATATTACACAAACAATCGAGTCATCATGCATAAAATATGCTAATTAATTGTAAGTTGTCTTTTCTGATTCGAATTGAATTCTAATTAGCATTTACTTGAAGATAATTAAATAAAAATTGTTTAAGAGATAAAAATGATCGAAAAAACAATTCTTAATGATTTTTTCCCCACACACGAACTCTTTGGGTTTGAGATTAAATGTTTTGTTTGTTTTCCTCGGCGACCAATGAAATTTCAGTTCTAAAAGAAAAGATAACGCGCGTATTGAAAATAAATAATAAATTCTTTGTTTGTTAATAAATTTAAATACCCAATTGATCCAATGTGAACATTTATTTAACAAACCGAAGTGCAAAATTTATTTATTAATAAAAATTAATTGCAAATAATTAATATCGAATGGAATAGAGGGAAGGATTTTGATTGGTACTTGTAGGTTAAAATTTCTTTTGAAAGAAATTTTCAGTAAACAAAAATAACCTTTTTCAAATAATTATATTAAAATTTCGACATTTTATTTATAAATTAATAATTGCAGTAGTAAATAAGATTTTTTCTTTTACTTCTTCTTCAATATTCTTATTTATATTATAATTCACAAAGTTCACTAATCACAAGTGTCAATTGTCAAAAATGACAATATATTATAATGTGTGATGATACACGTGTTTACTCCCCATTTTTGTTATGTTTACAAACAAAAATGCACTCATGGAATTATTATTTCAATTACAAATTTTTGTTTTAATTTGAGAAAAATGATATTTTTTCTGTAAAAAAAATACGAAAATATGGGATTTTTATTTAATATTTGGCCTTACACAAAATTTCTTATTCTTTTTTTCTTTGCGTTTATTAATTTTCTATTCTTTTCCTTCTACTCTGTGACTAATTATCTATTTGATAAAATATACTTTCTAAGATGTATTTTAAAGAAAAAAACTGTGGAAAATCGAGTTGAAGTTTTGCATTGCAGTAAATATTTTTTGGTTGTTAATAAACCATACGATATGGTGATAAATAGTAACGATCCCAAAGTCACGGTAAATATTGATTTATTTATAATAGATTTTTTTCTTAATTTAAATTTACGAATTTATGTTTATTTAAGATATTTTTGTATTAAATATCTAAACTATGTTTATTAACAATTTTATCCTTTATTTACCTTTTTTATTTGCGTTTACTTTTTTAAGTTTAAAATCTTTTATTGTCAATTGTTGAGTAAATATTAAAAATACTTGAATTATTATTTTATTTCATTTAATTGATTAGGATTTTTCTTAATTGTCAAAGTAGAAAAAATTTAATTGCGAATAAATAATAACAAAATAATTTTTTCAGTGCACTCTTCAATTAAAATTGGGAAAAATGTTTCCAAATTTAGTGAATCCAAGTCTTCGGCACGAATTTTATTTTGTGCACAGATTAGATTATGCGACGAGTGGTGTTATTTGTATTGCTCTCAATAAACAATCGGCGCAAGCTGCTTCAAATGCTTTTGAGAAAAGAAAAGTGAAAAAATATTATTTGGCACTTGTTCATGGTCATATTCACAAATCACATATGATCATTTCAAAGCCGATAGGTAATTTTTTTCTCGTATAAACTATTTTTATTTAATTTCAAAAAGAAATTATTTATTATTTTTAGTAATAAAAAATTCTGTTCCGTTAAATTTCATTTAATTCCATTACTGACTATTCGTTTATTTTTATTCTTTATTTAATTCTTCATGTATTTTTTAGACAAAAATTCTATTTTATTGTCTTAATTATTTATTTTCATTGTGTTTAATTTTTAATTTTAATTTCTGTAGTGAAAATTTAATTTCAGTAGTAAAAGTTCAATTTCTGTATTGAAAATTTAATTTCTGTAGTAAAAATTCAATTTCTGTATAGAAAATTTAATTTCTGTTTTGTAAATTAATTTCGATATTCTAAATTTTGTTTCTATGTTAAAAATTTTAATCTTACAGGTCACGATGTGAGGGAAATGAGCGAAAGTCGAAAAATGTGCACCAGTGACAGTAATTTTTGTCTAAAGCCAAGAGACTCGTCAACTGGAATTTTAGTGCTTGAACTTGGATTTTTTAACAATAAACCAGCAACCAAGGTTTTATTGTATCCAAAAACGGGACGTAGACATCAACTACGAGTTCATTGTCTTTGTATTGGACACACGATAATTGGAGATTATACTTATAGTGGAAAACAGGACACCGAGCCTCACAGAACTTTTTTACACGCCTTAAGGTAAATTCAAATTTTCCCATTTTACTTTTATTGGCAATTATTTGCGTAAACAACAAACCATTATTCGTAAAATAATAAATTATTATTTGCAAACAGTAAAATATTATTTCTAAATAATAAAATATTATTCGTAAAATAATAAACTATTATCTGTAAATAGTAAAATATTATTTTTCAACAATAAAATATTATTTATAAATAATAAGCTATTATTTGTAAAATAATAAAGTCCTAAAAGTTGTTAATTTTAAGTTCTTAATTTTAATACTTGGAAATTGAGCTGTAAATTTTCGTTTTTACAGAATAATCCTTTTCACTGACGTCGAGAATTTAGATGTAAAAACGACAGATCCCTTTGACACTTCCATTTCTCAGAATAAATGGAAACCGTCAAAAATTGTTCGAACTTTAGACGAAAGTACATTTACTGATATTAGTGAATTAGTGCAATCAGACTTAATTAATTAAAAAAATATATATATTAAGACGTATCTATGTACATTTTTAAAGAAAAAGAATAATTTAACAGTGATAATAATATATAACAATAATAAACTTACAAATTTTCGATTTAAAAAATTTAAAGACCAACTACTCCAATGTCCCGAATTTCATATTCAATCGTTGTTTGTGGTAAATAAGAAGAATGTACAGTATGCATAAATCGTTGATCATTTCTTCTTGACAATCGAATGGAATTGGTAATTAAATTTGACCAAATAATCCCTAAAGTGGGTATCTCCTCATTTTCACTTATACCTGAAGTTTCATTATTTATTTTAGCCGATACCTGAAAGGGCCAAAAATAATTAATTTTTTTCTTTTAATTGTCATTATCTTTCTTATTTTTTTTTCTTAACTTTTCCTATTATGTTAATATTAATATAAAAAAAATATTGTACTTAATATTTCTATTGTCTGAATTCTAATTGGAATTTTACCTGATTGATGCAAACGACAGGTATTTTGTATTCACTAGAAATAGAATACAATTGTTTGCCAATTTTTCTCAAACTTTTAGCCCTTTGTCTCAATTCGTTTTCATCGTATTCATCTCGATAAGGCGCTGCAATTGAGTCGACAATTAATAATCCTATTCTTTGTTGTTGCATAAAATCGGGAACTTTTTCGCAAATACATACTTCCAATTTCTCCTGTAATGCAAAACTTGAATCAAAATATTTTAAAAAGAAAAATTATTAAAAAAGTTACGAGAAATTTACAAAAAGTGACAAATTCTTTTAGTATTAAAAACGTTTTTTAATTTGGAATGTTAATTATATTTTTAAAATTGCATTTTTTTAATTATAAAAAAAGAAATCATACCACTGCGGGAATATGTTGTACAAATATTCGATCACCACTAATAGAATAATTTTTGGCGATATGTGATTTTCGCAATAATTCTTGTAAACGTACTGTTGGAAAGGCAGCTTCCGTACAAATGTAGATTGCACCTGGAGAAATTAATATATTAAAACTATTAATACAATAGAAACCAATTTTAAAACAAAAAAGAAAAATATAGTAAAGAAATAAAATAAAAATTGCAATAAAATGAATAAACATAAAATAATTACTAAAAATAGTAAAAATGAATGAAATTGGAAAATTATTAACTTACCAGAAGGCAGATATTTCGGTAAATCTGGTATTTGAACAGTGAGACATAATTGAAGAGCAAATTGCGTTTTTCCAGTTCCTGCATTTCCATAAATTTGAGTAATTCCTTTTCGAGAAAATCCTCCCCTCAAGGCAGAATCAATCTTCGAACAACCACTTGTTAAAAACGATTCTTTCTCCAAAAGTGTAAAAGCATTTGAAGCTAAAATGGGACCAATATTATTAATTACAAATTAAAAACAAAAAAATGTAAATGTAAATAAAGAAAAAGAATATTTTTTTATTCAAGAAAAAAACATACCAAACGGATTTGAATTTTCTAATGGTGTGCTCATTATTCACAAAAGTGTCAATTTTAACTCATCGAGAAACATTAAATTTATAATAGGAACCACAGGAAGCTAATTAATCTGTCAAGTTAAATAAAAACAAATTTAAAAGGTTTGTTTGAAAACGAACGTAATTCTTGTAAATTAAGATAACTTACGTGACTAGAAAATATTTCTAAGACGAAAAAATAAATTTCTATCAAAAGAAAAGTAACATGATAAAAAATATAAACCGAGTAAAAAACTCCAATTATCTTAAAGTTGTATAAATAAACACTTTTTGTAAAATCACAAAGTTTAAATTTACTAAATTTACATTATATTGCTAAATAGCTAACTTTGAGGTTATGTTTCCAAATTTTATTTCGGCTTGCAATTTATATTCTTTAAATTTCATATCAGAACGCAATTCACGCAATTGTTAAAAACTTCTATACTTCTACTATTGTTACCACTTTGTTTATTATTGGAAATATTGTTACTATCAGATAAACAAACCGAAAAAACACTAACAAATAAAAAATCACGTATAAAACGTATTTCCACGTATATTACATATTACAATTCTTTTTTATCCAATAAAAAGAAAAAAATCCTTCTCATTAATTTTGAACATTATCCAATCAGAAAATTAAAAAGAATGGTTTTTTTCCCACTGACCAATGAGAAATCAGAAACAACTCCAATGATTGGTGCAATTAAAAAATGGCGGGTATTTTCTAAAGCTGAATAATTGTAAACACACCTTGAGCATTGAAGTTGGCAGTTTCGGAAAACCGTTTGAAACTGATTGGTGAATTTGCGTGCAATGAAATTTTCGTGTGCCATGCTTTATATTTTCTGTAGTGATTTAAAATAAAAAATTTTGACAAGACCATCGCATTTTACGACTAAAAGAGACGCTAATTAAAGTGAAATCATGTTTCGAACAAAATTGGACGTTGATCGCCACGTTCAAGATGTATTTCGAAAGTTAAAAGATGAGAGCGAGGTAAGGTTATCCACCATGGACGTAAGCCAAAGCATTTTAGCATTATTGCCCAGGCAATATATAAATTGTACAATATTATTTCTTAGTAACCAATATAACTTATCTTTACTATCTTTTAATTCTATTTATAGATGCCACGAATCTTATTCTTCTTATATTTTATGTTAAAAATTTTCTCTAAAGTAGATAATAATTTTCTATATATATTTTTTTCATCTGTTATTTTTTCGCGCTCACCTTGAGTCTGGATTAAAAATGCTTTGATAACAGATGTAATTCAACAATGAGATATAGATAGCAATAAGCTATTATTTAACAACTGAATGAACATAAATAACATTATCTTGGACTTGAAAATTTCTATTGAAATCATTTTTCATTGAAAATCATGTTTTTTTTAAGGTTATGTTCCTTCCCGGGCATCTTGATTTTTATACACTTGCTTGTCTTTTTATACATGTAATATAGAATATTGTATTGCGAAGGTTGCCTACAGTTTGACCTTGCCGAAAATCGTGTCAAAATTAATAACTCTCTTTATAAACTCTCTTTATCAAGAACAAATATATTGAGGCTTTTTTCAATTTTTCACTTTTCAGTATAATGAATTGTTAATTTTTAATAATTGCCATTTTTTGCATTTTTTTGAACAAGGATTATTATCAAATTGATAAAAAAAATAGAAATACATTTTCTGTATTGTGAAAATTTAATTATTTTGCAATTATAAACTTTCAGAGAAATCTCCGTTGTTACAACATTGCCAAATTGTATTTCCAAGTTGGAGATTATGAATCCGCAAAACGATATGTCTCGAATTACTTGGAAATTCGCACAGAGTCAGAGGGTGCACATAAACTTCTTGGTCAAATTCTCGAAGCTCTGGGTCATAAGGAGGACGCTCTTTCTCAATATAAAATTTCTCTTGAACTTGAGAGCAGACAAGATGACCTAGTACTAAAAGGTTGATAATTTAAACTAATATTTTAATAAATCAATCAATTTTTGTTTGTTTTTCTTTGTAAATTTCTTTTAAAAAATTATTGCTTATTTTAATTTCAAGAATTCTGATTTTTGAATCGAAATTTAATAATAATTATAGGAGTAGAAAGATTTATAATGTTTCATTTAAATAATTTTCCTTTTTTAGTTTGTGAGTTGCTTGCTGACATGGACGTTGGAGTTGATGTTAACAGAGCCAGATATTGGGTCGAAAGAGCTGACAAACAATTTCCTCACCATCCTGTAGTTTTTCAACTTAAGGAAAAATTGCTGACTCTCGACAAACCTAATAATGACGGTGAAGATCTTAAGGCATTAATATCATGTGAGTTTTACAATTTTATTCCTGTTTCCATTTATTTTTCAATTTTATTTCCTATTTTTCTATTTCCCACGAATGTAGGAAATTTTATAAATTCTACACGGAGAAAAATATAAAGTAACTTTCACTACTTTTATAGTAAAACATTTCTGGTAACTTTCACTACTTTCGGAGTAAATTTTGCTATGTTCGAAATAAATTTTACTGCGTTCAAAGAAAATATTTGTAAAAATTAGTAAAATTTACTTCGAACGTGGCAACATTTACTCCGAAAATAGTAAAAGTTTCCAGAAATGTTTTACTATAAAAGTAGTAAAATTACTTTATATTTTTCTCCGTGTATAAACAAATGTATTTTATAAATTAAAAACTAGCAAAACTACATAATGAGATTTTCAGGACCATTGTTATTATTTACAAAAACTTTCTTTTTAAAATTTAATGAAACTTTATTATATTTTCTAAAAAAATATAATTTTTCGAAATATAATTCTTTAAAAATACGATTATATTTCAAAACGATTTTTAAAAGTAATAAATTTTCAACTCCTTTCCAAAAGTAAATTATTTTTAAGAATTTTTGAATAAAATTATTCAAAACTTTAATAATGTTTAAAGGAAAATAATATATTAATAATTTTTTTTAAATTAACATTTAAATATTATTATATTTTTACAGCGATGAAAATGTTAAAAAAATGTCAATTTAAAAATGTTTTGAAATTTAATTCTTTCTTAAAATCTCTGTTATAATGCTTCTAATATTTAATATTTTTTAAAAATTTTATCTGAAACTTTTAATTTATTCTAATTATTTCTAATTTTAAAATCAATTCTTATTAGAATTTAACAATAATTGAATTATTTAAATACAAATATTTTTTGTAAATTTTAATTATTTTCCAAATTTTTAATTAAAATTCTTCAAAAAATATATTAATATTTAAAAAAAATTCTAAAGTGGGAAAATAACATTTTTTGAAATATAAAATTTATTTCAATGAAATTTGAGAATATTTCCTACTTTTTCAATTTTTTAAAACTATTTTCTTGCGAATTCAACTATTTTCAAAAAATTTTAATTACGATTTTTTAAACCCTCATTTTTTTCAGAATTTCTAATTAAAATTTTTCAAATTTCATTAATTTTTGTTTAATAAATATTTGAATACTTATTGTTATTTACTTATCCACCAGGATTTAAAATTTGAAAGTACTTCCATTGTAAAATCTTTTGAAATTTTATGAAAATTAGAACTGCAATTCTTCCAATTGTTGAAATATTTTCTAAAATTTCATCTGAAATTTTTTTTTCAAATCAATTTTTATATTCAATTATTTAAATACAAAAATAAGTTATTTATTTATTTCTAAAAATTGCAACTATAACTCTACTGACGGATTTTTTTTTAATTTGAGAAAGAAAATTTCATAAACTATTTCAGATTTTGAATAATTTGTTATTTTTGGGATAAAATTTCCTCACTTTACTGTCCTGTGAAAATTCTGTTATTGTCAAAATTTTAAGGAAATTAATGTTTCTTAAACACTAATCACTCTATTTTCTAATTAATTACGAAACTTTTGATACGACAATTTGATCTGGAAATCAATTTGGAATCAAAAAGCTCTAACTTCACGTGAGGATAGAATTTCTCGATTATTATTATATTTAAAATGTTGAAATTGAAGAAAAGGAAGTAAATTTAATTTTGTTAAAAAAAACCAATGGAATATGGTTTCTAAATATTAGATTTTTCAGCTGAATTGTCGGTGCGACCAAAAGACGTGCAACTACGTGTCAAATTATTGAAACATTACATGGAGAAGGATAAACTTGACGAAGCGTACAAACATGCTTTTGAAGTTGAAACAACCCAAGTCCACCGAGACGATGTTTCTTGGTATCAAGTTTTATGTGATTTATTAACAAAATGTAAAGGTCTCAGAAAACACGACTGGTCGTTTTGGGTATTTTATATTTCCGCGTTGGAGAGATTTGTTGCTCTAACACTCAAAGAGCAGGGGAGCATTTTAAAGAAATCTATATCTGAAGCTACACAAGCTTTATTCAAGTAAGTTATCAAAAAAATATATATGTATATAAATATTCCATTCCAATTTCAATCTTTTAGAATGTGATTTAATTTTCACATTTTCCTCTTTTTCAGTTTTGATCAATCTTTGTACGAAGCGAAAACACAAAATTTTTCGACAAATCCAATTTTTATGGAGAATATGTTTACACACATGTGGGGACAGCTACATTTCCATGTGGCTTGTTTAATTTTACGAAAGACTAAACGTGAACAGGGAAGTTGGAGTGAAGCGGGACGTTTGTGTGCGCCATTATTTCTCACAGCATTACATGTTACGCCTGTTGATCCCACATCACCTTGGGCTGTGCATTTGAAAAATGAGAGTAAAAATCAAGTAAATTTATGGTACAAAGACGGTTCATATCGTTGCAGTCAGGCGTGTCATGTACTTCAAGATTATGCACGCGATGAACCCAATCGTCTCTTGGAGAAAATTGATAAATTTTCCACGGGTTCATGGCGCGATAGAATATTTCAAAGAATTTTTATCAGCAGGCTTTATTCAGAGAATAAAACATCATATTTCGCGACTCATAAAGCATCAAATTCACCACTACGACTGTGCTCGCAAAATGAATTAAAAAAATATGACGAAATATCCGAAGAAGTGTGGCCAGCCTCGTTACATCATCAAATTTGGCTTGGCATCACAAATCGTCCTCGTAATTCAACAAAGAAACATAATCTTTATCCACATCAGGCATGTCATCTATTTCCGGAATTACAATTTTCTACCTATAATATCAATCAAAGTGCACCCGATTCATTGAGTCGATTGGATATTGACGCATTTTTGAATGCAGCAATTTTGTGTAGTTACGTGACAATTGAGGAGCAACAGCGCAGTAGTTTCCTGAATCCCGAAAGATTGCCAACATTACCTGCCGATCTTACCAATACAATGTGCTCATCAGTCCAGGAGAAATGGTGGTTCAATGCCTACAAAATGTACCGCAGACAAGATGTGACCATGAACGATATGGGAGAGATAAGACAAGAAATTCAACGCGGTTTGGAAGTTGTTCGCTGTATCGGAAATCATGGACTACATCCAAATATTCTAGTTCATCTCGCCAGAATATTTCACTATCGAATCAAGGAATTGCAGGACAAAAATCCAGAACACAGCGACATTCCAGCGCTCGAGGCACGCTGTGAACTTTACTGGTCAACTGCCATTCCACTTCTCGAGAGACTGCAGAATAATCAAGTAATTCGTACAAGTAACAATAAAATATTCGACTACCAAGGCAAGGACATGAGCAGATCCGAACTAACAAAAGCAATGGAGGAAGGACGTCTCCTTCTCGTACAGAAACACGTTCGCAATAAGGAATACGAGCGAGCAATTGACGCCCTACAAGTACTCAAGTGTCCCGAAGCATCTTTTGAGCAGGGGAAAATTTACAAGGAAATCGCCGACGATCTCGTCAAGTCCCTACCCAGAGAGAGTCTCACATCCGAATCAAGATCCCAGAACGGTATTCTTCTGACAAAAGCCCGCAGTTGCTTTTACTTGACCCTCGATCGTCTCCGCAGTCCCGATGCCGATACAAAGCATCCTCTAAATTCCGAACTCGTCACCTACATCGCCGACATCGAGAACGAATTAAAGCGAATCGAACCCGATTTATCCCGAAACGGAATCAGCCGGAACGACTGTGACGCCCTCTCCGAGGACAGTTATTCCTCAGCTCACAGCAACGAGGATATTCCCGTCACAAACTCCTCCATCAATCTCGAAAGCACCGTTCACTTTTTACAAACCCCACAGAGAAATTCCCACCGAACACCCAAACAATCCAGCACACCTTGTCGAATCCCCCATCAAGATGTTCTCGAACTCTCCAGAAATCGCATTGAAGCTCGACCCAGTCCCGAGAGACTCGACGCTCAAATTCGTCAACTCCTGCACATCAAGGACAACATCGTGCAGACAGTCATGGACCAGAACAAGGCCCTCATGGAATCGAACCAGGTCATGATGGACAAACTCGAGGAACTTAGAAAAGAAGTCGCCGAACTTCGTCTGGAGACCCAAAAACAAAAACCTCCGGTAAGCACTCAGAATTTAGAGGAAGATCTCTATTTCCTGAATGATGAGGACTATGGCGAGTACAACTATCAAAACACAACGCCACAACAACCACAGGCAGCGCCCTTGGCCGGAAATCTCTTCGCCCAATCACCGAGACATCCGTACCCGAACATCGTCTATCCATCAGCGACCCTCCAGGGCCAGGCGATTGGCTACTATCAAGGAGCCTTGCCCTTCAACGATCCGAATCATCACCTTCACTCCTCGCTCTACGCGGCTAATGTCTACCCCGTACCACCGGTCGCTCAAATGTACCCCCGTCTTCCAGTCGATCCAACATTGAACCAAATGCCGAAAATTACCGACAGTATTCTGCAACAGGCTCTTTTCAATCAAGTACAACCTCAGATTTCAAACTTGGCACCAATGATCCAACCACCGAAAATCGAACCTCAAAAAACTGAGTCACAGAAAGATGTTATCAAAAATGTTCCTTTGAACAAGCAACCGCCGGTGAATGTGGTAATCACCTCGAGTGACACGCTACCAACTACGGTTCCATCGGTGCAACCAGTGATGAGTGTCACGATTCCACCGCAACATCGACTTGGAACGCCAGCCGCCAGTGCACTTCCTGGCACTGTTCCCCATAGTTATCAAATTTCGATGCCTTCGCAAGCGACAATTCCAACTACCGTCAATTTGCCAACACTTGCCTCGACCCTCACTGTCTCATCGCCAATGAATAAAAATATCGAAAGATCTATCGAAAGAGCAAATATGAGCGTTCACTCTTCCTCGTCGCACAATAATTCCCTCGAGCTATGTCCGGAACAGGAACACGATCCAATTCCCGATTTTGTTCCCATAATTCCCCTGCCCGAGGAGGTGATTGTCACCACAGGCGAGGAGAACGAAACAACTTTATTCAGCTCCAGGGCGAAATTGTACCGATTCGCCGACAAGGAATGGAAGGAGCGCGGAATTGGTAAAGTGAAATTGCTCAAGAATGAGGAGGGAAAAGTTCGCCTTCTGATGCGACGAGAGCAAGTGCATAAGATTTGTGCGAATCATATGCTGACGAGGGACATTGAATTGACACAGATGCCGAGTAATAATAAGGCTTGGATTTGGGTGGCGAATGATTTTGCCGACGAGGAGGTGAGATTGGAGAAATTCTGCATTCGATTTAAACTCGAGGAGGAGGCGCAATTGTTCAAGGAGGCCTTTGATGGTGCTATTAGATCGTTGCCTGAGTCACCGGAGAAATCGAAGAAGAGTGAGAAAAAAGTGGAGAAGAAGGAGACGAAGAAGGTGGAGACGAAAATTGATTCTTCAGTTATTAAACTTGGAGGATTGTCCTTCAGTTCTGAACCGGTTGTGCAGAAGACTGTAGCTGTTGAGGAGAAGAAAGTTCAAAAGGAAGAACCGCAGAAAGTCAATCCTTTTGCGCAATTTTCTTTTGGAAAAACTGGCTTTGGTTCGGGAACTACTACAACAACTACGAGTTCATCGCTTGGTGGGATTTCGTTCGTCAAGGCTGCTGATAGTGAATCTCCACAGACTGGTGAGATTATTAATTCTATCGTTTTTTTGTCATTTATTCCTTTCGTAATTATTTATTCAGAATTTTATTAAAATTTTTGAAAATAATTTAATTACTTTAAAGAATTTCAATAATGATTGTAGAAAATAATAAATAATAGTAATTAATTAGTTTAAAATTGAATTTTTCTTTTAAATTTTGAATCATTCAAAAATTGAAGTTGATATTTGAAAATAAAAAAAAATTGAATGAATAAATTAATTAATTAAATGTCGCTTTTTTCTCGTATCATTTTCTGGTGATTTTATTAAAAATTAGTGATTTTATTAATCACCAGAAAATGATACGCGAAAACCGCGGTATTTAATTAATTCATTCATTCAAATTTTTTATTTTTAAATATCAACTTCATTTTTTGAATGATTCAAAATTTAAAAGATAAATTCAAATTTAAACTATTTAATTACTATTATTTATTATTTTCTACAATAATTATTGAAATATTTTAGAATAATTAAATTTTCTTCAAAAATTTGAATAAAATTCTTCACAGCAATTTAATTATTTTCAACACAATTTAGATAAAATTATTCAGAAGAATTCCATTAATTTAAAAAAAATTTTTATTGAAGTCGACGAAAGAATTGAATTATTTTCAAAAATTTTGAAACTTAAAAATTCGTTATAAGTATTCGTATATGATTTTTTCACTAAGTTCCTCGAAAGAATTTTAATTTTCTTTGAAACAATTGAATTATTCGCAAAAATTTTAATAAAATTAATAAAATATGAAATTCTTCATATCAATTTAATTATTTTCAATACAATTTAAATGAAATTCCTGTTGATAGAATTCCATTAAATTAAAAATTTTTTTATACAATTCGATGAAAGAATTGAATTAATTTTAAAAATTTTGATACAAATTCGTTATAAGAATTCGTATGTGATTTTTTCACTCAATTCCTTGAAAGAATTTTAACTTCTTCGAATCAATTGAATTATTTTCCAAAGTTTTAATAAAATTCTTGTCAATAATTCAATTATTTTCATAAATAATAAAATTCTTCGTAGGAATTCAATTATTTTCAGTACAGTTTTAATTGAATTCCCGAAAAAAATTCAAATTGTCTTTGAAAAATTGAATTTGTATTTTTATAAATTTTATTATTTTTTACTTCATTTTTTCATAAATAAAAAGTGCTTCCCAGGAGTTCAATTATTTTCAATATACATAATTTATTAGAATTCCATTATTATTTACAATACATTTTTAATTATTTTTTTTTAAATTTAATTATTTTCATAATTTTTAATTAAATTCTTTGAAAAATTAATCAAAATCTCAAAAAATATCTACAAAGTATTTATTTTGCAAGTAAATGTATTTTGAATTTAATTTTTTTTGGTACCTTCTTGTCACTTATTTTAATAAAATAGTTTACCTATTTTTAAGAAAAATCCCTGTAATATTATTACTAATAATAATGAATAAAACAAGAGTAATTATAATAAAAATAGCGATAAAAATAAATTTATAAATAATAATAATAATAATAATAATCATAATAAATATTGTTTCAGGATCTATATTTGGAGGTTCCAAGACTGTAAGGTTTCCGACCTGTTCTGGTAATACTGGTAAGTTTCAAGTTTTCTTTTTTAGTTTTGGAATTATTTTCTAAAATTTTAAATTTGCTTTGCAATTAAAAATGATTATTTTTATTATATTAGCAATGTTTATAAGTAGGGATAAATTTTGAACAATAATTACAAATAGGCACTAGAACTGATTAGAAATAATTTTTTTTCATCAAATTTTATTTGACAGAATTTTGTTTTCTTCGATATTTGCATTATTTCGAATTTTTGTTTAAATGGCTATAAATTGACTAGATTTTTATAGAATTTCTATACATATTGATGATTCTTATAAATAAAAATTCGTTTAGATAAATATTATCTTAAGTAAAAAATGTGTTAATTGAAAACTCTCGTAAATGAACATTTTCTAAAATAAAAATCTGATTTCATGTAAGAATTCTGTCAAGTATCAGTTAAGTAAAAAGAATGTGGTTAATTTAAAGTCAAATAAACGAAAATTGGAAAAAATGAAAATCGATGAATTGGAAATTCTGTCAAATAAAATGAATAAAATGAAATCTGCTGCTACTTATAAATTTATAAAAAGCAAAGGTTATATTTTACTATTTTCAATTTTAACTGATTTTAACGATTTTAATGACCATGACTAAATAGGTTTATTTTTTAATTATAAATAAACTTTATTATAAATTTTCTATAAAATACAAAATCCACTGAAATAAAACTCTAAAATTTAAATTAAATTTTATCTTCTATTCAATTATAGCTGCGAATAAATCTGCAGTTGAAGGCACAAAAGGAAATGAAGAAGCTGAAATTGCTGATGGAGAAATGTCCATATTCGAACAAAAAGCAAATCTTATGCATTTGAGTAGTACCACCAACACTTGGGAAGATAAAGGATCCGGTCAAATAAACGTAAGTGGAAAGAAGTTTTCTTTTCTCGCAACAAAAAATCATTGTTGTTAGTTATAAATATTAATTTGGTTAATTTATTTTCCCTAGGTTCTATTTAACGTGAAGACAATTAAAATGCGCTTCCTAATGTTGAATACAAGTAATTCTAACATCATATGCAATCAACAAATATCATGGGACATGAAATTCTCCTTTAGAGCGACTAGTGATACAGTAATTACCTGGGTGATTCCAAATGAAAAGACCAAAAAATCAGATTCATTCGCTGTGACCTTCAAAAATCAGAAATCGGTAAGATAGCATCAGTTTTTGTAACGAATTTTTTCTACTTTATTCTTTTTTTTTAACTTCTTTATTTTATTATTTTAGATTTTATTATTTTAGAGACAAAGTCTCTAAAAGTTTAGAGTTTATTAATTTGAAATTAATAAAAATAATTTTTCCTCTCTTTCAAAATTATAGGCGAAAGAATTTTTGGAATCAGTGCAAAATTATCAGCAAACTTTGGGTAAAACTTCAACTGCAACTAGTCAAAGTAAACCAGCGGAAAAATCAAAAGAGCCTCTGTCAACTCTATTCAAACCAACGACAGGAAGTTGGGAATGCAAGGCGTGTTACATTAGAAATAATGCCAATCAAACAATATGTATCGCTTGCAATACACCGGCTGTTGAGAAGAAAATTGAAACAAAATCAACAACGACTCCCGTTGTGCAAACGCAAAAACCACTTTCCGAATTATTTAAACCCTCAGCTGGATCATGGACTTGCCAAGGATGTTACATGGTTAATAAGAGTACGGATCAACAGTGTCCAGCGTGTGATGCGCCGAAAGATCCTTCAAAACCAAAAACAACAAACGCTGCACCAACTTCAACCACGGGACAAAAATCACTTTCGGAATTATTTAAACCCGCAGCTGGTTCATGGACATGTCAAGGATGTTACATGGTTAACAAAGGTGCCGATCAATATTGTCCTGCTTGTGATACACCTAAGGATCCGTCAATGCCACCAAAACCAAAGACAAATAGTTTTGGTCTTAAGGCTGATTCTACAAGTTCAAGTACCTTTACTTTTGGTTTTCCACAAACAAATAAAGAAACCTCACTCAGTTCGCCAGCGACCAGTGCATTCTCATTCGCATCGTTGAGTACCACGAAACCAAAAGGTAAATCTAAAAATTTTTTTGTATTAATTTAGACTTTATAACTTATCTACTAAACCCTATAATTTACTTTTTTTATTAATTATTAATACAATATCAAAATTATTAATTCAGACTTCACACTCATCTACTAAATGTTTTACTTTTTTATTAATATATAAAAAAATTTTGCTATTAACTATTTTATTAATTAAAATTAATCTAATCTAATCAAACTTTAGTTAATAAAAATTGCCCCCAATAAAAATTTCAAACTATTAAAGTTTTAATTTAATTAATTATTGGTCAAATATTATTGCAAAATTTATTTTCAAATATCAACTTCAATTTTTGAATAAATTAAGATTAAACATTTTAAATAATTCACGTTATAACTAATTAACTATTATTGTTTGTTATTTTCGAAATTTTAATAAAATCAATACAATTATTTTCATAAATAGAATTCTTCGCAGGAATTCAATTATTCTCAATACAATAATTTAAATTAAATTTCTCGAAAGAATTCAATTATTTTCAATATGATTTTAATAAAATTTTCCGCAAAAATTGAACTATTTTCAACAAATTTTATGTAATTCTTTATAATAAGTCAATTATTTCAATTTAATCAATGATTATTTTCAATTATTTTCAAACATTCAAAAATTTTAATACAATTTTTCGCATGAAATCAATTATTTTCATTTTAAATAATAAAATTATTCGTAGGAATTAAATTATTTTCAGTACAGTTTTAATTCCATTTTTAAAAAAATTTGATAAAATTCTTCGCACTAATTATTTTCAATACAATTTGAATAAAATTTCTCGAAAGAATTAAATTATTTTTAACAATGAATTAATGAAATTCCTGGCGAGAATTAAATTATTTTTATAAATATAATTTCTCGAAAGTATTAAATTATTTTCAATACGATTTAAATAAAATTTCTAACAAGAATTTAATTATTTTCAGAAAATTTGATAAAATTCTTCGCACGAATTATTTTTAGTACAATTTGAATAAATTTTTCGCAAGAATTCAATTATCTTCATTTTAAATAATAAAATCATTTATAAGAATTCGAATATTTTCAATGCAGTTTTAATTATTATCTTCAAAAATAATTAAATTTTTCTCAAGAATTGAATTACTTTCATAAATAAAATTCTTTGCAAAAATTTTATTACTTTCAATTCAATTTTAATAAAATTTATCGTAAGAATTCAATGATTTTCAAAAATTTGATAAAATTCTTCACACGAATTAAATTATTTTTATAATTAATAAAACTCTTCATAGGTATTCAATTATTTTCAATAAAAATTTCTTGATGGATTTCAATTATTTTTAAAAAAAATTCAGTAAAATTCTTCGAAAGAATTCAATTATTTTCAAAAATTTTAATAATATTATTCCTAAGACTCTGACTATTTTCTAAAATAATAAAATTCTTCGCAGGAATTGAATTAGTTTCGTAAATAGTGAAATATTTCGCAGGAATTCCATTATATAATAAAATTTTGATAAAATTATTTATAATAATTCAATTACTTGAATAAAAGTTTAATTGAATTTTTCGAAAGTATTCAATTATTTTTAAAAATTTCAATAAAATTCTTTAACAAAATTCAATTATTTTCAAAAAATTCTCCGCAAAATGACAGAAAATAAAAAAATGTTCGTAGAAGTTTTTAATAAGAATTTATTTGAAAAAAAGATTATAGTTAAAATTCTAAAAAAAATAATTGAATATTAAAAGTTAGTTGAAAATAAATAGTTTATAGTTGGAATTTTTTTAGAAATAATTAAATTTTACAAGGTTTTTTAAATCTTTGTATATCTCAATTGTTTGAAAAGTATATTCAAATATTTATTATTACAAAATTATTGACTTATTTTCCGGAAAAGTTATTAAAGTTTTGAATTACTTTCTGCATTTTAGAAAATTTTTGTAACTAGAAACTTGAAAAATACAAAGAAAACTTATAAGCAATAAAATAAAATCATTTATTGTAATAAAACTTCAACTTTCAAAGTTCTCTTTTTTATAAACAAAATTAAATTTGGTTTTGAATAATTGTAATTAAAATTTTTTAAAGATTTTTCAATTCCCGATTATAATTTTAAAAAATTGAAACTATTCGAAATTTGGTCAAATTTCGTTAAAATAAATTTTATATTTTAAACACTTTTACTTTTTTACTTTTAAAAAATATTTCTAAGTATAATCGTATTATTTAAAGAATTCTAACTGAAAATTTGGAAAATAATTGAATTTTAGAAAAATTTAGAATTGAAGTTATTATTAGGATAAAGAAGGAAGCTAATATTAATTATAAATGTTAACTTAAAACTTAATTACATTAAATTAATAATTTTCTTAATATCTTTCTGGAAATCAGGAAAATAAATTATCAAATTTTTGTAATAACCCTGAAAGAAATTAATTCTTTTTTTCGCTTATTGAATCGACTAGAAGGATTTGTTTTAGTCGTTAAATTTAATTTTTCAATCGCTACTTTTTCGCTTCTTTTTTCAATTTTAAAGCAATTCTTTTTGCTACTTTTCTTAAATTGATCGTTAATTAATCTCACTCGTTAAGTGCGAAACCTGTGATTTTTTTTTCTAATTTTTCATTTTCTTCTAAATTCTAGCCGATGCGGTGAATACAACAATATCGACAATATTCGGAGGAGGAAAGAAAACCGAACCAATCAGCACTAATTTCACATTCGGTACTCCAACACGTCCCACAACACCGCCAAATACAACAACGAAACCTTATGTTTTCGGCTCACCAGGAAAATCATTCGATTTTCAATTCAGCGCAAAACCAAGTGCCAAATCACCTGGTGGTGGTGCTGGTGGCAACAATGGCGGTGAAACAAGCGAAGACGAAGTTGTCGAAAGTGATGATATTTACTTCGCTCCAGTAATTCCATTGCCAGAAAAAATTGACGTAAAAACTGGCGAAGAGGACGAGGAAATTGTCTACAGTCATCGCGCAAAACTCTTTAGATTCGACGGTAACACCAAAGAATGGAAAGAGCGAGGTCTTGGCGACATTAAATTATTGAGACACAGTAAAACAAAGAAACTACGATTAATAATGAGACGTGATCAAATTCTAAAACTCTGTTTAAATCATGCACTAACACCCGACATTGAAGTATCAGTGAGGGACGATAAAACGTGGACATGGTCAGCGGCCGATTATAGTGAAGGTGAAATAGAATATTCACAATTTGCCTGTCGCTTCAAAACACCGGAAATCGCTAAAGAATTCAAAATATCAATCGACAATGCACTCGCCGGCAAAGTTACCGAACCAAAAACAAAAACCACCGACGACATTGAAATTATCTACGAAAAGAGAGTAACGGCACAAGAGAAGGAGGAGGCGAAAAAATTGAGATTACCGGAAAATTTCTACTCTTACAAATACAATGAAGACTGTCCCGGTTGTATTGGTTGTCGAGAACCGGAAGTACCACTATTCGACACAAGATCAAGTGTAAGTGTGATAAAAGCTCTCGATTTTAGCAAATCCGAAAGCAAAGTTGAAAAGTCCCCGGAAAAAGTGGATCTGTCGAAGATTAGTACACCACCGTCAGTCTTTAGTTTCTCGGGATCGATAAATAAACCAAGTGGCGGATTTTTCGGCAATTTGAGTGCTACTCCTACTTCGGGTAAAGTAGAAACGCCAACGATTGAAAAATCAACGAGTTTAGTGTTTGGTAGCACTTTAACAACGCAATCGCCAAGTGAAAAGATGAATGAAAATTTAGCTCTACAGAAAGCGAAGAATAGTGACATTAGTTCGACAACTACAACTAGTTTGCCAACTGAACTTCCAACATCAACCGCGGCAGCTACATTCAGTTTTGCCGACACCTCGAAAACTAATGCCACTCCAATCTTCGGCTCGAAACCATTTTCGAGTTCAATCTTCGGTGGAAGTACTTTTAATTCCTTGCAGAAAAGTACAAGTCCCACAAAATTAGAGGCAAAAAGCACTGAAGAGAGTAAACCATCGACATTGTTTTCTGGTTTTTCGCCAACAACAACAGCAACGACAACGCCGACAATATTCGGAAATACGGTAACAACAGCAACGCCGACGATATTTGGAAATACAACAACAACAACGCCGTCAATGTTTGGAGGTACGACAATAACAACGCCGACGATATTTGGAAATACAACAACAACAACAACAACGCCGTCAATATTTGGAGGAACGACAACGACGACGACAACAACAACGTCGACATTGTTTGGAAATACAACGGCGGTAGTGACACCAACGTTGTTTGGAAATTCGGGAGCAACAGCAACACCGGTATTTGGTACTGGAAATTCAGAGCTAGTATTTGGAAATACGGCGACATCGGCACTATCGTTTTCAGCTTTGAAAAATTCTCCGCCTGCGGGTGCAACTTCAACACTTGCATTTGGCAATAAACCTGTATTTGGTGGTTTTGGAACGGGAACGACTACTAACAGTATTTTCAATAAGTCAGCGGACAATACATTTGGCGCGAAGAAAACTGACGCAGTGCCGGAGAAAGTTAATTTCCTCCCAACTGAAAATGCGGTTTCATTCTCGACACTTGCTGCTAAAAGTGATGAAAATGCTTTCAAGAAAGGTATGATTTTTAATGATTTTAAGAGAATAAATTTTCATTTCAGAGGGAAATCAGGGAAAATGATTAGGAAAATCAGGGGAAAATGTCAGAGAATGTTTATCAAATGTAGTGGAAAAATATCAAATTTCTAAAATTACTACAAAAAAACCAATTTTTAGTATTTAATTAAATATTTCTGTAAAAAGACAATTAAATTTGTTTTAAATATTTCAATTCTAAAATAACTTTCTTAAAGTTATTAATTATAATTAACTTTGAAAAGATTTAAGTTAGATACTGTTGCAATTTTCGGAAATAATTAATTAAATTAAAAATGGATGGAGATTTTTTAAAATTTTAATTGCTAGAAATTAATATTAGGTTTGTAAATAATTAAAATGTTTTGTATTTACATAAATTTTCATATTTGCAGATCCAAACTTCTCATTTGAGGGAGCTGGCTCTTCAGTGTTTGGCTCGAAATTCCAAAATACTAACAGTAATTTAAATACTTCGAAGAATAATACCAGTGTTACGGAACAGGACGAAAATGAGAATAAGGAAGATGATGAAACTGAACAGGAACATGATCCTCATTTTGAACCCATCATTCCTCTGCCTGATGCTATTGAAGTACGAACAGGAGAAGAAGACGAAGAGAAAGGTAATTAGAAATTTATTTATTATTTTCTTCTTTTGAAAATTAAATCTTAACTGATGATAAATCTTTGTTATCATTCAAATAATGCACAATTAATACACATAATTATATTCAGTGCCTTTATTTTCTTTATTTAACAAAATATTTTTGAATAAATTTATTGGACTTTTGCCCGTATGCTTTTGAATAAAAAATATTGATTAACTAATAACTAATAAATCATCTTATTACTAAAAAGAAGTTGAAGTAATTTTTCAAATTTATTGTTTGATTTAATAAAAAAAATACTTCACTTTTCACTTTTTGGACATTCATTAAAGCGAATGTCCAAAAATGAAGAAGAAAATTATTTACGATTCAAAGAAAATGAGAAGGTTTAAAGGAATGTGCTGTATTTTTGGAAATAAATTAAGAAAAAAAAAGAACAGAAATTAAAAAATTAAAGAAAAATTCTCCACTTTCTAAGAAATGTTGTAGTTTTACAAAAAAAAGAGGAAAATGTGAGATTTCATAGAACAAAACTCCAGTTTTACAAAAAACCAGGCGAAATTTTGAAAATTTGAAAGAAAAATGCTCCAATCTTACCGAAAACTAGAGCTTATTTTAAAAATTTGAGAAGAGAATAGTTTAGTTTGCAAGAAGAATACAATTTTTCGAAAAACGAAAGCAAATTTTGAAAATTTCAAGGAAAATGCTTCAGTTTTATGGACAATTAGGTCTAAATTGGAAAATTTAATGAGAAATGTTTCATTTTTAGAAAAATACTCCAGTTTGACTGGAAAAGCTAGAGAAAATTTCCAAATATTTTTCTAGTTTTTTTTATAGCCAAATACAACAAATTTTTTAAATTTTCAAAAAAATGCTTCAAATTTATTGAGAAATAGAGCAATTTTTATAAATTTAAAGGATAATAGTTCACTTTTTAAAAAATACTGTAATTTTACCGAAAAAAAGAACAAAATATTTAAAAAATTTTAAATTTAAACAAATTAGTGAAAAAATAAAGCACAATTTAGAAAATTTTAAAGAAAACGCTTCATTTTTCGAAAATAATCTAATTTTACTAAAAACGAAAGCAACTTTTTTAAAATTGTAAAAAAAATTCTCCACTTTTATTAAAAATAGGAGTAAATTAAAAAAAACACTAATTTTACGGAAAAATGATTCATTTTTACCAAAACTGAAGCATATTTTAAAAATTTTAAAGAAAAAGGCTTTATTTTTAAGAAATACTCGTTTTACCAAAAAACCAAAACAAATTTTGGAAATTTACTGGCAAATGAATTATTTTATTGCAATTTTTGTAAATTCTAAAGAAAAATGTTACACTTTCATTTAAACAAAAAGCAAATTTTGAATATTTAAAGCTTAATGTTTAATTTTTCAAATAATGCTCTAGTTTCAAGGAAAAATAAAGCATATTTTTATATTTTAAATTCTATTAAAAATATGAATTCTATTAAAAAAATTTTTTTCTAGTTTTAGTAAGAAATACAACAAATTTTGAATTTTAAAAGAAAATGATCCACTTTTATTAAAAAAAAGTTCAATTTCGAATATTTAAAATCAAAAAAATTTAAATATACATATTTATGAAAAAATAAAGTATAATTTAGAAAAGTTTAAGGAAAACACTTCATTTTCAGAAAATAATCTAATTTCACTAAAAACTAAACCAACTTTTTGAAAATTGTAAAGATTTTTATCAATGCTGGAGCATATTTTGAAATTTTAAAGAAAAAGGCTTTATTTTTAAGAAATACTCGTTTTATCAAAAACGAAGGCAAATTTTGAAAATTTACTGGAAAAATGATTAATTTTTTTTTGAATTTTTGGAAATTCTAAAGAAAAATGCTCTGCTTTTATTTAAAAGAATAGAGAATTTTAAACCTAATGTTTTATTTTTCAAATAATGCTCTAGTTTCACTGAAAAATAAAGCCAATTTTTTATATTTTATATTCTATTAAAAATATAAATTCTATTTAAAAAATTTGTTTCTAGTTCTAGTAAAAAATACAATGAATTTTGAATTTTAAAAGAAATACAGTTAATTTTTTAAGAAAACTATATTTTTTCGAAATACCAAAATAAATTTTTTTGAAATCTTGAAGAAAAATTCTCTACTTTCATTAAAAACTCCAGTTTTAAGGAAAAGTAGAGTAAATTATGGATTTTGAAAGAATAATCCTCCATAAATTGTAAAATTTCAATGGGAAATTTTCTATTTCTTCAAAAATTCTCAAGATTTGGAAAAACGAATTTTTTCTGAAATTTTTAAGAAAAATTATTCAATTTTCAACAAATACTCATATTGCACCAATAAATCAGAGTAAATTAGGGAATGTCAAAGAAAATTTTTTCACTTTTGCGAAAAACTATAGTATATTGTGGAATTGCAATGAAAAATTCTCCTATTTTCGAGAAATTCTCCAGTTTTCTCCAGAATCCTTTGGTTTTGTTTTTTCTTTTTTTGCAAAATACTAACCATTTTTTTCTCTCTTATAATAATTTATATAATTATTTTGTTCTTCACATTATACATGATATTTTATTTTATTGCATTTTTTTTTATTTATTGCTTTTATTTTTTTCATTTGTTGCTTTTGTTTTTTTCATTTATTACCTACTTTTATTTTTTTTATTTATTGCTTTTAATTAATTTTCAATTCTTTTCATTACAGTGTTCTGCCAGAGGGCGAAATTGTACAGATTCGATTCAAATACAAAGGAATGGAAGGAGAGAGGCGTGGGCGAAATGAAACTTCTTCATCACATTGAAGGTGGAAGTTATAGACTTTTATTACGTCGTGAGCAGGTACACAAAATTGTTTGTAATATGTTATTAAATGCTGATTTGGACTTTGAACCACTGCAAACATCAGACCGAGCATGGATTTGGGCTGGTATGAATTATTACGATGGTGAAGCAAATCTCGAAAAATTGGCTGTGAGATTTAAAAGTCCAGAATTAGCTTCACAATTTAAGGAAGCAATTGACAAGGCTCAACAGGCTCTTCGGGAAAAACCAAGCATCAAGCAAGGTAGTTAATTCCCATGAATTTGTTTCGACAAAAAAAAAACAGAACATTTCATGGTTATACCTTTGCTTTTAAAAAAGTGTATTAATATTTTTTTCGTTTTCAATTTTCCTCTTTTTTTAAAAAAAAAACGTGCTTTCATTTTCAATTTGTAATAATTTTTTTCCGCGATATACGAGGAAAGAAAAGAATTTTGTTCGTTAGAAGGAAAAAATTAATCGCCGAGAATTTATATATTTTAAAAAAAAAACAGTAATGCGGGATTGTTTTCGATATTTGTAAAATTTTTCACCTTTTATTTAAAAAAAAATTGGTTTTTTTCTTAGTTTTTGAATTAAGTTTTATTTTTTATTATTAGATTATATTATGGACAAGGAATGATTGTTATTTTCTTCTAATAAATTTTTGCTATTTTAGTCGTCCTATCCAATAGTAGACAACTTAGGTCACAACTTCTTTTTTTTAAGTTATTCTTTATAATGATTTGTTAATTATAAAATTGGTTTAAATTCTTTTTTAAGTTTCCTGTACATTCAAAAGAAATAAAACTTGTGTATCACATTAAAAGTTTGGTGTTTAAATTATATGAAATTTATTTTCAAACAAGAATTTCATTTCTTTGAAAGGTTTTTTTTTCATTTTTATGAGAAATGATGAATTTTCGTGTGTTTGTGTGTGAGAATGTAAGTAAAATTTAAGTCTATAAAATGTCCCTCAATCAATTTCGGTTTAAGGATTTTTTATAAACGCATATTATTCCCAAATATTTTTCATTATTGAATTTTTTTTAAATTTTGTAATTTATGCAATTTTAATTTCTAGTTTTTAATTTGAGAATTGTAAAATATCTTCTGCAATTTATTTTTGCAGTAAAAGAAAATGTCAGTGACTCGACTGATCAGGAAAAATATGATCAGGATGAGGAGGATGATGATGATTACGTGGAGGAAGGAGATGAGGAGGAGGAGGATTTTGATGGTGAGGAAGTTGAGGAGGAGGAGGAAATTTCTTATATGTTTGAAAAAAGAGCCACACTGTTTGCACAAAATGATGATCAAACGTGGACAAATCTTGGAATGGGTTATTTGAAAATATTTTATGATTCGGAAATTTTTGGCGCTCGAATTATTATGGAAGTTGATAGTACTGGTGAAATTGTTAGCAATACAATTATCAGTATTGACACTTCTATGCAGGTATGTAAATTATATTGAATTTTCTAATAATTTCTTTCCTTTTTTTATTGGAATTAAAATTTAAAACATTAATTTAATAATTTAATAAATAGAGATTTAAAATATATTAATTTAATATAAATGGAAAAAATTTAATAAAAGGAAAAATAGCAATTTAATAGAAAAATTAACAATGTTAAAAAATTTTGTTTCTATCTGAAAACAAAAGAAATTGATAATTGTTCAATTGCTCATTCAAGGATTTTTTTAATTACAAAAAAAGCTACTAAAACTACAGAAGTCGAATACTAATGATATTTTCAGAAAATTATAGTATGAATAATGTGAAGAGAAAAAAAATGTTATATATCATTCTTTGTTTATATCTTTTGTTTTCTTCTTTATTTATTTATTTTTTTATTTTATTTTATTTATTTTGTTTAATATTCTTCATATTAAAGTGATGAAAATTTTCTTTTCTCAATTTCAAGGTCGTCGGAAAGGAGTGTTTGTGGAAAGCTTATGATTACGTAACGTATCCTCCGAAGAGACGACTATTGAAAGCTACTTTTTCATCGGTACAAGGCGCGGAGGAAATGTTCATGAACTTCGAAGATGTAAGAAATTCAATCTTAATTTATTGCCCCAAATTTAATTAAATTATTAATTCTTGAAATTAAATAAGATTAAATAATTAAAATAATTCAATTATTTCCATAAATTTGAATATAATTATTCTTTGCGAGAATTAACAAAATTAATTTTTTACATAATGAAATTCATTCTAAGAATTCAATTATTTTCATAAATAATACAATTCTTAGCAAAAATTCAATTAGTTTCGTAAATAATATTATTTTTCGCAAAAATTCATTTAATTTCAATAGAATTTAAATTAAATTCGTCGAAAGAATTCTACTATTTAAAAATTTTTTTATAAAATTTTTCGAAAGAACGCAATTTTTATTTTCAAAAATTTTAGTAAAATTCTTTGAAATAATTCAATTATTTTCAAAAATCTTAATGAAATTTTCCTAAATAATTCTATTATTTTCAAAAATTTAAGTAAAATTGTCCAAAATAATTCAATTATTTTCCAAAATTAAGGTAAAATTCGTCGAAAGAATTAAATTTTTTTCATGAGTTGAAAAATTCTTTGCAGGATTTCAATTATTTTGAATACAATTTTGATAATCAAATTGTTTTAAAATTTTTTCCGAAATTCCTTGCAAAAATGCAATTTTAAAAATTTTGATAAATTTCTGTAGAAGAATTCAATTAATTTCAATACAATTTTATTAAAATTTCTCGAAGAATTAAAAGTTCTTCAAAAAGTGCAATAAAATTTGTTTATTAGAATTTAATTATTTTCAGTATTTTTTAAATTAAATTTCTTGAAAGAATTGAATTATTTTCAAAAATTTTAAAGAATTTTTTTTAAAGAAAATTCAATTATTTTCAAAAATTTTGATAAAACTCTTCAAAAAAAGTCAATTAATTACAGTACAATTTTAATTAATTATCCCTTGCAAGAATTTAATTATTTTCGAAAATTTCTAATAAAGTTTTTCGAAAGAATGCAAGTATTTTCAAAAATGTTAATAAAATTCTATACAAGAATTAAATTTAATTTTACAAAGAACAAGACATAAAAATAAATAAAATCCAGTGATTTTTTAAATAAAATAAATATTTAGCAATAATAGAAATTTATTTTTTTACCATATCTTCTAAATAACTATTTCTATGTTTTAGAATGTTAAATCTAATTGATTTACAAATCAATTTCTATTTTTATCTATTTTCATTTCTTTTATTATTGCTTTTATTTATTTAATTATTTTCTGTTTTAGGGTCAAGACTACGCGAAAGGAGCTGAAATAAGGGATCAGCCAGAAATTTACATTCCTGATGAAGAATAAGAAAAAGAATAAAGAAAAAAAAATAAAGAGAAAAAAAGATGGCATACGAATTAATTTTGAAACTTTTTGTGATGAAACATATTTCGTAGTTGATTTATTTATGAGTAAGTTTAATAATTTTTAATGTATAGATAATTTTACTTTTCTTTCGAATAATTTACATTTTTTGTTTGTAATTTCGTTTGATTTAATTCTACGCATTTTATCAAGAAAAAAAGAGAGAAAGAAAGAAAAATCCTCAGGAAACTTAATTGTTTAATTAGCTTTTCATTGCAAAGAAAGAAAAAATGAGGGCTCAAGAAATAAATCTATTATACACCGGTAATAATAAAAAAAAAAAAAAACGGAAATATTAATAATTTTCTTTTTTGTGAGAAGACGATCGCCAAAACTATTTAATTCATATAGGCCCGTGATAATCGTGTTTAAATTTGATTAAATTTTATTTATTGAATAATAGAAATCTTGTATAAATTATTTTACGAAACTTTATTATAAATTTTCGCGAACTTATTATTATAAATAAAGAGGATTTCCCAAACAGAAATAAATTTCCTGTTTCTTTATTTCCAACCTTGTGGTCCTTTTTTTTTGCCAAAAAATTTTTTGGTAAAAAAAGTTTTTTTTTTAAATTGTATAAAATTTATTTTATTTACTATTTATTTCTTTTAATACTTTTTTGTAACAAAATCATTTTTTATCTTCTTAATAATGTGTTTTAACTTTTTAGAGACTTTACTTTATGGACCATTTGAATTGAAATTAATTTTTCAAGAAAAAAAGGGGAAAATTTTTAATTTTGTATTTTTAATAATATTTCTTTTCTTTTCCAGTTTTTTCAAAAAAAAATTTTTTCTTTGAATTAATAGAAGATTTTTAAGGAAGCAACCCCTCTACACGCTGAGAATTTCTCCCCCTCCCGATGAACTTTTCCAGTGGACTTTGAACCTTGTTCTCGTCTGTACAGTGAGTGCAGTCCACCTCTAGACTTATGACGTACGCACTCAGATAAATAGTGAAGGCTTGTTGGAATTATTTTATTTTATTTTGAATTTTAGTCGAATATCCTTCGTGTTTAAAGTAAAGTTCAATTAGAAAAATGTCTGTTTCAGTTAAAGGTATGAAAAAAACATTTTTTTAATTATATTACAACTTATTGATTCTTTCACTATTGTTTATTATACAGTATTGTAGTTATTGTATTATTATAGAATTTTTTTTAAAAAGAATTAATTTATTTTAACGCGAACAATTTTTGCCATTTAGCATAATTTTTCATATTTATATAATTTTTCCAAATTGATTTTTTTTTAAATTTTATTTATTTTTATTTACAAAATGAAAAGTTTTAATAGGGGGTAAAAACTGTTTTTTTTTTGATAATTTAAATAGAAATAAATTCTATTTAGAAGTTAAAAGAGTTTGTATTTCAATAATAAATACTAATTTTATTTTTTTTTTATTGTTTATGAATATTATCATTACTGTTTTGATTGTAATAAACAATAAATTAGAAATATTAACCAAAAATGTTAGCCATTAGTAAAAGATAGTGAAAATCTTGTGGAAATATTCTTTTTATTATTGATATCAAATGGTGACTTGCAACTTTAATAAATCAGTTTCTTAATTTAAAGAATGTTAATAGGCATTTATTTTTAATCCTTACAAAGGTCAATGATACTCACCAGTTTTATCTCCTATTAAATCATTTTATCTCATTTACAATTTAATTATTGCAATACTTATTCGCAAAATTTTGTTTACAAATAGCGTATTTATTATGTTTTTATTATTTTTTTGGAGCAGTCATTTTTATTGTACATTAATGTTGCATAATTATTTCAGTTTTCAAAATTTTTTTGTTAAAAAAAAGTTCTAATATTTTTTTGTCAATAGAAATAAAAAATTTTTAATTTTCTAATTTGTGATTTATTTGTTTTTTTAAGGAGTTTATATTATTAGCGCAAAGCGTACACCATTTGGAAAAATGGGTGGTATGTTTTTAAATAAAAGTGCAACTGATTTAGCAGTCGTTGCATCTAATGCAGCAATTGAAGCGGCAGGAATTCGACCCGAAAAAGTTGATAGTGTCGTCTTTGGTCACGTATTAATGGTTTGTATCTGCTTTCGATTTTTTTTGAATTGTATTTTTAAATTATAAATATTTTAATTGATTACAAAATTTTATTTTACAGAATACGTCGTCTGATGGTTCCTTTTTACCTCGTCACACACTCTTGAAATGTGGAATTCCTCAGGAAAAACATGCTCTTGGAGTGAATCGACTTTGTGGATCTGGATTTCAATCGATTGTTAATGGCCTTCAGGTAAATTTACTTTTTTTCAATTTTTCAATTAAGTTCAGTATTAACTGTAGTAGTAGTAATTAAATTATTTTTTTATTATTTATTTATTTACATTTTTATTGATTCCCCTACTTATTTATTTCTTTATTTACTTCTTTATTTATTCACTCATTAATTTATTTACTTATTAATTTTTTTAATTCTTTATTTATTTACTTATTTACTTTTTTATTTATTCACTAATTTATTTATTTACTTACTTTTTTATTTATTCACTTATTTATTTATTTAGTTACTTATTTATTTACTTCTTTATTTATTTACTTATTTACAAATATACCTTTAGAGTATCCTGGTGGGAGAATCGAAAATAGTCGTCGCCGGTGGAACCGATAATATGAGTCAAGCTCCATTCGTCGTGAGGAATGTGAGATTTGGAACGACTTTGGGACAGAAATATGAATTTGAAGATTCCCTTTGGCTTGGACTTATTGATTCGTATTGCAGTTTACCAATGGGTGTTACTGCCGAGAAACTTGGTGCTAAATTCGGTGTCACAAGAGACGAAGTCGATCAGTTCGCTCTCCGAAGTCAGAAATTATGGAAGGAAGGTGAGAACGGTTTTCTTTTTAATTGTTTCTAAAGAAATAGATTTTAATTTATTAAAATTGTAAAGAAAAAGTAAAGAATTAAATAAATTAAGTAAATTAAGAAAAAAATTACCTAACGTTTTAGAATTTAATTATTGAAAAAAAAAATTAGTTTTAGAAATTGTTTCTAGTTTTATCTGCCTTTTAAGAAAAAAATAAAACAAATTTTAAATAAAAAATATTTTTTACAGCTCAAGAAAGTGGTCGATTCAAGGATGAAATTGCTCCTGTAACTGTCAAAGTAAAGAGACAAGAAGTATCGGTCGATGTAGATGAACATCCACGTCCACAAACAAAAATTGAGGACCTCAAGAAATTGTCTTCGATTTTCCAAAAAGATGGTCTAGTCACCGCCGGCTCAGCATCTGTAATTTTTCTCACTAATTCCTTGCTTCTTTATTTTTATTTCAACCATTTCTTTTCACTGTATTTTACTATTATTTTTTAATTTTTTATTTAGTATTTCATATTTTCAGTATTGTTCCATATTTTTACTACTCGTTATTCTATTCTTTTACTATATTATTTTGTATTTATATTATTTTTTATTTCATATTTTTACTAGTTATTTATTAATTTATTTTACTTCAATTTTTACTATTTACTTGTCTATATTTTAATATTAGTTATTTCATATTTTTACTATTTATTTATTAAATTGTTTTACTTAAATTTCAAAAAGTGGAAATTGAAAGAAATTGTAAATAGTCAATAGTTTTTTTTTGAACTAATTTCTATTTTAATGTTTTTAGGGAGTTTGCGATGGAGCCGGAGCATTAGTTCTCGCTAGTGAGGAGGCTGTGAAGGCGGAAAATCTAAAACCCTTGGCACGAATTGTGGGATATTCGGTGGTTGGTGTTGATCCAACAATTATGGGAATTGGACCATCGCCGGCTATCAAGAATTTACTCAAATTGACTGGAAAAACTTTAGACGATATCGAAATTATTGAAGTAATTTAAAAAATATATATCATTGTTTTAAAAATATTTTTTACAGTCGGGAATTTATATATTAATTACTTTCGTTTTCAACTTTTCAGATTAACGAAGCTTTCGGAGCACAAACATTGGCTTGCGCTAAAGATTTGAAAGTGGACATGAATAAATTGAACGTGAATGGTGGTGCAATCGCTTTGGGACATCCTCTCGCTGCTTCTGGTTCGAGAATCACAACACACATTGTTCATGAACTCAGGTAAATTTCAATTTCAATTGGAAGTTAATTAAACGATTGAAAAATTAATTAAATAGAAAGAAATTAATTTCTCTAGGATAATTTAACAGCAAGTGAATTTAATTTTCAGGAGAAGAAAAGCCAAATTTGGAATTGGTTCGGCTTGCATTGGAGGAGGACAAGGAATTGCCATTATGATTGAAGCGCTTTAAAAAGTTTTTTTTTATTATTGTTGAAATTTTAATGGAAAAAAGGGTATTTGACTTGACTTGTTTCTTTAAATTTTTTTTTATCAAATTTTAAAAAAAAGTGCCGCAATTTTCCATAAGTGAACTATATTTTTTCTACTTTACTACAAAAGTTACGAGACACAATTTTATATAAATTTTCTATGAAATTTTTAACCTTCTAACAAAGTACGAATTATTTTTTATAAATATATTTCTACATTTCAAATATAACACGTAAATAATAATTACAAATCGCATTTTTATATTCTTGCAATAATGTAAATGGATTTATTTTTGCTCGTAAATAACTTTTTTTTATTGCAATTTCCAAAGTCGAGGAAATTGTAGGAATAAAATCGATTTTTACAATCGAATAACTTTTTTTTCTTTATAATGAATATTTCAATGTTTTTATATTTTTGCAGAAAAAAATCGAATAACTTTTTTTTGTACTGAATATTTCTGAATTTTTTATATTTTTGTTTTTATTCTAAAAAGTCGACTAACTTCTTTTCGTTAAACTGAATATTGTAATTCCTTACATCTTTCAAATCGAACAAGTTTTCAAAAAGAATAAGGAAAAAATAATACGAAGAGGTGACAATTTTTCTTTTATTATATTTTCTCAATTCTCAACAGGTAAATCAAGAGGAATTTGATTTTCTCGAAGAATTTCTTCTCTTCTTTTTTTTAAAATTGCAGATAAATAATCGTGGCGAAGATAACATTTCAATGGTTTTTGAACAACATCGGCGACAACTGACTTGAAATGATTGGCAGTATGGAAATTTGTGAATCGACAGGCAATCAAGAGACTTTCAATTTTATTATCATTATCGTCCATTTCCACGTAACCTCGCCAAATACAAGAAGATTTATCTTTCATTTCTAAATTCAAATTACCAGCAATTTCACATTTGACGACAATCGTTCCCTGAAATTCATCGCTAATTGCATATAAAATCGTCTTCTGAAACTCTTGGAATTGTTTTACTTTCACAACCACCGAACCTGGAAGAGCCGTAAGTTTTTTCCATTCATTTAAATTGCTATCAAATTTATAAATATCGACCTTTGAATTAAATACTGATCCCTTAATAAAATCTGTTTCAGAAATATTCTTCGCTCTGTATTTCACAACATTGGATCCACTGAGCCAGGCCAAATCAACGTGTGATGGAAAATCGACTCCCAGAGCTTGGGACAATTCTTCCAAATCACTTTCAAAAATATTCTTCAAAGTCTCCAACACCAATTGATCGCACTCGAGTTCCGAGGAATAATGTCCTTTGACATCATTTATCCATTTTTCGAAACATTCCAATTTTTCGCAACTTTCAAATTCCGTTATCAAAAAGAAAATTGAAAACTTTTCTTTATTAGTAACTCTCCACATTAGTGATCTCGAGTCTTTTTTCATCAGTTCCAAATCTCGGGATAGTTGACAAACAAATTCCCCTTCTTTGATTTTCATTACAATCGAAATATTCCCAATTTCTCCATTTCTCACTATTTGTAATTCTCCCTCGTCGGGATTGTTCCATTTTTTCAATTTAGAATCAAATTTATAAAAATTTACTCTATTGTCTAGTATAATTTGTAAATTCGAATTCTCGTTAGAAGAAGTAATTGACTTTGGTGAATTTTTTATTTCGTCTAATTTATTATTTTTCTTAGTCAAAATTTGTGATGTACTGGGAAAAGAGAGATCACCGGGATCATTGTCAGTTAATTCGTATTCACCGGGAAAATTACATTCCAAGGCAATTTGATTTTCGGTTAATTTCAATTGATATTCCTTATGAAAAGTCTCCTTCATGTATTCGTCGCGAAATTTACATCGTAATGGTGCGTATTCTTGGGCCTTTATTATAGTGATACCGAAATTTTTGGTAATTTTTGAATTTATAAATCGACAACCAATTAGAAGACTCTGGATATTTTGGGATTTTTTGTAGCCCCTCCACATCCATGTTCGATTATCGAGGGCAATTAATTCAAAGTCATCTCTCGTTATGCCGAGTCGAACGAAATTTTCCTCATTTTCAATTACTGTCAATACACTCTGTCCGGTATCTTCGATTACGTCAATTTTCACTATTCCTAAAATGAGTTTTTTCCATTTTTTTCCAATCGGGTCGAATTCACGAATTTCGGCCATACAACGAAATGTATCTTTATCAGTATTTTTGTTATGAAAATTTTGATAATATTCTCCGTTCAATAAATCGCTCCACAATGGGAAATTACACGTGAGAGCACATTCTTTTTCGGCAATTTCTTCCTCGTGCTTTTTACGAATTATTTCGAGGCGAAAATTGAGATTTTCAAAACCAGCGCGCTCGAGTGTTTGAAGATTAGTGATGAAATTATTGAAGGCATTGGCGGCGGTTTTTGTGGAAAATCGACAAGCAATTATTGTTGATTCATTGTAGTCGGTTGCTTTTGTTTTTTCATAAACGCGAAACATCCATGTTCTGTCATCTTTTTCGAATAATTGAAAATCACGAGTGATTTTACGTATTAAATGATAGGGAAGTGAATCAATTTTTATTATCATTAGAGAAGTTTTTGGTGGTTGTTGTTTTTCTATGTAAATTGTACCTGAGACACTTTCCGACCATTCCTTGGTTGAGAGATTAAAGATAAAGATTTCCAATTTGTTTGTAAATGTCTCGTCGACAAATGGAACTTGTGATGATGATTCATTTGAATTGGTGATCAATTTTCTGAATAGGCTCAACATTTTTTTTGTGATTTAATTTATTTGTTCCATTCACTGAAATAGTGAAAAAAATGAAAATTATTTGAAAATTATCGAGTAATTTAAAAATATTAGTGCGAATAATAATTAGATAAATCAAATACAGTAAAACCTGTTGGAGTGCAACTGGATTTTTAAAATTTTATTATAGTAAACAATCCTTAAAAAATTGTTTCATAATTTAATTTTGTAATATTTTTACAATATTCTGGAACTAAGTGAAAATAATTTTTGTTGGACATTTTTGAAAGCAAAAAAATTTTACAAATAGAGTTGCATTCCGACAGGTTCGACTGTATTATGTAATTAGGTAATAAATATTTAAAAATTAATAAAAACAATAACAATTAATTAATAACAATAATTATTTTTTTTAATAATTGAATTGAGTCTCAATTTAATTATATTAATTCTGATAATAATAATTATTAATTAATTAATTAATTGCTTAATAATTAAATAATATTACCTAATATTTTAATAATAATTAGTAGGTAATAATACTAATATTTGATATTTTATTTATTTTATTAATTAATAATTAATAAATACTAAGTAATAAATAAAAAATTATTTAATTAACAAATAATTAATAATTATTTTAATAAACTATTTTCAATATTTTAAATATTTAACAACTATTTATTACATACCAATAAAAAGTATATTGCAGTATTCGATCACAAATTTATTTTATTTCTGTAAGTTATTGTCTTTAATATTGAGTTGGTATTAAAAGATAAATCCTTATCTTAAGCAAATGGTTCCTATTTATCAGTGATAAGATTCCTAGTAGCTTAGATTAATTTCTATTTAAATAAAATATTTTTAATAATAATTTAGATTACTGATTTGTTGTAATAACCCACGCGCAGCACCGAGAATTTTCTAAAACTTGTTTCAGAAAATTCTCGTCGTATTGGAATTAAAAATAATCATAAAAACTATATTTAATATCAAAATCCATTAATGCTTGAAATTCAAATTTTCCCGCCTTTTTCAAATATCGTTATGTGCCATTTTGTTAATGCAAATATATTAATCACTGTCAATCAGTTTAATTATATTTATTATATACTTTTGTAATTAGTATAATAGCAATTAATTTATTCTGTCTATAGTTTATTAATTATGGTAGTAAAAAATAATAAATTCTAATAAAAAACAATTTGGAATAAATTAATTGACGTAAAATGCGTAAGTAGCGTAAATTTTCGATATTCTCGAAGTATCGAAGTTTCGATAATAATCGATAGTGAGCAAAGCGCCTTCGTGGTCGTTCTTCGTACCAGTAGTTCCAACGGTCTCGTAGAGTGAACAGCGTGTTGCAAGTTCCCGCTAAATTTTTTGTCGCATCCGTTAAAAAATCGTTCGTTTTCCTTTAATTTAATCATTTTTCGTTACAATCGACTGTTTATTGTGAATTTCTTTAGTGAAAAATGCTTTTTTCCCAAATTTTACAGTCGTTACAGTGCATTGTCCGCCATCTTGGATTAGTGGCGCAATGAACGAACAGTGGTTTTTAAAGAAGTAAAACGAAAGTTTTTATTATTTTTCATTATTCGGGTCGTGATAAAAGCAGCAAAAATTAAATTTAGAAGTAATATTTAGACCGATATTTAAAAAATTGTGCAAGGATCGGATGCTGAAAGTTCGTTTATCGTTGGCGAATTCAGATCAGTTCTTTTTGGAGCTCTTCTGGCCGATTTGTTCAAAAATTCGCCTGTGTTCTTCAGTGTGTGAGAATATTTTTGTGATTTATAAAAAATAAGTGGTGAATAATTGGATTTACTACGTTACATAATTAATGGATAGTAATTAATATGAATAATATTTGTGATAATAGTTAAAAATGAATATTATTTTTTAAATAAAAAGTGTTGTGTGTGTGTTTCTTCGTTTCTTGGAAAACTTGAGCAGCTCCAGGTGGGGATCATGTACGGCTGGTTGCAGTTTCCGGTTAGTTTATTTATTTATTATATTAAACACCATTTTTAGGTTAGAAAAAGAGTTTTTCTTAAACTTATGACAAAATTATTTATTCTTAATGTTTATTTCCATTCTATAATTTTTTTTTTGTACATTTTCATTAAATAAATCCTGTTATTCTAGTGAAATGGGATTATTTATAGAAAAATATGTAAACAAAAAGGGCCGTATCAAGTTTTTTAAAATTATTTATAGAAAATTATTGTTGAATAGATTGAATGTTCTATAATCCGAGATTAATTATTTTTTAACGATAGAGAGTAAAAAGTCAAAATTAATTAATTAATAGAAATATTTGTCAAAAATCCAGAAATTCGAGTATTAAAAATTTTTTTTTTTAATTTTTCAAAAAGTTCTCAAAAAGTCAACAGAGGAGGTAGGAAATTAAAGATAAAAATGCGTTCCAATAATTGAGCCGACAATCTACTACCGGTGAGTCGTATTTTAATTAAATTTTGAACATTTGAGGCGTGCCAAGAGCAGAATATTTTTTTATAATCATTTTTGGGGTTTTTTACGAATTTTTTCGGTATTTTCCTTAAAATTACTTAACCATGACGATCAAAGACCCAAAGTCTAAGTCGATATAGATTTATTTCTATTTAAAAAAAATTCTTAATTTCTTTTTTAAATTGATATTTTTTGACATTTCTATGTTTAAATAAATAGAAATTAATGTTTTTAATATTATCGCGAGTGAAAAATTGTGTAACAGTGTTTGTGAATAAAGAAAATTTATTATGAATAAAACAATAGAGGTAAGTGACATTTTTTACTTTAAAATTGTTATGACATTACTATTTTTCATTTTGCAATTTTTTTTTCATTTTTCTTTTTATTTATAAAAATTTATTAAATTTCTCTCAGTATTTTTTTTATTCATAGTAAAATGCTTAGGGTTTATTTTTGAATTCAAAATTTTGAATTCTTATATCGAATAATCGTTTTCGATTTTTACCACTGTCGATTATTGGCGGAAGATTCAATTTTTGTCTTACGTCTCTTACGTAGCCAACGCTTTTACGTATTTATTTTACGTTACATGTAACGAACTTCAACTGACGCATCAACCGTTTTCTATTTTTATTTCTCAAATTATTCCAAAAATAATAATTTAAAATTATTGTTTATTGATTTAACTATAATTTATTATTGTCCCCTCTCTAATTATGCTAATTATAGTTCATTTTTCATAATAAACGCGCAGTAAGATAAATTTGGATAAATTCACCAATAACAGTCTGTTTTTTATACGCATGCGTTAATTTTTACCGGCATTTGTCGGACATTTTCTGTTGTTTTCTAATTATTTTTTTGTCAGACGCTTTACCTTGTTTATAGTTGATTAAGCTTCTTTATTTTCAATATTTCCCAGTGAATCAGTGTAATTGTAAGGTATGTATTTGAAATTATTAAAATATATTAGATTTCTTATCGATAGTGTACTTTAATTTGTCTTAAAACATTCTCATAATAGAATTATTCCAAACGGAAGTAGAGGTAACCTCCAAAAATTTGGTCTACAAACAAAACAAAATATTGTTTCAATCGTTTCAATTAGAAGCAAATTATTACTTTCTAACAATAAATCAAATATTCAGTAATTTTTCAAAAATGTTTTTTCATTATTGTTTATCTTTTTTTTTCTTCAAGTTTCGATTGAGTTTTGTTTTTTCGAATTTTGTTATAGATCAATTCTATGACAGATTTCGCTGATTTCATTTTGGATCATTTTGAATATATGGATATATTTTGGAAATTATTGAAGTAAATAATGAGAGTGAATATTAAATTAATGTTAATTGTGTTTTATTTTGATAGGGGGAATTTTGTTTTCGATCTTAATGGATAGAATTAATTTTAATTCGTTTAATTAAAAATTAAATTATGTGTGTTACTGTTTATGGTAATTTTGCTAATATTGAATATTTCTTTAACAGGGGAAATTATTTTGCACCCGCTATGGCGGAAACAGAAAACGTTAAAACGATGGAAAATCTTAACAAGGATAAGAATGAAAGAAATGGCATTGAGTCGATAAATGACAGTGGAATCGAAATGAACGAGGAAAAGGAAAAAATAGAGAGAAATTTGTCAATAAAATGCCCTTGGATTCTTGGTCAATTAGCTTGGGCTCGAGGCAGCAGTTATCCTTTTTGGCCCTGTGTTGTCACTCTGGATCCAACAACTCTACTGTACTTTAAAGTTCAAAGTAAATATATTTTTTTGTTCTGAAAAATTGTAATTTTTAATCAATTAAAAATAAGGGCTTCTTAATTTTTGATGAGATTGTAAAAGATGATTAATTTAATTTTATTGCAGATAAGGGCAGATCTCAGGCTCTGATGGTTCATGTCCAATATTTTGGCGATGGTGGTCGTCATAATTGGGTATTGTCACACTACATGATACCATTTGTCGGTCTCGAGGATTTTAAAGCACGAGCTAAAAGCATAACACCCGAAATCAAGAAAAAAGATCCAAAATTTGCCGCTGCATTCACTCCAAAAATGGGAGTTAAAAAACAATGGGGAATTGGAGTTACAGAAGCCTCAGGTCTAATGCATCTATCAAATGAAGATAGAGCTTCAATTTTTGAACCCGTTATACCTGAAGAAAAAACAGTTCAACTGACAAATAAATTAAAAAGGAAACTCTCTCCAAAGGGATCCAAGTTTCCAAGTGATACTCCAAATTCGAGCGTAATTAATTGATCTCTTTTTATTTTGTTTCTCAAAACTATGATTTTCTTCTTTTAATTTTCCCTTTTTCTTTACTTTTTTCTTTAACCGCGTTTTTCTTTTTCTTTTCCAAACAAAATTAAACTTGCTCACAGTTTATTTCTTTTCTTTTAGTTATATAAAAAAAAAATGTTTTATTTCAGTCTAAGAAGTTGAAAAAAATTGAAAATGACGAACAATCACAATCACAAACACCGTCAACTCAACAATCTGAAAGTTCGAATCAAACCGAAGAATCACTATCAAATAAAATTGTCACAGCACCGGCAAAGGAATCATCGAGTAATGCTTATTCAACTGCCAGACGTAAAAGTACAAGAAATCAAAATAAAAATTCAATTGAATTACCGAAGCGGCAAAATTTAAGAAAGAAAAATTCCAAACTATCGGAAGAGGAGAGAATTAGAAGGGATGAAATTGATTTTGAAGATTATTACAATTTGAATAAAGATTTTTGGAAATCTGATAATCCAGATGCGACTGATGAGGAAATAAGAAAATTACTGCAAGAAATTTGGGACGATATGGACGCTGAGGAGAAGCATAATAATTTAAATAGAAACTTCGATAATTACCGATATAATCTCCCTGATAATTCAAAGGCAAAACGAGTCAAAAAGACCCCATTGCACCAAGAGAAGGAAAATTCGAAAAATTCAGAAAATGCTCAACACGAAAGTAACAAAAATATTTTGCAAGTGAATGGAAAAACTGAGGAATCAGTGAAAACAAGCGAAGTAGTTAAAAATAAACTCAGTCCACAGAAGGAGAAAAATAAAAAAAATGAAAAGGAGACAAATAATGTTTCGAAGGAAAAGGGAAAAATTTCCGAAAAGGAAAAAAATAATTCCGACGATGGCAATATTCAAAAGGAGAAAAATAAAATTTCCCCATCCGATGATGACAATCTGCAGAAAGAGGAAAAGAAAAATACCGAATCGATCGATGAAAATGTTGAACAAAAAGAAAATAAGAATTCTGATTCTGATGATAAAGAAATAGTGAAAGAGAAGGAGAAAATTTCCGAAACTAACGAAGACACACAACAGAAGGAGACAAATAAAGTTATTTGTGAATTAATTCCACCTAATGATAATTCTCCGAAAAAGAATGGTAAACCGGAAATAAACGATAATGTGGAAAAAGATAAAAAGAAGGGAAATTCAAAAACTAAAAACTCTCAGAATGCAAAGACTAAAAAGGAAAAGGTTCTTAAAAGGAAAAATAATTCATCTGAAAAAGAAGTTTCAACTAAGGAATCAAATAAGGAGAAGAAAATAGCCGGTAAATATTCTTCTGTCTTTTATATTAAATTCTAATTTATTAAATCAGATCTCGGATAGTATGTTTTTTTTTACTTTTTCAAATTATTCTAAAAAAAAAATTGTTATTTTAATTGTAATGAAAAATGTTCAAAAGAAAATTTGAAAACTAAAATAAATAAAAATTACATAGCTTCAAAAAATGATATAAAAATATTTTTTTAAAGTTAGAAAATAATTCTATAAATGTTTTTAATATAATTTTTAATAATTTAATTATTTTTAATACCTTCAATTACATTTTTCCGTAATTTCAAATATGTAGAAAAAATAATTACATTAGAATCCTTTAAAAAATCTAAATTTTTTTAAAATTAACATTTTAGGTAAAACATTTAATTTCAAGTTTTTTTAATTAAAATTCTTCAAAAATTAGTTTTTTAAATTGCTTACAAATTCTTTTAAGAAATATTCAGTTAATTAAATTACAAATTTTATAATTAAAATGTTTAAATTTTGAAAAATTTTGTTGAAAATAATTAATTCTCCTGAGTATTTTATCAGAATTTTTGAAAATAAAATTTTGAAGAATTTTAATTGCAAATTCGAATACAATTGAATTCTCAAAAATTTTGATGAAAAATCTTCAAAGGAAAATTTTAAAATAAAAATAAATGGAATTTGCTTCAAAAAAATTATATTAAAATATTTTTTTAGAAAATAATTCTTAACATTTTTTTAATATAATTTTTTAAAATTCAATTATTTCCAATATTTTCAATTATATTTTTCCAGAAGTATTTTTTGAGAATTTTTGAAAATCAAATTTTAAAGAATTTTAATTGCAAATTTCGAATTTTGAAAAATTTTATTGAAAATAATTAATTCTCCTGAGTATTTTATGAGAATTTTTGAAAATCAAATTTTGAAGAATTTTAATTGCAAATTCGAATACAATTGAATTCTCAAAAATTTTGATGAAAAATCTTCAAAGGAAAATTTAAAAATGAAAATAAATGGAAATTTGATTCAAAAAAATTGTATTCAAATATTTTTTTAAAAAATAGGTAATTCTTAAAATTTTTTTAATATAATTTTTTAAAATTCAATTATTTCCAATATTTTCAATTATATTTTTCCGGAAATTCAAATATCTACCTAGAAATCCAAAAATTTATTTAGATTAAAATTTTTTAAAACATTTATTTTTAAAATTGTTGAAAAATTCTAACTCTCAATTACTTTCGGAATTTTTAATTTAAGTTTTAATTATATGCAATTGAAAAATTTATTATCTTTTAAACATTATTTATTAATGGTTTTAAAAAATTATTTGATGAATTTTCAAAGCATTTTCGGAAAATTATTTAAAATAATTGATTTGTAGAAGAAATTTAATTAATTGTTGATAATAATTAAATTTTTGAAGGATTGCAATTGTATTTTTAGAAATAATTAATTTTCCGAAAGTTTGAATTTGAAAATAAAAAATTTTAATTTCTCTGGAAAAATAAAAAATGAAAAGTGGATATTTAATTATTTATTTAACAAAATTATTGAAATTTCGAATAATTGAATTTAGAAATCAGGGAAAGTTCAGGGAAATAAAAAATTAAATTAAAAATTTGGCTTCTAAATATACTTAATTTATTTTTTCCTTTTCTTTACAGATGATCAATCAATAAAAGGATAAGTCCCAAAAAAAATTCTTGGAAATCAAAAAAGAATTTTTTTCTAAGTTAAATATCAAAATTTGATTCAATAGATATTTTTTTCCTAACTAATGGAAGTGAAAGAAGATTTTTAAAAAAATCTTTTCATTTTTGACAATTATACTACATATGCATAGCCATATTTAGATGATAAGGATCAATTTTTTTTTTAGATAGAGAAATGTCTCTCTAGGAGCAACCAAGTTGCCTAATCTTAGTATTTTTCTAGAGTTACAGAAAGCTTTATTTAAAATATAATTTAGTGCTTATATTGAGTCGAATTGATGATAAAAAAAGTTCTTTAATATTATATATCAAAGTACTTAAAAAAAAAATATTATAAATTACATATTGTCACGTTGAACGTTTTTTTGTTGATATTCGTTGATAAATGAAATTCAATATAGATATATTTACACGTTTTAAAGCACAGCTTTAGTCACGTATTATTATAATGATAATTTTTTTAAAAAATAATAAATTATAAATTTTATGAGAGACATACGTTTTCAAAGAAACGTATATTATTGTATTTGATGATTAATTCTTTGTGACTCAATATTTTTCTTAGCAACTTGTTCTCTAAAAAAAAAAAAAATTTCATTGTTCTGTTAGATTAAAAAAGAAAATTATTGTATTTATATAATCCAGTTATTTCGACATTATTAAGTTACAAATACATGAAAATGAAGCATATTTATATTATTTATACTTAACAGAGTGTTTTGTATTAATATCTTGTAAGACTTTCGATTTTGAACTATTTGAAATAATTATAAAAAATATATTAGAAAATTTCTTTCTTTTATTTCCCTTTTGCTTGTTTGTTTCTGAATTTAAATTTCGTGCCTAAATACAATTTTCAAAAATGCGCAAACGGCGCAAATGTGTTCAAAATGGCCGCGCGATGGTCCGGGTATCGATCAAACAAGCATAATTTTCCGGAATTATAGATTTTTGTATTTATTTTTAAAATTATATGTGTGTAGAAAGTTTGCATAATATTTTCGAAACTAGTCAAAGTTTTCAAAGAATAGTTTTTGGTTTATTGGTGGCATAATTGAGTTGTATTTTTTAGAGTTCGGTTTATTTCGATTGACTAGGTTATGTTTACTGTAATCGAGAAAAAAACAAAACGTTGACATTGCGTGAAGTAAACAAAATTATGCTATCTCGGAATTTATAAGGGAAAAAGAAGTTTATATTTGTGAATTAGAGTGAGAGATAAAAAAGAAATGTTTAAAAATACATTCCAAAGTGGATTTCTCTCCATACTTTATAGTATTGGTAGTAAACCTCTACAAATTTGGGACAAAAAAGTGAGAAATGGACACATTAAAAGAATTACCGACAACGATATTCAAAGTTTAGTGCTTGAAATTCTTGGCAGTAATGTCAGTACAACTTACATTACGTGTCCTGCCGATCCTCGAAAAACTTTGGGAATTAAATTGCCATTTCTTGTAATGATAATCAAAAATTTAAAAAAGTATTTTACTTTCGAAGTTCAGGTAAGTATTTTTTATTTGGTTTCGAAACGGACAGAAAGTTTATTTCAATAAAATATTTTATCTAAAAATATTTAAATTTAAATACTTTTGTAAATATTTATTTAAATATCTATTTACATATATCTATTTAAATATTATTTTTTTATTTTTATTTTCTATTTCTTGAGATAAAAAATTTTTTTCTTCTCATTGACTAACGTAACAATTTTTGCAGGTAATTGACGACAAAAATGTTCGACGAAGATTCAGAGCAAGTAATTATCAATCGACAACGAGAGTGAAACCATTTATTTGCACAATGCCAATGAGATTAGACGATGGATGGAATCAAATACAATTTAATCTCGCAGACTTTACACGTCGTGCTTATGGTACAAATTATGTGGAAACATTGAGAGTTCAAATTCACGCAAATTGCAGGATACGTCGTGTTTATTTTTCCGATAGACTTTATTCAGAGGATGAATTACCAGCTGAATTTAAACTATTTCTACCAATTCAAAATAAAGCCAAGTGTTAAAAATCGTTTTTAGCTCAATTCGTCAGCAGTTATTTGTATAACGTACAAAATTTAATTAAGAGAGTTAGAAAGATATCTCAATTTTTAAGGTAAAGAAACAAAAAAAAAGTGTCCTTCATATTTGACTACATAATTATTGAAAATAAATTTATTATGCGACAAAGTTATTCTTTGATGTCGTTTTTGATATTTTGATTTTTATTAGACAGAAGCAATTAATATTATTTATTGGGGTAAAATTAATTTTGAAAAAATATTGATTTTACGTATTAATGTATTTTATTAGTATTCAATATATTCTATTAATATATTGAGAGTATTTATATTTTAATTATTTTCCTTGTGAGAATATCATTTTTTATTTTTATGACATTGGAAATCAATTAATTGAAATTTCATTTTGCCTTATTTTTAAATCATTTTTTAATGATTAATACAAAAATAATTTTACAATATTGTAAGGGAAAATTTCTAAACTTGGAAAAAAGGTTTTTTTAATTTTGCAAGTTTTTTGTTGACTAGTTATGACGTTAGATATTTATTGTTTACAACCTTTTATTTAAATTCTTCGCAAGAATTCAATTTTTTTTTATACATAATAAAATTCTTCGCAGGAATTCAATTATTTTCAAAACAATTTTTATAAAATTTCTCAAAAGATTCTTGAAAAAAATCCAATTATTTAAAAATTTGTTTTAAAACTTTGCAGGAATTAAATTATTTTAAAAACAATTTTTTTATAAAACTGGAAAGAATTTCATTATTTTCTTAAACAATAAAATTTTTCGTATCGATTTAATTCTTGAATAAAAGCCAATTATTTTAAAAAACTTTAATAAAATTGTTTGCAGGAATTAAATTATTTTCATAAATAAAAAAATTTTTTCAGGAATTCAATTCTTTAAAAAAAATGTAATTATTTTAAAAAATTGAAATAAAATTCTCCGCAGGAATTGAATTATTTTCATAAATAATAAAATTCTTCGTATGACATAAACTATTTTCAAAACAATTTTTATAAAATTTCTTGAAAGAAATCCAAAACAAATTTTTTTAAAATTTTTTTCAGAAATTAAATTATTTCAAAAACAATATTTATAAAAATTCGGGAAAGAATTCCATTATTTTCTTAAACAATAAAATTCTTCGCATGGATTCAATTCTTGAAAAAAGCCAATTATTTTAGAAAACTTTAATAAAATACTTTGCAGGAATTAAATTCTTGTCAGGAATTCAAATCTTTAAAAAAATTTAAATAAAATTCTTCTAAATAGTTCAATTATTTTTTAAATAATTAAATTCGCCGAAAGAATTCAATTATTTCTTATATAATTTTAATAGAATTCTTTAAAACAATTTTATTATTTTAAAAAATTAAAAAAAAATTCTTGAAGGTAATGCAATTATTTAAATAAATCTAATAAAATTTTTCAAAATAATTCAATTATTTTCATTAAAATTCAAATTAAATTTCCTGCAAGAATTAAATTACTTTATAAATAATTAAATTCGTCGAAAGAATTTAATTATTTTCAATACAATTTTAATAGAATTCTTAAAATAAAATTAATTATTTAAAAAATTTTTTTTTTAAATTCTTATACGTAATGCAATTATTAAATTTTAATAAAATTCTTCAAAACAGTTCAATTATTTTCAAAATGATTATTATTTATTCATTAATAAGTTATTATTAGATACACTTATCAAATTTAATTAAAAATTTGTTATTTGTAAGTTTTTGATCAAGAAACATTGTCAAAAAAAAATTGAATTGAAGGTTTGAAAATTAATTATTTAAAAGAATTAGAATTTTTTTCTCAATCGTTGAGTATTAACGTCAACTATAAGTTACAAATCGTTACCTATAAACGAAAATAATTCGTTTTTAGTGTAATATAAATTTTATTTAAATACATTTACAGTTTATTTACTTTTTCGAAAATTAATTAACATTTTAGATTTTACAATTAATTTTTAATTAATCTTTTTTTTAACTATTCTTAATTTTCTGAAAGTTTTATTTTCATTTTCTCAGAGGATTTCAATTTCGAAATTTCCTCACAATTTGTGGCTTTATTCAAAGATTCTCGACAATTTGCGATTAGTTTTCCTTGTCCATAGGCATTTTTTCGTTCAACTGGATTTTGAATTGATAATTCCATATTTTTCATTGAGAAACCTTTTTTCTTTAATTTCTCAAATATCATCTTGAGATTTAATCGAGACTTTAACAATTCATTTACTATTAAATCGGACGTTAATAATTTACTTTGTAATTTTTTTTCCAATGTTTTCGCCTCTAATTCGACAAATTCAGGAATTACGGAATCACTATCGCTTGGTAAGCCCACTGAGAAATTGAATTTGTAATTTTTATTATTTAAATGTTGTTTTATTTTGTGAATTTCGTTTAGGATATTTTTAATTTTTCTCACATTGTAATTTTGAAAATTTGTTGTTATTGGTTTTTTTGTAAGTGATTCTTTCGAAGGATTTTTGGGAATAATTTGTTCGATCTTTTTTTGTGAATTTTGTATTAGATTTTGGGAGTTATTGATAATTGGGTCATTAATTTTTGTGACACTTTGTGTTTTTTGGGGTAAATCGTCGAATTTATAGGGCCATTTAGAGAAAATGTTACCTTCGTCATTTGGGGGAAAAGGAATTTTTTGTGCTTGAAGATATTTACTTTTTTCGAACTGTGAAAAATTTTGTTCGTTCTTTGGTAATTTCTCATTCTTGTTGCTTATCGGAATTTGAGGTACTTTCGATTTTTTTTCTTCCTTTTCGTTATTCTCTGGTTTCTTCAATTTTTTCGTTGAATTCTTTTCTTCCTTTTTGGTGATTTTAATTTGTTTTGAATTCGTTGAAAATTGTCTTATTTTCTGTTTTGCTCCACTGTTTCTTGTGAGAGGATTTTTTTGATTTGTTGAAATTGGCGCGGTTTGAGTATTATTTACTTGCAGGGTTTCTGAAAGAAATTGATTTTTATAAATTCATGAAATATTTTTTTATTTTTACACTATTTTTGTATATTTGTAATTTTATTTAAAGTTTGTGATGATTTTTCCTTTTCTTAAAATCGTGAATTTATTTTTTCTTGTCCCTAAGGTTTTGAACACTCAAGTAAACGACGATTTTTTAAATTATTCTTTCAATTTATTTATTTATTTATTTATTATTATTATATTTATTACTAAAGTGCTTTCAAAGTAATTTATTTTTTTCTTTCAAATTTATTTGAATTTTTTAACTTCATACGATTCGTGATGAATTTGAATTTTTAAATTAAATTTCAGAATTTTTTTATTTAATTGCTTTTGAAAAAAAATTGTTAATAAATAAAATCAAATTTTAAATTCCACGATACCTGTATTTTTGAAGTTCTCGGTTTGTGAAGTTCTGTCGACAGAATCAATTCCCCATTTTAATAGGTACATATCGAAAAATGCTTGAAATAATTTCCCTGATATTTCATTGTGTTCGTAATGGCGATCTTGCAAATAAACTCGTCTAATATGACAATTAGAATAAATAACGATTCTCTGCAGAGCATCGTAATCCGTTCCAAAAGTATCGTGGCACAAATTTTGTAAATTGATTTCTAAATTATTCCAATCTTCTTCTAATTTTAATGGCAATCGAGCGACGGTTGTGCCGATTTTAGGCGATATTTCCTCATTCAAGAATGAAAATTTCCTTCGAAATTTTTCTTTATCTAATATCTAGATATAATTTATTAAATATTTAAATTAAAATAGTATATAATAGTATTTTTTGGTTACTTGACCAATTAATTCTTTACTAGTTTCACAAAAGTAAAAAACTAATCGGAGCAAAAAAAATTATTTTTTTATTTCCACGGTACATCAAAAAAAAAAATATACTAAAAAATAACTTTCTAATAATTTATTCTTTACTATTTATTATTATTTCTATTGTAATTTAAATGAACAATTATTTACCTATTTAAATTAATAAGTGAATATTATAATTAATTTTAAATTAATGTTGAGGAAGAGAATTTGAATTGTCATAATTAATTTTATTTGACATGTGATTGCCGGGGGTTATTTGATCTTGATTAATAAACATTATTTGTAATTTATAATTATAATAATTATTGTTATTATTAGTAAAAAAAATATACCTGAAATTCCAATTTTAAACGGATTTGTAAATTTTTGATAATTAAAACAAGAATGGGAAGTTTGATATTCAAAATATCCGTTGGATCAGCGGGACAAATGATTTTTGTACAAACAGGAACATTATGAGGACCTGTTATTTCAATTACTTTGTCTCCATTTAAAAAATCATCAATTACCCGACAAATTTTGCCGTCAGGTGAAATATATTTTGACCACAAGTTCAATGGTTTGTCACCGATACTGTACAAAAGAGATAAAAAACCGGAATTTCGTAGTTCTGTCATTTTGCAGTGAAATGAGTGAAGGTTTTTTTTGTATTATTTACAAACTGGTTATTGTAGAGAGAATTTTTGTGATAGAGAAAATTTTTTCTTCATGATTATTTCTAATGAATTTGAATTTTCTTCTTAGTGAGTGATATAAATATTTTTCATTATTAATTTTTATATTTTGTTTAAAAGGTTAGGAACAATTGATAACTGTGGTGGGAAAAGAAAAAAAATATTTACTTATTGTCTATACATTTTTTTATGTCATTTTTTATTTATTTGTATTATGTTTTCAATGGTTTGTTTTTATTTGTTTATTTACTATTTTCATTTAGAGCTATTTTTTAAATTTTGTTGATTGTTGTCATTTACTTGAAAAATTTTTTTCTGTTGAACAACTAAATATTACAACAAGGATTTTTGGTGTATTTTTATTTTAACTTTTCTTATTTTGCAGCTTAATTTACTTACAAAAAATATTATAATTCATGTTATTAATTAATACAAATACATTTACTGAATATTCACTAAAAAATAAATTTATTATTGTTATATGTTTTAAATTATATTACCTACCAATATTATTACAGCACCTCCACCCGAACGCTATCAGACAATCAAAATTTGCTAAAAATGAAAATAAAAATTTATTTCTTCCAAAATTAAGGACTCTAATCATCCAAAAATTACCTGAGTTCCAGTAGGGACCGAGCCCTTCGCAATCCTTAAGATTAGAGAATTTTATTTCAATTTTTAAGTAGTAGCACCTCCACCCGAACGCTATCAGACAATTGAAATTTGGTAAAAATGAAAATAAAAATTTATTTCTTCAAAATTCAATCATTCTAATCATCCAAAAATTACTTGAGATCTAGAAGGGACCGAGCCCTTCGCAATCCTTAAGATTAGAGAATTTTATTTCAATTTTTAAGTAGTAGCACCTCCACCCGAACGCTATCAGACAATCAAAATTTGCTAAAAATGAAAAAAAAAATCTATTTCTTCCAAAATTAAGGACTCTAATCATCCAAAAATTACCTGAGTTCCAGTAGGGACCGAGCCCTTCGCAATCCTTAAGATTAGAGAATTTTATTTCAATTTTTAAGTAGTAGCACCTCCACCCGAACGCTATCAGACAATTGAAATTTGGTAAAAATGAAAATAAAAATTTATTTCTTCAAAATTCAATCATTCTAATCATCCAAAAATTACTTGAGATCTAGAAGGGACCGAGCCCTTCGCAATCCTTAAGATTAGAGAATTTTATTTCAATTTTTAAGTAGTAGCACCTCCACCCGAACGATATCATACAATCAAAATTTGCTAAAAATGAAAATAAAAATTTATTTCTTCCAAATTTTATTATTCTAATCATCCAAAAATTACCTGAGATCTAGTAGGGACCGAGCCCTTCGCAATCCTTAAGATTAGAGAATTTTATTTCAATTTTTAAGTAGTAGCACCTCCACCCGAACGCTATCAGACAATTGAAATTTGGTAAAAATGAAAATAAAAATTTATTTCTTCCAAATTTTATTATTCTAATCATCCAAAAATTACCTGAGATCTAGTAGGGACCGAGCCCTTGGCAATCCTTAAGATTAGAGAATTTTATTTCAATTTTTAAGTAGTAGCACCTCCACCCGAACGCTATCAGACAATTGAAATTTGGTAAAAATGAAAATAAAAATTTATTTCTTCCAAATTTTATTATTCTAATCATCCAAAAATTACCTGAGATCTAGTAGGGACCGAGCCCTTCGCAATCCTTAAGATTAGAGAATTTTATTTCAATTTTTAAGTAGTAGCACCTCCACCCGAACGCTATCAGACAATCAAAATTTGGTAAAAATGAAAAAAAAAATCTATTTCTTCCAAATTTTATTATTCTAATCATCCAAAAATTACCTGAGATCTAGTAGGGACCGAGCCCTTCGCAATCCTTAAGATTAGAGAATTTTATTTCAATTTTTAAGTAGTAGCACCTCCACCCGAACGCTATCAGACAATCAAAATTTGCTAAAAATGAAAATAAAAATTTATTTCTTCCAAATTTTATTATTCTAATCATCCAAAAATTACCTGAGATCTAGTAGGGACCGAGCCCTTCGCAATCCTTAAGATTAGAGAATTTTATTTCAATTTTTAAGTAGGAGCACCTCCACCCGAACGCTATCTGACAATCAAAATTTGCTAAAAACGAAAATAAAAATTTATTTCTTCCAAAATTAAGGACTCTAATCATCCAAAAATTACCTGAGTTCCAGTAGGGACCGAGCCCTTCTCAATCCTTAAGATTAGAGAATTTTATTTCAATTTTTAAGTAGTAGCACCTCCACCCGAACGCTATCAGACAATCAAAATTTGCTAAAAATGAAAATAAAAATTTATTTCTTCCAAATTTTATTATTCTAATCATCCAAAAATTACCTGAGATCTAGTAGGGACCGAGCCCTTCGCAATCCTTAAGATTAGAGAATTTTATTTCAATTTTTAAGTAGTAGCACCTCCACCCGAACGCTATCAGACAATCAAAATTTGCTAAAAATGAAAAAAAAAATTTATTTCTTCCAAAATTAAGGACTCTAATCATCCAAAAATTACCTGAGTTCCAGTAGGGACCGAGCCCTTCGCAATCCTTAAGATTAGAGAATTTTATTTCAATTTTTAAGTAGTAGCACCTCCACCCGAACGCTATCAGACAATCAAAATTTGGTAAAAATGAAAAAAAAAATCTATTTCTTCCAAATTTTATTATTCTAATCATCCAAAAATTACCTGAGATCTAGTAGGGACCGAGCCCTTCGCAATCCTTAAGATTAGAGAATTTTATTTCAGTTTTTAAGTAGTAGCACCTCCACCCGAACGCTATCAGACAATCAAAATTTGCTAAAAATGAAAATAAAAATTTATTTCTTCCAAATTTTATTATTCTAATCATCCAAAAATTACCTGAGATCTAGTAGGGACCGAGCCCTTCGCAATCCTTAAGATTAGAGAATTTTATTTCAGTTTTTAAGTAGTAGCACCTCCACCCGAACGCTATCAGACAATAAAAATTTGCTAAAAATGAAAATAAAAATTTATTTCTTCCAAATTTTATTATTCTAATCATCCAAAAATTACCTGAGATCTAGTAGGGACCGAGCCCTTCCGCAATCCTTAAGATTAGAGAATTTTATTTCAATTTTTAAGTAGTAGCACCTCCACCCGAACGCTATCATACAATCAAAATTTGCTAAAAAGGAAAAAAAAATTTATTTCTTCCAAATTAATGGACTAATC